CATTATAAAAGGACAATCACTATCGTAAATTAAATATTTACAATCATTTTAATACCAGATGTACATAAAATTTACTCCTACATGTTTGTAAAATGTAATCAATTTTTATATATTAAATTTGTTTTGTTAGTATCACTTTCATAATTTCTTTTTAATATTTTTTTTAGTTTCGACGCAGTAAATTGTTTAAATTTCAATATTTTGTGAATATGAACCTTTTGTGTATACATATCTGTGTTTTTTTTTTTAATTAATGTAGATATACATATTATGGTTAATAACATATTAACGACGTAAAAACAAAAAATTATAGTTACAGAGAATAATGAATAGTAAATACCGATCATAATCAAAATATTAACAGAATATAATAAATATATATATACGTAATATTGATACAATGAATTGTAAAACATGATAAAATATGTAGTTTTTATAAAGTGAATTTTTAAAATACTGAGTTTGACTTTAAGAAAATTTAGATAAATGTGTTGTTTTATATTTATAAATTTATAAATTATAAATATAATAGAATCATTAAATATTGATTTCTTAACAAGTACATATAATTTTATTTTTTATCAGACATCATTCATTTAAAATTCATCTCAATGTATTTCAAGCGCGTACACTATATCAAGATACGTATTTATTAAAAACTAACTTTAAATTTACCAAAAACTATAGCAATAATATATATGCAAGATCTTTTAATTTTTATAACTTTAGTGTAACGTTCATAGTAGCAGTGCAAAAATTGGTAACTAAATAAGTCATTAACTTAATAGTTACGTTACATTTATTGTTGTTTAAAGTTGGAATACGTTATGCGAAATATTTAAACAATATTATTTCCGTCACTATTCACAACAATATTTGTTCTCATAACCACAAATGCTTAAAACATAACTTTGAATATAAATATTTTATATTTTCAATTTAAATTATCTAACTCAGTAGATTAATAATATTTAATAGTATTTACGTTATTAATGTTAAAAATATTGTTAAAACGATAAAATTACTAATAAAAAGCAATACTTTTAAAGAAATGCAAGGTTTCATATAGTTGTCATATAATTAGTTGGCAATTACAATATTTAAAAAGTTCAGAGGTATTATTAAAACTAACAACAGTTCATTACAAATGAAATTATTTGTTTTGTAACGAAATAAATAGTCAAAGCATCATATTCGTGATACTAATGACGATTATTTATTTCGACGTCAATTAATGTTTAGAGATTATTTTAAAAGTAAAATAATACGTAGTCTCTCAAAATCATTAAAAATTAATCATGTATAATAACTATAACTATAGTTTTTAAAACATTTTGTTATTCATATGATTTTTAATACATTTCCTTTTCTAATAAATTAATTACGTTATACATACAATTAAAATGAATAAAGAATAATATTTAAATAACGAAAAAATAATTTGAAATTTAATTTTTATGGTATAAATAACCCGATTTATTATATTAGTCTAACGGATAACGTAACTCACATCCAAGCTAAGTATCAGCTTACTGGATACATACATAACATGTTTTCGAAAATGAAATATAAAATATATAAATTTAAAAGTTATATAGTCACAATACATGAAGCTGTTTACAAAGATATCGGTACTGTCAACATATTAAATACTGACTGATAATAATTGTTTTAGGATATTATCCTGTATATCCTATGTTGAAATAATGTCAATATAAAATATTGAAGATTGCAATTATTATGATATCGAAATTAACTCATTTTGATAAATCTACAATGTATACAAAACAGAATATCTTTCAGTAGCAGAATATTAACATAGGACGTGTTTGAATCATAAGTGGAAGCATTACTGACAAATGAATTGACTAATATAGCTAGCACAAATAAGATTGTAAAATAATTTTCGGGTAGGAAATTAAATGCTAAAGTTTTCTTCAACTGTTCTATTTCGTAACTAAATTTATTACTTTGGAGCAGTATATAATTAGTCTGATGGTACATACGGCTAACAATGATGGTACAGTTAATACAACCAAGAATGTCAACATACAGTAATATATACAGCCGTCTTACTTCGAAATTATATACCTGTATATATATATATTATATATATTATTATTGTTGGTCATAATTAGAGTTCTTTTATTATTGAGGTCAGTAACGTGTATATATATTGGAAATATTTTGTATATTCAGTATTATGTACATTGGATCAGTTTTAATTTTTCTTATATTTCGATACGTTTCAAGGTTGGCTAAAATTTGTTTATATACAAAACGAATGACCAAACTTATAATACAATTAGTTACAGTATATTGAACAGTATATTTATACAATCATTATTGGCAAGAAATGAGTTGTCTGAACGCATTTAATTTAATGCAATCAAATAACTATCGAAAACTGTAATTGTTTTTACTAGAATTGTTAATGTGTTTCTCGCTTTTGCGAATAAAAAATATAGATTTGTTAGGATACTTCTTATTGTCAAATCTACGTGATATTAAAAAATTATACAGGGTACAAGTGTGGTTATGAATATAAAGAATTGAACGTATTCAACTGTGATAAGCACAATTCAATTTGACTTAGATTTAAATTTCAGTACAATTAAAGATTCTATTGTATCACGATGCGACATGAATCTACCTTACAAACAATTGCTTGAAATACGACAATATTGGGACTGAAAATACGGAGACAAAATAAAAAACAACCCAGTGCTAGCTATATAAATAATGAAAGTAAAGGCAATAAATTCGATTCTCTGATTGATTTGTAACTGTAACCAAATATAATGTCACATACAAGTTCTAAGGTATATAAATGTTACATGTGAAAGTAATGATAATCATTAATAATTGATCTTTATCACTTTATATAAATCAACCTTTGATCTTAAAGCTATATTTGTTGAGCATTTCCAAACTGCAGGATTGGGTCAGTAAGCGACATCGTATTTCTATTGGATAAGTTTTCACCTTTTATATACAGATGACAGGTTGGAGTCAGCATAATTATATACAAATCTGCTGGAAGATGAAGCTAATACAAAAGTGTATAAACTATTTAATATTAGGTTTTATGTCATAATTTAACTTTATTAACTATTTAAACTAAATATATTTTAGCTCCTTATTGTGTTTACTAATATAGATTATGCAACTTAGTGCGATTATTTTACTACCTTTCTGTGCTTTTAAATGCTGTTTCAAAAGTAACATAGATGGTCTTAAAAATTAAATTCTATCATTCAGCATTGAAAGTTGTAACAAATATACATTTTAAAAAAATTTGGAATTGAAATATTTTATAGAGAAAATTTGGTTTTGCAGTAATTAATATAATGGATTTGATACACTAACAATTTACAGTATCAGAATTGTATCTATTAAATTTGGGTTCTAGAGCCTACAACTTACCGAAAGTTAATTCTCCAGCAAGAGCGATTTATTCTTGAATTAATACATAGGAATATGAATGTTGACCATAATTCATTTCAAAGTATTTTTAGATTAACAACACATACTGTATAAATGCGATGCTATCAACATATTAATTATCATCGCAATTTTTCTGCTTTTGATTAGATCCAGTATAAAATATTGTATAATTATATATATATATATATTTGTAATGCTTTTATCAGCAAAAAATATAATAGTGGTAGTATAGACAGCACGAATTTCATAGTTACTTTTATTAAAAATATTCTATGAGAGCTAGCTCTGAAAGCTAGTGACTAATAATATTAGATTGGACGTGAGAGGCATTACTCGTTACAAAATCAATTACTAAAATTATTTGACCACAGAAATGTATACATAGTTGGTTTATACACATATTTAGTCAATAATAATTGAGATATGGATTTACAAGGAATGGCCACATAAAATCGATAAAAAAAATGTGTTTTAAGTTCGCTATTTTAACTATATATACGAATATCCATAGATTGTCAAGTAATTGCTTGTAAATAATTATACATTTCAGATCACTGAGTATTGCACCTTAAAGTAATAATTATCAAAATTAAATTTCCAAGTGTTGCCTATAAAAACTTTTCACGAAAATTCTATTTCATTTAGTTGCTTTTTAAAAACACATTTTAATAAAGCTCAAATAATCAATGATAATGCAATCATCAAAGTTGCCTAAACATTTACTTTTCCATTAGGCGACGTGATGTACCACATGCGAAACTAATTAAAAAAACTTAAAAAAAAAACTTAATTGTAAATCCATACTTTATCTATGTACTTTTGGAACTTATTGAGATATTATAATAGAAATTATACCAAAAGTAATCAGAAAATCTGTTTTTTTGATTTTAAATAGTGTAAAACTAATTTTCATATCTAAAATTAATTCAATGAAAATGACTAAAAGTAAACTTTCGAATCATTTTAGTTAATGTACTTAATTGAATATAAATTCGTTTACACTTCTGATTTCAGATAGCTTTTTCTTTTGTGAAATCAGAAATATATGTTTAAATATTCTTCACTTAATATTGATGTCTATAAAAATATTTAATAATTTAAAACATTGAATATAAGATAATATATATCATAACCATATACATTTGCTTATAAAACATAAAATGTATTTTCAATGTGATTTAATAAAAAAAAAAAAAAAAAACAAGAATCATAATCAATACTTGAAGATTTTTCCTAATATTAAAAGCTTTACAGCTTTTATCTATATTTATATTTTATTTTTACATTTACAGATTAAATATTTATGAAATATAAAAATGTGAATTAAAAAATAAATATACTTTAATTAATTCACAATATTAACTGATGCTACTAATTAATTACTTTATTATTTTATATAGAAAAATAATATGAAACTTATTCCTCTAACAAAATAAAAAAGAACAATAAATAATTACGTCGAATCTTAACAGAACGTATTAATTTAGCATTTAAAATAGCAATACTATAAATTATCTTATTGTTTAAAATCAAGATAAAATTGATTTCCCGTTTACTTTTAGTACAAAATCCCTTTTAAATAATTATAACTACTAATCGTTACAATATTTTTTTTAGTCCTAGTTTTAACCTTTCTTGAGCGGGGTTCACTTTGATTTTCAACTGCTGTATGAGATCGAAGATTTTTAATGACGGTCCGACTTTAAAACCAGTAAGGTCAATAATTTGATCCTTGGTGAGGGTTAGCAACATCTTACCGTCAATCTTCCGTTTGCTGAAATTGTCGCAGTATGTAGCGCAATCATTAACACGTAAAAATTGGGCTACATCGAAGACGTTCCATTCAACTGGCACCAATTCTCCTAGCTCGGAATTTTTTTGCAAACCATCTGCCAGTCTTGGGATGTATTTGCTACTTGTAGCAGTCACCTATGAGTAAAAAAGTTTTAACAATAAAAATTAATTATAATCTTTATAACGTATAGTACATTTATATAAACTGAAGAATTTTATCAATTTTCACTTTTTAAAAGCAAAAAAATAATAAAAATTCTGTATATAAATTACTTTGAAGTCTTTACACTGCCATTTTATGGATTATTATGAAAATATTATTAAATTTACTTAATATGAATGAAACAAGTTATATTTATTTCATCATAATTATAAACGATACAAATCACAAATAACAAAGAAATAAATAAATATATGAATATATATCGTCCAGTTATACATATATTTGCTAAAGAATTTTTTAATAATATTTAATAGTTACATAAAACACAGTACTTTATAGAGTATTTAAGATTTCAACTGGAATACTTACGTTTATGTAGGATGTAGCAGTCCTTTCCTTGGGTGGTGGTGGACCTTGAAGGTCATTTTGGGAGTCGCTTGTTGATTGTCCTTGGCCACTGGTTGGACTAGGCAGAGTTTGATCCGGGCCCGCGGGCTCTTGTGCTGGTTCTGGTTCTCTTGCTGTAGCCTGTTCAGGTATGCTGCTTTCAAGATCACCACGTTCGCGTTCAATTTTCGTACCTTGAGTAGGTCCTAATTGTCTATCATAATGTTCGCGTGCCAACCGACGCTGTTGCTGCTGTTGTTGCTGCTGATGTTGATTATTCGTTTGTTGCTGTTGCTCCAATTGACGTGGTAATATATTCTTCGCGTAGGCGGGCTTATTACCGACGACTTTTCTTAATTTTCGTTTACCCTTACGTTTAAGGCCTCTCGGTGATTTTACTAGTGACGAAATCAAATTTAATGTATATTGTAAAATGTTTCAACTTAAAAACTTTTTGAAAATTTAATCAGAAAAATATAAACATTTAAAGATAAATCTTTATAAATAAAGTAAATGACCATTATTTTTCTATTTCAATTAAAATGGTAAAATAATGTAAAAAAAACAAGTTATATTGTAAATAAGATTTTATATTTAAAAAGTAGTATGGAAAATTTTAATTGGGTTGTATAATAAAGTAGATTTGTTTTACAAATAGTATAATCAAATTCTTGAACACATGATACACTGTAATACTGTAATACTTTTAATATAAATTGATTATATATTGTTATCAATTTGAAAAAATATTTTTAAATATAAATTCACAAAGCTATGCTTTATTTATTTATTTTAAAAACAAAAATCGAATATTTGATAGTGATTTTTTTTAATTTAAAATTAAAAAATGTGTTTTTATAAAAATAAATATTTTCATTTTACATGAATATCAAGTTTTTAACTAATATATGGCAAAACTAACTTATTAAATATTAGATGAATTTATTACAAATGAATTTTGAAATAAAAACAATTTGAATTTGAATGTTGCTTTATTTATAAAACCTTGTAAAAATATCTTCTCATAAATCAATTTAAATTTAGTTAAAATATTGTAGCTAATAAAATCATTTATGAATATCACGATATTCTTTAAAATTAAACATTATTATCTATCATTTACTAATTATAACAATTATTTAAAATTTTGTAATTTAAGAAATGTGATCATATTATACACATTGAAGAACAATGAATTTTATACCTGTAGGGCTAGTATTTTTTGTATGTACTCGTGGTCCTTCCAATTTGTGATCAACTAAGTCACACCATCCAACTGGATAGATATCAGGACTTTGGCAATCTAACCATTGATCATACTCATCTTCCCATCCATCGAAATGAACCCTTAGCAATCTGCCAATTACTCTAGTGATTGTTGCTACACAAACCAATCGAGGATCCATTAAATCTGCAGCTTCTAATCTCATACCCTCTATAAATCCATGCTGCGGGATTTCCTATAAAATTATTTTTCTTATTTATTATAGAAAAAAATGTATTCTTTTAAAATTTAAGTTATACTTTTATTAAAACTTCATTAGTTATATGAAACAATTGCAATTATTCATTTATTTTAAATACTATTTAAAATTGGAGCAACCATTTTATATCAGTTCTATATATTTATTTAGTTGTTTATTTATTTGTTGTTTAATATACATTATAAACGTGTACTATACAAATTATATTAGTACTTTTCATTAAAATTTTTTTTTAGTGAAATGAATATTTCAAAATTTATATATAATTTAACTGCATATTTTTATTATTAAATACTTACTCGATTAAAAAGTTCTGCTGGGGCAGGTATGGTATTAGTCTCTTCTAGATAAGAATCCCAAGTGAACGTCGTTGGATCGTACCCTTTTGGTGGCGTCAATGGTAAACCGTGTTGTGCACAAAATCCTACCGGAAAAATACAAGGCGAACATGAATGATAGCAGAACCAATCAGAGCCACTTGTATCTTCATCATAACTGTCGATTCTTATCATAATGTAACTATCCTTCAGTACTTGCATAACTGTAGCTGCACATATGGCTGATAGATTCAGTGGATCAATTGCTTCAATTTTCATTCCTTCCCGAAAAGTATATCCATAGTGCGCCAAATGATTCTTGGTCACGTAGAAAAGGTCACTCTTTGCATCATCCTCACTTAGAATAATTAAAATATATAATTTTTAAAATTGTATATACAACTGTAAAAATATACTAATAGTTTTTACAGTATACAATAAATACAACTCAAAAATTAGAATATTAATTTTTTACGAGATATGTTTTTCGGTATTTTATACATTAATTTTTAAGACTGAAATATTATAATATTGATTTTCATAAATTTAAAAATAAACAAAAATTTATTTGTCACACATTTTAAATTAATTAACAATTTATGTTATAATTGTTTAACAATTATCATGAAATTTTTTTACAATAAAAATAAAAAAAGTATATATTTTAATAAAAACTTCTTTTGTGATAATTAATAATATACATATATAAATATTTCAAAATTCTTGTCAAACCTTAATTTTTCCATTTCTATGCGTTGTAAATATTCAGGATATGCATCTAAGGTTTGACCGATATGTTTCGCCCAACCAACTGCATGAATGAGAGGCGAATCTTCGTGGCACCAGAATCCATTATCCTCTGGTGACGAGTCATAGTAACGCACGTGTAAACGTTTACCTACAATTTTTTGAATGGTAGCTACTTTCACCTGAGAGATACGATTTTTATCAACAACCTCGAGATGCAAGCCGCAACGAAAGCGAGATTTCATACTATCATTAACTTTACTATAGAAATTGGTTGGGAGAGTTCGAGCTCCTGTTAGTCGACGCATAAGAAAATCCTTCCAATCCTTATATTTATTAGCTATTGCTACATTTAAGAAACAAAATATTAAGTTTCGATTTTAATTTGATTGAATAAACTATTAAGTAAATTGTGAGAAATACTAAATTATATAGTTGATAGCTAACTCAATTTAAAAAATAAAAGATGTAATTTATATTAATAAACAAAAATGTATGCAGCAATTTAAATAAAATTTAACGCGAGAATGTTTCTTTCCCGTTTGAAACTCTTATAATTTCGAATTAATATTTAACTTACATATACCACAAATTAATCAATTTTATTTATTAATTTATAAATTACACATAATACTTATTAATAACGTAATAAAACATTGTTATTATTTTTTTAGTACAAGTATAGGTTAAATATAAAACGTAATAAAACATTATTTTTTTAACACAAGAATGTGATAAAATAAAAATATGTTTGATACGCATACAAAAAATTTATTACCAAAGGATTAAGTAATTAAATGGAAATAACTTACTATTTGGTGGAATGAGTGGTTTTCCTATAGTTGCACACCAACCAACAGGATGTATATCATTTGAGCAAAGAGAGACCCAGAAATCCTTTTCAACACTGTGACCAAAGCCTTCATATCTTAATAGAGCTCTATAACCAGATATACGAAGAACAGTTGCTACCCAAAACGAATCTGGAAAGGCTTCACAAACCTCATCGCAGTCAGTATTTTCTACTTCTACTTTCATACCAACTGATATATTATCCCATATTTCCGATATCGGGGCCTGTAAGCAGAAAAAATTATGTCAATTATGTAAAGTATTAAAAAGCGGAGTAACTGTATTAATTTGAAATTAAATTTTTCTTCTAAATATTTACTTTTGTAAAATTAAATCATACTTACATGTTTAAAACATGAAACAGGAGCTGCACAAAAACCAGGTGTTTTTAATTGAGGTGTCCAATCATACGATCCAGCCATTTCAGCGGTACGTTTTCTTCTGACAGGCAATTCTTCTGGCATAACTGGTTCAGCTGGTATTATTGCTTTTATTTTCTCTTTTTTTATCTGCTCCTTAGGTTGAATAACTTCTTCTTTTATAGATATCTATCAAACATATACTGTATAAGTATCTAATAAATAAAAATCGTATAGAATATGCTCTCAGAATTCTTTTATATACTGTGAATTATTGTAATACAATTATATAAATTATTAATAATAAAATTATTAACAGAATAATTGTTATTATCAAGTTAATGAAATTTTTTTTTCATAACTAAATATTAATGACTAATAAATTTTTACCTTACTCAATGGTTTTACATCATTTGATAAATTAATATCTACATTTTGCTCTATGGAATGAGTTGGACTATAAGTTGAATCTGCATGAGGTGCTGTATGCTCTGAGGATCGAGCACATGCTCGACTACAAAATCGTCGTTCTTTTGTATAAAAAGCGTGTTTTACTCCAATAGCACCACACTTTTCACAAACAGCTATAAAATATTTAATTCATACATAAATAAGTTTCATTTCATTTCAATATAATTTAAATTTAAACATATGCATGCACACATAAACATACAATCACACACACGTACTTCTTGAATTATTTAGCATAACATGTTATTTGATTTTAAGGTACTTATCAAATAAATAAAAAATATGATTTATAAAACAATTTATTTTGATTAACTAATAAAATTAATTGAACTGAATACATAATTAAGTAATATATTATTGAATTTAAAAAAATTTATGTGAAACACACCTATACCATCTTTCCGAATTGGTATGAAATTTAAATCTGTATGAGGTTGGTATGCTATCGGTGTTTTTAAAACTAAGCCTGGATGCTTAATAGGTTTAATTTTACGATTTCGAATATCTTGTGTTTGTGTGGCTGCATTACTCACTACTTGCTCTCTTTCTTCATCGACCGTATAATCTTCCAGACCAAGATATTCATTCATTTCTTGTCCATCAGTTTGATCATACTCCTATAACAATAAGATTGTAATATTATGCACTATTTTTTAATAGAATTTTCCCAAAATATTGTTATTAAGAAAAACTAACTTGTTGAATATCTTGAACATCCACACCTTCCATGGGTTCTTCTGATTCCGAACATTCATTATGAAATTGTGGAGCCAAATATCGCACCATAGTAGTTGGTGGAATTTGATGATTTCTTATATCATCAAAAGAATGAGGTCCATGAGAATAAAATGAGCTTTCTGCTTGTCTGGGATCTATCATAAGTTCTTGTGTTGGATCGTTATGAACCATCATGTCTCCCATCCAGACCATGCCAAGCTCTGGCATGCCAGGAATAGCTGCATAAACTTAAAAATAAATAAATAATTATTAAATAAAGTTAATACGAATATGTATTAAAGTCTTTCTCTAAGAAAACAAAATAGTTTGTAATTATGAATAATTTGGAAATTATCATTCATTTTTTAATAACAACAAATGGATTTTTACATATTTCAACAATATTTTTTAAAATAATTAAATTTAATCAGACTATATTTTTTGTATTATTTATGTAAGAAAATTGTACTGAAGAGTTGCTAATATTAAATTTATAATAATAGTAAAGTTATAATTTTTGGCAGGCACTTAACTAATGAAGTTATCGATTAATGGTATGAAATTGCAAAGTATATCTTAGATTTTTTAAATATATATAGTAATTATTAGTAAACAATTTCTATCATTTTAAATAAGATAGTAATATTGAAAATTTTAATAGCCCAATAGTTATGGATTGTTTTTTTCATTCGACTTTAAAAATTATAATTCTAACATTAAACGTATGTAAATATCTAATATTTATTTTTAGGGTTGTTAATTAAATAATTTGTATATTCGTAATGAAAAGGAATATTCTAAATATTTATTCGAATTGTTATTTTATAACATTTTATAATTAAAATTAAAAATTTGGTGAATTTATTACAATGTCTTTATGATCGTTTAACAAATTAGCCTTATTGCGATTATCACGATTGAAGGAATAGTGACGAAGGATGTAAAGGATACGAAAGATTTGTCATCAAACACTTATTGTTGTTTGGAAAGTGACGCCAGGCGTCGTTTGCTGAGCTTCCAACAACGTACATACCTCGTCTAACCTCTAACGCACGCCAACCCTATGCTAAACGATAGAATAAAAAGCAACGATGCTTGGGCACATACTAAAAAGGCGCTACTCACACATGTTTATGATGATAGTGCCCTCCACTATGCATTCACTATAAAAAATTAAGAGTCCATCGAAGAAGTGGTAACGGGTTATACAACTACAGAATGATGAAGCCGAGGGTCATTGAGTAATAGAGTGTATGAAAAAAAACAGGAAGAAAGGAAGAAAGAATAAGATAGAGATAGATAGATAGATATGTAGATTGGATGAATAGATGGGCAGGTGAATGGATGGATGAATGAATGTATGAATAAATGAATAAATCAATGGATAGATGGATGGATGGATGACTGGGGTGGGGGGTCTATGGATGACTGGATAGGTGGTGGGGGGTGTATGGATGGGTTGGTGGGTTGATGCATAGATGGATAGATAGATAGATGAATGGATTAATGTATGGATGGTTTGAAGAATGGATGAGTGGATGGATGAATGTATGAATGTATGGGTGAATGGATGGATGGATGGATGGACGGAGATAGCTAGAGGTATAGTGAGGGCGTACGTGAGCATGTGAGGGCGTGCGTGTGCATGTGAGTGATACGAATGTGTGTGGAAATGTTAGAAAATATAATTCCAATAAGGTACAATAGAGTAGGAAGTATTGTTAAGGCGAATACGAACCATTGGGAGCCTGCATGTCCATGATTGTCTAATGAGTTAAGTAACCAGCGATGGTCTTCTTGGGATGGCCCGTGCCCTTGGTTTTCACTGCGCTAATTGCCTTTAGACTATAGCTTTCTCTCTTCGGTATAACGCGGCTCCGGTCTCGAGCGCCCGGCCGAATATTACCGGCGCTCTTCACGGTACTGCTCCCGCTGCTGCTGCGCGCGACGCGCTTCTTTCTTCATCCCGACGCCGCTGGGCATAATAGTGGCGCGGTCTTGCAGGACTATCATTCGCAAGGGTCCCCTTACCTCACGGATAAGCGTCTTCGTACGACAGCGAGGGAGGCGCTGCAGCCAAAGAAAGGACGCATATCCTCTTCTTTCTTATGTCTCCTTCCTTCTCCTTGTTTCTGGTATACTCACTCCACTGAACTTTTTTGACTTGCGTCTCCGTCCACAGAAATCGTGAACAATGACTGAAAAATAGGAACCAAACAACGGTGACAACGCACTTCAACCCACATTCAATCTTGAAAAAATATTACCCGCCGTAACCATAAGCCGCAGACCAAAATCCGAAATCTGAAGGCTTGCTCGGTCTATACGCAGCGCTGCAGCCCCTCCGCGACAGCCTTTTGGTCTACGCGTGGAGGTGCTGCCGCGTTCGACTCCTCCGCTTCCATTCACTGCCCTTTGTGGCGGTTTCTTTGAATCATGCGTTGCTATCGGAACTGCAATGGGAATGCGCTTATCGTTGTATAGTATCACTTTTCTGGACTGTGAGGATTTCCGACAAGTCAGCTGTTTCAACGTCGATCAGCAACTGTCCAGTACTTGAATGAACCTCCCATTTTTCTAACGAATAACCGACGCGAGTCAACTGGTCCCATGTTTATACAAAGTTTTCACCTCTATATTTTCATAATTTTATATTTAATTTGATAATGAAACTATTTCATTTAAGGCAATATAATACTTACGTTACTTTACCTTGATTTCAAATCTATCAATTGAAATTAGCTCCGGTTTGTTATTACGATTTTAAATGATCGAAAAGAAGTAAAGTTCGATAGAAAATTAATAATGTAGAATACGGTTATTCAATTGCTTTAAAGAATATTCATTAAAATATTTTTCTAGTGTCTTACGTAATTTATTTATGCAATATCCTCGCTTTACGTAATCTCAATATATTTAAAATATATTTATTGAACTGAAAATATATTGATTGAATTAATATACAATTAACAAAATATAATTGCATATAAAAGATTGATGACATTTAATTAATTTTCTTTTGAAAAAATATACCATTTCGTAGAACGTGAAAAAATAATTTGTGAAATAGACGAAAGAATTTCAAGTTTCTATGCGAAATGAATAATACATATACTTTAATTAAAAATGAAACCCATTTATATTGGTATATAGTTCTCGTAAATAAGTATGTAAATTAATATAACAAACTTTTCTATAAATATTTAAGCTTTAAAGTTTTGCTATATATATCAACCCTAGTTTATAGAACTTATCATTACTCTAATATTTAAATTAACACGTGGTAATACAGCTTTTTATGTAATATAGATACACATAAAATAATACAATAATTGAGGACAAATTTAAATAATAGTAAAAAAAACAATAAAGAAACATATTGAATAAAGGAAGAAAGAAGAATTACAAAATAAAACATTTTGCCAATCTATGCGATTTTGTTTACATTCTAATTAGTTAATTATAGATTAATTCTTATATGTTTCTTGTATGCTTTACGTAGTATAATACGCTTTCTTAATAGAATTCAAAATGATATTATTATACCTCATATTTTAATGAAATTTTAATAAAATTTGTAATTAATTCATATTTATAAGATATATACTTTTTAAGATAATTAATATAATTCCGTATTCAAAATAGATCATGAAAATATAGATGAAACATATAATATGCAAATAAAAGATTATCGAATATAACGGTATGTAGTAATATTATTCTCCCAATAAAGTCAAAATATCAAAGTATTCATATTCAATAATATAATATGCTTACACAATACTGAAAATAACATTATGTTTGTTAATGGCTTTGTATTACCATCAATATTTACATTATTTTCCTCGTCAGAATTCTGATAGTCAATATAAATGGTATATATAGTCAGCGACAGGAAGTTTATCTTCTAGAATCTATGTAATAACAGTTTTAAGATATTCTTGATTGAGCGGTTGTTTGAAATATTTGTTACGAGAAATATGGGTCTCAACTGGGAAATCAAAAGTGGTTTATAAATTATAATAGATTTTTTTCTTATACTAGACCTTCTATTTAATTCTGTTTCATTCATCTAACACTATACTTATTCCACCAAATATTTGAAACGTATGCAATAATTAAATAGTACGAAACTGATATTGTGTAGATTTTAAAAAAACGGTCAACTTTTTTCATTTAATAAGAGCAATGGTATTGAATATTTATAGCAAGGTAATTAATGCAGCCATTTGTATATTTATAATGAAGATCTAAGCTCATTGGTTCTCAATAATGTGTTGAATATTAAATGTAAATCGATATAATATTGAAAAATAAAATATATAAATGTATAATAAAGTCAGTAAACATATTCAAATAATACGATTGTAATTAATGGAGAAATATGTAGTAAAATATATATTATGTATATTAAATATTACTTACAATATCAAATCTACAGTAATGATTAAATTATATTAAATTTTGTTAATGATATGAAATGCAAATAATTATAATTCGTTAGTTAAGAAATAATATAACATTTCAGTATTGGTAATTACTGCGTTTTGTTGAGTTTCATATTGAAATTATGGATAATCGAAAAAACCAATAAGCTTTGATTTTTATTGCACTTGCCTCAAATGAGCGTTAATCACTACTTTAGAAGATTTATAGTGATCTAGTGATTTGATATATTCTTGATTCCATTAAAAGAAAAAAGTTTTATATAAAAAATATACATAACGGTCATATAGGACAAATATTTTAACAAGAATCTTAAGGTAAAAAAAATCAATATTCTGTGCTTTTTAAGTCGTTATATTACGATCGTAAATAATTTTATTGTTAATATTTTTATATATAATTTATTTTTCTTGTATTGGTATGTAGAAATAATAATGAAAACTCTATCAACATTCAATTTAAAAGTACCATGGGGTCACATTGCTGTGAAAGCATGGGGTAACATAAAAAATACTGGTGTTTTAATGGTACATGGAACCTTAGACAATGCTGGAGCATTTGATCGATTGGTAGCATTATTACCACATGATTTTTATTATGTTTCTATTGATTTACCTGGACATGGATTCTCTTCACATTATCAGAATGGAATAAAACTTAGTTTTTTTACTTATGTACTAGCAATAAAATATGTTTTAGATGAACTGCAATGGAAGCATGCATTTTATATTGGTCATAGTCTTGGAGCTCAATTAGGTTTATTTTTTTCATTAATTTATCCAAAAAGAATACAAAAGTTAGTTTTAATTGATAGTATTATTCCAGAATTGATTGTAAAAGATGAAATCATTTCAAGAATTAAAAAAGAATATGAATTCATATCCAAAAAATATAAACAAAATAATTTACATCATTATACAAAAGAAGAAGTTATGTTTGCTCTTAAATATTTGAGGAAAAATTGCTTAACTTCTGAAGCAGCAGAGGCATTATTTGAAAGATCAGTTACTAAAGTTAATGAAAATTCTTATATTTATAACCGAGATATTAGAGCAAAGATATTTATTATACCTTTCATGGGTTTTGATCAATACTTACATGTATTGAATGAAATAAATGGTGAAATATTAATATTAGCAACAGACACTCTATTATATAAAAGGCACATTATATTTGAATTATTAAATTTTTTTAAAAGTTATAATATACATGTTATCAGAATTAGAGGAAATCATGATGTCCATAACAATTATCCTGAAAGGATTTCAGAACATATATCAAGATTTATTAAACATTTTTCTAGTAAACTTTAATTGTAAGTATTATTATAAAGATTATATTAATAATTTTCCAATAATATATATTTTATAAATCTAAATTGTTGATAATATTTATGGGTTATGTGATAGTTACAATAATCTTATAGAAATTTATAACATATGTTGTATAAATAAATAAAAATATATTTTGTATCTTTAAATATTTTTTTATATTACTTTAATTTTTACCAAATCATGCATTTGTTGAATTTTTATATTTACATCTTCACCTTGTAATGCTTTTTTTTCTAATTCACTTTCAAATACAATTGCTGTATGATTCATAAATGATCTTTTTCGTTTAGTTTCATAATATTTATCATTACTAATATGAATTTTATACCAACATATTAAGGCATTTGGAGTAGTTTTATATTTTTCTAAATCAATTTTTCCAAAATTTATAACCTTCTCTTTCATTTCTGATTCATCAATTTCCACTAATATTTTTACATCTGATAAAGCTTTGTAGTTATATAGACTTGAATTTAAATCAAAAACTTGATTTATCTTTAAAATATACATTATTTATTTAATTAAAACATGTCTATTTTATTCCAAATAATAAATTATAAAGTTTTATTTATTACCTTGAATTTATTTATAAAATCAGCTATCATATATTTAAAACTGTTGATACTTGAATTACCTATTTGTTCTACAGTACAACATTCGTCGTCATCATTGTCATTACCTATATCAGGAAATGAATTCTAAAATAAATTTCTATATAAGTAAATTAAATTTTAAAAGCTTATTTCTGTAGCAATGATATATTTATATAAGTTTACTAACTGTAGTATCTGATAATCTAAAATTAGTACATTTTTGAAGATTGTTATCTTTCACTGAAATCATTTTTGGTAATTCCTCAGAATATACAAATTGTCCCATAAGAAAAATTCTCTCTGGAAATAGATAACCATTTGAATTCAATAAAGATCTGCAAAATAATAATTATAACTTTAATTTATATACTGCATGATAAATAAACTTTTTTTATTTCTATTTTTATAGTAAATTAAACATTCTACTATAAGAAATCACGCTACTAATTAATTTATATAAATTTAGGTACAAAATTTATATTATTTTTTAATACAAACCTGTAAATTTCACGGTAGTTTTGTTGGCCACAATCTATTAATTCTCCTTTCATATCAAAATCATGAACAATAATATTATCTAATTTATTAATAATTTCATTGTAATCAGATATAAAATAAATTTTTCCTATGATATTGTTTATTTTAACTATATGTTCAATAAAATTTTTTAATACTATATTATTTGTTCGATAATATAAAATTTCACAGTTTTTATTTTCTTTTAATATTGTCAGACCATATATTGGAAAAGGGCATGTATCAAAAATTGTTTTCAAATATTCTTGTTTCTTTGATGTTGCCACTTGAATTAAGGATGTTGTATATTCTTCATCATTTAAAAATGTAATTATATCCCGTGGTAATTGATAAATAAATTTATTAGGTAGACTTATATCTTTATGAGCTAATTCATATGAACATTTTAACCTTCCATTTAAAATTTGTGCTGTTAATATTAATTTATCATTTATTCTAACATTTTTTGGAAATGTTGGAAATACTGCTAATTGCCAACAAGATTTTCCTTGAGATGAATCTAATACTATTTCTTCATCTAGATTCAATTTAAACCAGGCTACCAAACCATCAACTATACAATCATAACGACAAACACTCGTGACTATTTCTTTGACTCCATCTTTATTAAAATAATTTAATTTATTTATGTCATTGAAATTGACTTTAAGTATTGACCTAGGCTCTGTAATATAATTAATGTTAACGTTTTCTAAATTTTCAGTATCATAATAATCTTCATCAGATAAAATACATATGTTATCAAAATTTAAAGATCCAAACTTAATTCTATTAAATGAAACAGAAGTTCTAAATCGAATGTATTCACATTCAACTGCTGCTACATATAATGTTGCAGACATAGGTATAACAATACCTGTACCATTTGAGACTAAAAGATTATTATGTGCATCAATTAATGTTGGTATAACTAATTCCCCAAATAAAGCTGCATCAAATATTTCTGTAACTATCAATTTCACTCTACAAGTAAAAACAATAGTTTTATAATGAATATAAATAAAACTTTGGTTATAGTTGTTTTTATATAATTTATATTTCAAACCTTTCAGGTATATCTTCAGGAATTTTTAAATCAGTTGATGCTTTACATATCAGCTTAATATCTTCTGCCTTATTTTTATTAAAAACTTCTTTTGCAATATTACACATTGCTGGTGAATATTCACAAGCATAAATTTTATGAGCACCAGCTTCACGAGCATACAAACTTAGTAATCCTGTACCAGTGCCTATATCTAAAACTGTATTGTAACCTAAGCATACTCTTTTTGTAATTGCTTGATAAAAAGCATGATTTCTACTTTTATCATTTAACATTGTGAAATGCCATCTATCTACAGCCATACTGTAAGCATTTTGCAAATTTCTTTCAGCTGGTAAAAAGTTTTGATCTGCTTCCAACGCTCTTTGTAAGTACTTTATTGCTCTAAGAAATTCTCCATTTCTAAAATAAGTTTACAATTAATTAGTTCATTAACTAAATTAATTATTTTCTTAGCTACACATTTTCATAATTGTATTGTTTATTAATACATTTTTTCTATAACAATCATAAAGTATAAGCGATATGAGAAACATAATCAAATATATACTACCGTAAAAAATGTGCAGCAAAATTATTAAGCATTATTGAATTATCAGGAAAAATTTCGAGTGAATTTTCATAGCATTTAATAATATCTTTCATACGATTATTCTGTTCTAAGTGGATTCCCCATTCACCTATTGTTAAAATAATAAAAGAGTTAATATTACATTAATTGAAAATTTAAATAATAAGCAATATGTAATTAATACATAATATTGTAGTAAATCTTTTTTTGAGCTCTGCTCTTTTTGATGGACAAAATTCTAATACTGCAGTATAATAAGCGTATGCTTGACCAATGTTTCCTTGAGCATCATGATCCAAAGCCTTTTTTAATGAAAGTTTTATTATTTCCTCAACTTCTTCTTGCATGCTGCTTTCAAAATATTTTAAAATTCAAAATTTTAATAAATAATTTATAAACTAACATTGTATAATTTTTTATTTTAAATAGATTTAGAAAAATAAAATAAATCAATTTTGATTACTTAATATAATATCAATAATTTAATTTTACTTTTGTAAAATTAACATTATATTAAAAAAAAAAATATTATAAATATGTTGAATGGTACTCTATTTTGAAACATCTAGTTTTCTTAATTATCTTTAATTTATTAATAATACGATAATAATTATACAAATGTTAATTTGTATATTAAGTACAGCATATTATCTTATACTTATATTTATTTTATAATCTGTATTAAACTAATTGATGATACATATTATATGAAAATAAAATTTATGAAGAAAATAAATAAATCTTAATTATATAATTATTTATAACTGAAATTATAAACAAAAATCATAAATTTTTATTTGAAATATAACATAAAATCTGTAAGGAAAATAATTCAATTATTCAATATTATATATACTATTAGTAATGTTATACTATTCTACTATAAAATTGGTTAGAAATTGAATTTAATTTAAAAAATTAATTTATTATTAAACTTTTTTTATCAAAAGTATTTGATAATTTAATGATATTTTTGTCACATATGATTATACATCAACTGTGTTTTATTAAATTCACTTTAAATATTAATTTTTCTTTGAAAGTGGATAAATATTTTTTATTGTAATTTATAATTAAATTATCAAATATACGTATTCAAATATTCAAATATAAATATTCAATAAATTTGCTTTTTATTTACATTGTGTATATTCGTAAAGGCATAGAAGGGAATCAAATCCGTTGTCTGCTATTTTGATGACTAATAACGTTGCAGTGTTAAATTCGAGTTTAGTAGTTTGTTCACGTCAGAATATTTGATAGGTGATTATTCTAAAATATAAATAAATGCTATTTATATTACATCTTTACCATTAAAAATTAGAATTTCAACTAGCATATACATCAATTAGTAGATATTAATTTCCATATCCTTCAAACTGTATTTAAATTATATTTTCAGAAAAGTTTATTAATAACCTATAATTATATATAATTAAATAATTACAAGAGTAATTTTAATGTGTATTTTTTATATGATCCAATATGTTAAAGATTTATCAAGGAATTTAATTATAGGCTTATTAAACAAATGCATAATATTAAAAAATAATTTAAATATTTAATTCAAATTTATAATTTATATAATTTAATTAATTAATTATATATGTTACAATTATAATTTAACATTACTTTTAACTGCAGTCATATTTATATTTTGTTTGAAATAAAATATTAAAGAAACCTCAGTATTTAGTCAATTATTCATTTTTATTCTTATCTATTATAATTATACTTAATTTTATTTTATTATTAAATTTTTTTATATACATCTGTGCTTTCTTATTTATTTTATATTTTTAATATTTACTTTTAAAATAAATATATTATTTACCATTATTATATTATAGTATTTATTTTTATAAATGTATAATATTTATACATATGTACAATAAAATGTATCAATTATGTGTAATAGGAAATTAGATTTAATATGAATATTTAATGTAATTGGTTACATATTATAGTTATGAAATATTGATTGTTAATAAGAAATTTTTTTTCTTCAAATTTAAGTTCAATGCAATTCTGTAAAATATATTTTTGATTATTTTTATTGATGAGATTAAATTTTAATTACATTAGTAATCTTCATAAATATTACATCACTATGTAAAATTATAAATAGATGAACGTTTCATTGAAGATTTAATTATTTGAAAATCAAAAATATTTTAATAAAAATAATTTAAAATATATAATCAAATAAATATAATTTTTTTTTGTATAATTAATTAATTTTGTATAATATATAATTTCGATTGTAATTGCAATAATTTTCAAATTAGCAAAATAATAAACAATTTTTGTTTATAAATGTATTAAATTTATTTATAATGAATATAAAAATTTGATTATACTATTTAACAACTATTATATTTGATGTTTAAGCTTGTAAGTTTATTTATAAAACAACAAAAATATTTTTATTTACAACAATTTATTATTAAAAGTAAACTATAAATTTAATAAGTTTATCTTTAATAAAACAACAATTATAATCATTAATTGAATTGAATTAAAAAAAAAACATAACTAATAATCAAGAACAAAAATCATATCTTCATCTCCATTACCATTATCTTCATCATCAAAATAATACTCGTCATTTTCAAACTCCTCTTCATCATTTTCATTAATTATTAAACCATGATATAACATATTAAAGCACTTGGAATGTGGATCACGATAATGAATATATGGGTCTCCACGATTTAATTGTACATTACATATCCAACAAAAGAATGTATTGCATTTCCAACATGTCATTTTATTACATCCATCAGACTTCTATGAAATAATGTATAAAATTTTAGTTTAAAATATTGATGTAGTGTTTTTATTATTGTTTAATCATTACGATTCATGGATCATTTGTATTTAAATAATTTAAAAAATTATAAAGTAAATGCAGTTTTTAAAGTATTTTTTCAGTATTATAAATAATAAACAATTTGAATAGTATGAATATAAAAAATTCTAAAAAATCATTTGTATATTTATAGTTATATCCTTATATATAATGAAATTTTGAAAGCTGAGTATTTATCATCAAAATATTTATTTAGTATTTGTGCTAATAATTATATATATATTTAAATATTAAATTGTTAACTCATTTTTTATTTGGAAAATTCAGTTGATATTAATATGCATTGTTAATTTATTTTCTAAATATTTAAAATATAACATTTACTTACCACATTCTTTATAAATATACGATATAAATTTAGATTAATATAATTAATGTACCTCTATTGCTGTATTACAATGGGGACACTTTTGACTATTTGTATGAATCCAATTTTCAGTCATACTATTTTCAACAAGCATTTGTAATTGCTTTTTACCATAACGTTGTTCTAATTCAGATTTCTTTTCATTTGAAGCTTCTTGATACTCTTTAGCAAGATTTTGTTTTTCAACTACCGATATTAAAAAATAATTAAATTTCTAATAATTATTATTTATGATTTATGTTTTATATTAAAAAAGAAATAATGATGAAGTCAGATTAATAATATTGATATAGATTAAAGTTTTACTTGTAATTTTACATGGTGCAATACCATGATATACAGCTTTACAAAAAATGCAAAAAACATATTGGCAAATAGGACAATTCGCCATTATTTCATTTGGTTCTTGACTCACTGGATATTGACAACTTTTACGTGGACAATAAATAATATCTGTCATTGTATCCAATGTAATATTTAATAATATAGAATCATATTTTGAAAATAATTCAGTTGACACTAAATCTTTAATCTAAAATAAAAAAACATTAATAAAAAAGATATACAAATGTTTTGTTTATATAATTAAATATTAATCTTACTTGACCAGGACTAACTTCAGATTTACAATTTTCTTTAGGACAAAGAATATTTTGCACAGTACCTTCTTTAATTCTTACTTCAAAATAACCAGTTATACATTCTTTACAAAAAACGTGAGTGCAGGGTAAAAATTGTGTACAATATTCTCCTGATTTATCAGTGAAGCATATTTTACATGAATATAAATTTTTTTTAAATTCGATCTGTTTTTGCATCTCATTATAATCAATTAACATTTGAACTGGATTTATGCCTATAAAAATATCATGCACAGCCCTTTGATCATGTACTTTATTTTTTATTTTTATTTTTTCCCTCACATAAATACTTCCATCTTTAAATTTACTTTCCTTAAATTTTTTATCATCAGTTATTGAATTTTGAAAATCAACTAATCCTTGTGGTAGTTTTGTTTTCGTTAAGGTCATTTCGTATAACTTATAAATATTATCAATATTAATACACTCTTGTATTTTTAAAAATTTAAGAGTTTCAGATTGTAGAAAAGAAATCCATGTAAACAAAATCTCTTGACCTGTATTATTTTTCCATAATTCATCTAATTCTTTGCAAAGCTTAGAAATTGAAAATACATTTAACCAAGAACATCTAAGAGTAAAATTTGGTGGTGAAGTTGATGGATAGTTTACTGGTAATAAAATTAATAACGTTAATGGTGGTAAATATGAAATATTAATTTTTTTTCGAGGTTCATTATTCAATTGATTGTCTGTATATGTGAAAAAATATTTTTCATGAAGGTTAATAAATATTTTAATGATAATTTCATATTGATCAACTTTTATACAATATGAAAATTCTTCTTCATTGTAGATACTTTCTAAAGCAGTTAGTTCATCTTTTTGTTTTTCACTGTCCATTGACTGCTAATAAAAAGATACAAGCTCATAAGTATTTATAAATATTTTTTATTAATTAATATAAAAAATTTTATTATATAATGTATTAATTTTATACGTATAAAAATATAATTATATTTTCAAAACCAATTATACATTATTTTTAATTGTATTTATTATGAATAATTTCAATGAAGAAGTGTTATAAGAGATTGCATATTAAATATGGTTGAATATCCAATTTTTGTCCAAATATCGAATATTTCATAAATTAATGATAATGTATAAATGGTTAGAAATTTATTATATTATAAATATTAAACTTAATCTATAATTAAAAATGATAAACATTAATTATTATAAAAATAAAAAATATTTACCGTTACACAAAAAAGTATTCGTCAATTCCGCGTGTGTGCAGAATCCATAGTAGAAGGTAAACAGTATATTTGTATATTATACTGTACGAACATGTCCAAATTTTCATATAATCCCGAGTTACGTTCGTTTTATGTATCTACTTTGGTCTAACTCATTTATCCATTTTTATATTTTTTAGTTTGTACTTATATGACAATTGCAGAGTACTTAGTTACGATTTAAACTATTATTTTTGAATCATTAGTTTGGAAGTTAAAAAAATTTAAATATATTCATAGTCGTCCATTTTATTATATACTTTTCAAATAATTGATAACTGTAATTTATAAAATTATATTTTCTTAAAATTCATGTATATTGATTCTTTTTATTAAATCACAAAAATAAAAAAGATTAGGTATTTGAATGAATATTTATAATATTTTAAGTGTTTAATTTTAATATTTATATCTTATTTTAAAAATAAATTTTAACATTTTTTAAATTTAATAAAAAAAAACTTTCAGAGTATTCAAAGCTAATTATGTTTAACCAATTAACTTTACAGCATGCTAATTGTATATTCTACTATTTATTCAGATTGAAAATTTACTTTTTTTCAAAATATAGTACTCTGAATATTATTATAAAATTTAATAAACCACAATACATCACGATTGTTGTAAAAACATATCATATGTACAATTTTTATTATAAATATAAGTATATATGGTCAAATATGTTGAAAAATGATAAATGAATGGATTTTATAGAATAGGTATTTGAATTGCCAAAGAAATTTTTTAATAACTAGTAAAATTTCTATAACTGGTAAATTTTTAATTATTTAAGATAATATATACATATAATATAATTATAATTAAAAAAATCATAGCTTATACTTTTGTAAATCTTAAAAGGAAAATTTCTTGTATTTAAAGAATAAAATTATATTTTTTAAGTCGTATTATTGTCTATATACAATATTACTGAGTATACTTATTTCATACTTCATCGTCATACATTTGAAGATGATCCAATCTCATCTCATTATTTTTCAAAACTTTTTGTAATTTAATATTGGTTTGTTTTTTTTTTGAAATTTTCTTTGTTCCAACTAAATACTCTGGCATTATAATTTTATTATGTCTAAATTCTGGTTTATCATCTTCTTTACATGATTCTTTTTTTATTTGTGGTTTTCGAAATGAAATAGTATTTTTATGTTCATTATCTGATATAGATCTTGCTTCTATTTCTATACTTTTATTGTCTGGTGTATTGTTATCTAAATCATGAGTTAAGTTTTGTGACCTCACATTTAGTTTTTCTTTAAATTTATATTGTTTTTTAAGTTCATGTTGCTTTCTTTGTCTTAATTCATTTAAAAATAAGAAAGCAGTTTCGCTATTAGTTTCATTTGAAATATCAGACACATTATCTAAGCTGTAACATGTCCACTTAGTTGGATTTTTACGATAATCTGGTATTATTCGAAATTTAGAACGTGGAGCTGGACCTTCAGGACGTTTAAATAAACTTTGGCGTCCTCGAAAACCTTTTATTTTAATCTTTTTATGTGATTTAATAGACAATTCCTCCAATCTTGGTACATGTGAATCTTTGTGATTGTTATGTTTATTTAATGATTTCTCTGCTATGCCAAGTTGCTCGTTTAAATGCTTTTGACGATCCACAAAATTATTATTAATATAAATAAAATTTTCTCCTGAATTCATATTTATCTTAAAAATAATAATAGAATATTATTATAAACATGAGTTTATTTAATTATTAAATATATATTATAAAAGTATTGCATATTTTTAAGAATAGGTTAAGTAGGTATTTCTATAAGACTCAATTTGTTTGTTAATATATGCACAGGTGTATAAATATCGTAATATAACAAACTCAGAAAATGTTAATAATCTTTTATTTAATCATTATAATTTTATAATCTTAATTATTATCATATTATTGTAGTAGATTAAACAGATTCTGCAATGATGAACACTTCATTTATGATTTGATATTTTATTTTATATATTGACAAGAGAAAGCTCATTTATTATTATAATACTTATTAATTATAAACAAATATATAATATAAATAGTAAAATAAATATAAGTTATTTCAATGCATTATAGTAATTTAATTTAAATTTATTGGCTATGTATTGTAAAGATAAAATGTATAAAGAAAAATAAATTAGTTTTTACTATAGTTTGTAATATTAATATATATTGTATACGATGAAAATTATTAAGTAATTATAATATATATATTTTATTAATTCAATATCAAAATTAAGTTGAATATCAAATGTTACTCGGTTATCGCGTACCTTGTCGAAAAGTTATCAAAGCACAACATACGTATAAGTAGTTGAGTATAATAAATGGTGGAGCTCTGTTGGTAAATTTACATGAATAATGCCAAATATAAATTGCGCAAATATTATAATTTTAAAAAGGCTAAAATAGTAAAAGTGAGAAAGTAGAGAAAAAATCAGATTAAACAATTATTGCACGTTAAGGAAGATAAATTTTTGAGTACCATTTGGTCGCATGCGCAATGATAAAATATTTATTACTTCTTGAATATGAAATTATAATTTATTCCGTTTATGGACAGTGAAAATGTTGAATATAATTTAATGATATTTAATAGGTTGTGTTGGTTACTATAATAAATTTAAATATATTTACTAGTTTTATTAAAACATTTGTACATAGTTTAATTCAGTAATAATGTGATTAGTATTTTTATTTTCGAATCATGGCTGTTAATTATATTATTTTATATTAGAATAAATAAATAAAATATTGTAATGCTATTACTTTTTTAACGTCGGATATAATAATAATATATTGACAGCCAATAACCTTATATTTCAATTGCGCATGCCTTACAAAAATCCACTATCCACAATTTTCTGTCGTGTTAATATCTTATTCTTAATGTTCAGGAGTTTCTTACATATGGGTGAGCAGTTGGGAAATATGAGTCATATCTTATTATTACGCTTTTCATTTTAAGAATAAATTTTGGATACCTTTCTGCCGTGTATATGCTAAAATTAATTCGGTGATTGTACTTTTATTATTAATATACTTTGGTAAATGCATGTTTTAAGTTTCAATAGTTGGAGAGAAAAAATACATGTTTTCCGAAGGTACATTTTGATAGAATGTTATGAACCGATGATTGAGGTTATGACGTTTAAATGAGGTTTGTAAATAATTAATTTATAATTGACATTGATGGTTTTGGACATTATAGCAATATTGTTTTTCATTCTTTTCAAAAACGAGGAACTTACTAATTTCATGGAATCTAAGTTTGTACCAAAAAATTTTATTAGTTTTTTCACTTTTAACTTACACACATTTTGTGCATTTTATTTATTTTAATTATTTCAATTTTTTTAGTCTCTTCAAAAGTAATTGCATTATAACCATTTAACAATTGATAAAAATATATTTATTAAAATACACTTGTAGTGGTTATCATTCTCTTATATTTTTAGATGATAATCTAATGATCAAAATAAAATATAAAATTTTTTGGATTATTCTGTTTAATAATTTTAAAAAATTTTTTAAATGTATTAATTATATTTCAAGTAGTTAAAGTAGAAAACTTATTAATTGTATTTAATTATTTTTAAAAGGCACAGTAAAAAGTTACATTACAAGAATCTGATTACAAGTCATCACATAATATCAGCATTATAGACAAAATAAAAGGATGTATTGTGTACAATGGCTAATACCTGTATTGCTTATACCAAAGCCTGTCAATCCAGCATTGCTACAAACTCATGTTATGTTCATGGTTCTTTACTTGATTGGATTCTTTTTAGAGAGAAAACCATGCACTGTATGCAGTCTTGTATTTTTGGCCACTGTGTTTCTTATTTGTTACAGTGGTATTGGCAATTGCCTTTTTTGGAGTAACAATTGCGATACTGTAAGATGTGACAATGGTTGAAGCAATTATTGAGATAGAAGACTTTAGAATAATTTTAACTAGTTTTAAATTTAGGTGCACTGTGTAAATGGAAAGTTGCGTTGTGCATAGTGCAGGGTCTAGTTTTACAATTGCTCGATATATTTTCGAGTTTCTCCATTGTAAATATTATGTATACAACGGTGAAGTATAGATGCAAAGATTGCATATTGTATTGTACATAAAGTCTTTCCATCAATTGTAGTAAATATTTATCCATTATAATTTGAGGTTCTATTTTTATGAGAAAATGTTGAAATGATTTTAAGCATGTAAATAGATTTAATTTGTTCAATATATATTGCTTGTAATTTATGGTAAACTTTTGTTTAAATATTCAAAAAGTTAAAATTATAAAATTTTAAATTACTATAAATTAATTTTTGAATATAACTAAATAATCAAATACTAAGAAAAATTACAATATGACAATTCATAAAAAAAAAAGAGATTATAGGTAACAATAATTTAATGAATTTTTCTATTAAATCAATTTGTTTTGGATCAATAGTTTTCATTCTCAAAAATACAAATTTGAATCAAAAGTATTCATACAGAATTAAAATATCAATATAATTCACATTTTGCAAATTAAATAGATTATTTAGTAATAAATTTTATAAATAAAAGTTTTGTATACTTATGCATTTTCTCATAAAATTCTCAAAATAACTACAAGTTTATTTTTAACTTACGATATTTATTATAGTATATACATAAATTTTTGAAACACTTAATTTTGTTATTTCCTAGACATTTTGATAAAACCAGTCATTTAATACTTAAACTAAAATTTAAAAAATCAATATGCTATTTTATTTAACTTACAGCATTTAATAAAAATAGCAAGTATTAAAATCATCAAAACAATATTTAAAAGAAAAAATACTTTTATAAGCTGACTTATCTAATTTTATAAAATATGTATAAACTTAAATCAATGAAGATATGAAATTAGTCACAGCACAAATATATATTTAGTCTGTGATAATATAATATATGTACTGAAATGAATATTTTCAGAATAACAGTGTAAGCAAAATAATGCAAATAATTTACTATTTAACGTAGGGATTTATCTACATTGACAGTGTTAGGCAAATTTACAATAACTGTGTCAATACTGTCAACATGTTGTACTATAGTAAAAAAAATTTAATCCTTTAAATAATAAATAAAAGTTTCTATTTTGATCATCGGAATAAGATATTTATATGAGAAAATTATAATCTTTTGAAATAATTAAAACTCTCAAATCATTCTCTTCCATGTAATATTAGGTGATTGCAGTTCAATGTAAATAGAAACAAATTTTTTTTTAATTGTGTTTATTAAATACTTTACAATTTTATAAAGCAAAACTGATTTCTTATTTTAAGAATTGTTACTAAAATATAAAATTTAAAAATAATTGCAAATTGGTATCAAATGATTGAAAATATAATTGAAAATTAGTCGCTAACTTTTATAAGTTTTAATTAGATTATGTATGTTTTTTACATAATTGTATTTATAATTGAATATATTATTTAATATTTAAATTACACAGATAAATTGTAACAAGATAGGCTTCATTTAAGTTAATAAATTAATAATAACTTATATTGTAAATGGATTTATTGCTTGCCTTTTCATTCCAATGTTATATTTGCTGTATTTAAATACAATATTTTGAAATAGTAATACTATATTATAAAATCATAAAAATCTTACATTTTATTTTTTACATCTAAATTGTAAAATACATACTATAACATTCAATTATTTAATTGAACTTTCTACTTTTCAATTTCAAAACAGTATTATTTATAATATTTATGCAAATAGATTATTAATTTAAATTAATTTTAAAGATGTTTGTTTTATCAAGGTTTATTCAGTTAATTAGGGCTAAATAGTAAATAAAAAACAAAATCTAAATTTTCATATTAAGGTACATTTATTGAGGAGCTTTTCCACGTCCAAAACCTCCACGGAATTCTAATTCACCAGTACCTGCACCGACATCTGCTTTTTTGTCTCCGGGTCCACCTGGTCCACGTCTATAACCAGCACGATCTTCAGCTGGTCGTGAAGTTTCGTTTCTGGGACCCATTGGAGGTTTAGCTCTTGTATTTTCTGAAGGGTTTTTTCTCTTAAGAGTTGCTGGCACAATTTCAGGTGGTAAATGAAGGTAATCACGCAGGTATTCAATACCATCATTGGTTAAATACCAATAAAAATGTCTCCAAGCAAATTGTTCTTTAACAAATCCCCTAGATTTTAAAGACTAGAAATACATTATTTTAATTATTTTATTGATTTATTTTATTTTATTTTATACGTTTAACAAACTTGCAACATGCTATAATAAATATCTTATTAAATTTTTTACTTAAGTGATTATTGTTTATATTTTATTATGTTGCTATTTAAATCAGATATATTTTTATACTCAAATTAACAAAAGTAGGTTTATAATCTACTTATCTTTTTATCCAGTGAAGATTATTTAATTCATTGTAAGTATTAAATCTTGTAAAAAACAAAAAATTTATAAATAATGTATTTATTTAAATTTTCTTTTTGTATAAGTTTCATACTCCTTATATAATTTATATACGAAAGTTAAAAGAATTTAGTCACATATATGAATGGTATAAATATTGAATTTTTTTTATTAAAACAGATAATAAATAAATTTAGGTAAATAAAACCATGTTTTACCTGCATCGCCTTAATCACCTGCAGATTTGGAATATTTTCAAGTGCCGGATGTTTTGGTGCATGGTAATCTTTTTTAGCAACCATTACACCTTCTTTAAAAAGATATTCGTAAATTGCGACACGATTTTTTTGAGGCATCAACATTCTGAAAAATCTAAATATATTATTTGCGTCAAGAAAATACTTATTTTATATTTATTATTTATAATTTATCATATCGCAAGCGTATACATATTCAAGGTTGTGACTTTTTATAACCTTAATATGGATAAAAATATATAACAAAGAATTATGAATAAAAAATAAATACTTTTTAAATTGAAATTAATTTATAATTTATAATGCAATGTAATTAAAATTAAATATAAAAATTAACAATTAAGGAATGTGATCCAAATGTACATTATTTTTTAAAGAAAGTTTACAAAATTGCTAGTACTATTTGTATTAAGATATTTATAGTAATATAATATATAAAATAAAAACAAAAGTTTTAAGAATAATTATAAGATGTATTAAAAAATAGTCGATTGTATAACACTGACATACTTAAAAATATCGGTTTGCTCTCTTACTGAAAATGAATCGTTCCCAGTTTTCTGAAGTATGCCGTGAAAAAAATCAGGTGCACACAGTGTTAAATGTACATTCGATTAATCGAAATTTGAATCGCAATTTGAATTATAAAAAACTTGAGTCTATATATTGGTACAAGTGTTTAATAATTATATTCATAGTAAACATCAATTATATTGATAATGAATTAAATATTTGATTATTGTATTTAAGAATTCACATAAAATGAATAAAAATAATAGGTTAGGATGCATTAAATTTCGAGAATTGAATAATCAGAAAGGAAAATCAGATGAAAAACAAACACGAAGAAATCATCTAATAATTACACCAGACGTTTTAAAATTATTTACCGAAACTTGTAAAACTGCTTCCAAAGAAATTAATTCTAATGATGAATTTGAACAAGAAAATAGTTCTCATAATTTTTTTGAAAATAACAGTGAATCAGAACATCTGCGTAAAGTTAATATTACCAAGAACAACACAGAAATTGAATTAAATATTGTTAAAAAAAAATCACAATTTTTTTCAAATTTTAATACATGTATAAAACCAAAAAATAATGCAAATGAAAAAAAGTAATAATGTTTGAATTATTTTAAATACTTTATTTTAAGATTAAATAATTATAATGATTCTTTTTTTACAGAATATATAACGTTCTGATAGGTAAGATTTCATCACGAAAGCATAAAAAGTGGGATAACGATGGTATATTAGAAATTGTTGGAAAGAATGCTGTATTAAGGGTTTTTTTTATTTTTTCTTTATTATATTAATATAACTATTATTTTTAAATTAATATTGTATTTCAACAATAAATTAGGACATTGATGGAAAGTTTATTGGAAAAACAATAGTTAAACCAGAAACTATTGAAGAAGGATTTAGATTTCATTTAGGAGAAAAAGAAATTGAGGTAGTCTGTCTTATAATAGTTTAAAATTTTTAAGTTTCTTGTTTAAATTTTCTAAAAAGTTAATTTATTAGATTGCTATAAAATATAGATAGCTAGAATTGCTATAAAATTTTTTATGTTTTATCATTGTTTTAAAATAAATATTAATTAATATGTACATATATATATTTTTTATAATAAATATTTTATACAGATATACTATATTATAGATTTATTTTCAAATATTATATTATTATTTTAATTATGTATTATATAATTTTAGATAGTAGAACTAACTTTGTTCAATGACTTTGTTCAATCCAGACCGACTACTATTTTAGAAAATAATGAAATTGTAGAACCACCTGTAAAGAAGACAAAACGATTAAATGAAATTCCTGTACTATCTGGTACTAATGAATAATTAAAACTGTATATTACATTAAATTTTATAATTTTAATTAATAATTACAGTTTTAATGATGAATACATGTATTTTAAAAATAATGAATACTTTCATATATTAAATTTAATTTTTAACAGGAAGTAGTTTACACTTTAATTACGAACCCCTTATAATGCCACAAATGCCACTTGATGCTAAATGCTTTCAACAAAATGATGAATGGAAATTACACGAAGTATGTGTTGATCCTTGTTTAGTTTCTGTATTAAGACCACATCAACGAGAAGGAATAGTTTTTTTATATAAATGTATAATGGGAATAAATAATTCTGATTATAAAGGTGCAATACTTGCTGATGAAATGGGTTTAGGAAAGACACTTCAATGTATATCTCTTGTATGGACATTATTAAAAAAGGGACCTTATGGAAAACCAGTGTTAAAGCGAGTATTGATTATAGCTCCTAGTACCTTATGTGAAAATTGGAATAAAGAATTTAAACAATGGTTAGGCTCAATAAAAATAACCCCTTATATTGTGTCAAATAAAAATACAATTAAAAATTTTACTAAAATTCCAAGAGCATCTATTATGATTATTAGTTACGAAATGTTTGTTAGAAATACAGGCACAGTAAATAATTTAAATTTTGAATTATTGATATGCGATGAAGGTCACAGGTTGAAAAATAGTGAAGTAAAAACATTGAAGGTAAAATAAATGTAAAATTAATCAATATTTTAGAAATAAATTGAATGGCTATTATTTTTATTTGTACTTATTATATCAAGTATGTATAGATATATTTCAACGAAATTATATTTAACTTTATGATATATTTATAATTTTTACTTTCTAATTTGTGTATATATATATATATATGTATAAGATTTTTAATTAATTTTTAGTTACTCAATCAATTAAACTGTAAAAGACGAATTTTGATAACAGGTACACCTGTACAAAATGACTTGCAAGAGTTTTATACCATAGCAAATTTTGTAAATCCAGGTATTTTTGGCAACTACAGCGAATACAAAAGTTATTATGAACAGATAATTGTTACATCTCATTACACTACTGTTGAAGAGAAAATGTTACTAGGACAAGAAAGGGCCAAAGAATTATTTGAAAAATCCAAAACATTTATTCTCAGGCGCACAAACAATTTAATTAATAAATATTTGCCTCAAAAACATGAAGTTGTAATATTTTGTCGACCAACTCATGAACAAATTTGTTTATATAAATTAATAACTGATTATTGGTTTAATAGAACTACTATGGGTAGAAGTACAATGTCTTTAAATGTTATCATTGCTTTAAAAAAAGTATGTAATCATCCTTGTTTTTTTACTAATGAAAAAAGTAATGTTTTGGATGAAATAATGTCTTCAATTCCAACTAATTTATTTAAAACAAATACTTCTTTTTCATATTCAAGTAAAATGAAGATAGTACAGGCAATTTTTGAAGCCTTAAAAATAACAGAAGAAAAATTGGTTTTAGTATCATATTTTACACAGACTTTAGATTTTTTAGAAAAAATTTGCTATATAGAAGGACTACAATTTTATAGATTAGATGGAAGCACAGCTTTGACATCACGAACAAAAATCATTGAACAATTTAATTCAAAGGATAATTATCATCGTAAGTTTTTTTATTAATTTCTTAATTATTCAAGAATCTTCACTTTATAAAATTATAATATTATTGATGAATCATTATTATTTACCAAAATAATTTTTATATGAAAAGAAAAAAGAAATTTATAAAAGTTATATTAGGTGTTTTATTTTATATATTTTATTTCTAGGTATATTTTTGCTTAGTGCAAAAGCTGGTGGAATTGGCTTAAATTTAATTGGAGCATCAAGATTAATTTTATTTGATTCTGATTGGAATCCAGCAAATGATATTCAAGCTATGGCACGTATCTGGCGAGATGGTCAAAAACGATCAGTTTATATTTATAGGTAAAGTATATTTATTTAACTAAAAATATTATAATTTAAATATAAAATTTATTTAATTATATTTTTGAAGGCTATTAACAACTGGTACTATTGAGGAAAAAATATATCAAAGACAAATTAGTAAAACTAGATTGAGTGAAGCTGTAATTGATGCCAATCACATTGCATCTGTAAAGATTTCAATAGATGAATTAAAGGTTTGAAGTAATTTATATTAATTTTATAATACAAATATAGCTTTAAATTAATATTAATTGGTTAAATAGAATTGGAATTAATATAATTTTTTTTAAGAATTTATTTTCATTAGATAGTAAAACATTATCAGTTACACATGATTTAATGGAATGTTCCTGTAAAGGTTGTGGTGACATACCATATAAAATCGATAAGAACTCTAGTTTAAAGTATTCAAGAGATTTTCAATTTAATTTTGTAACAAAGAAGTCTGAACAACAAACAACTATTAATCATCTTCTTGATTGGCAGCATTATAAGCCACCTATATCATTTGATTTAATGAAGGTATCAAATAAAAATATTTTTTTATCTACCAATCTTATTATAGTCTACTAAATACATTAATTTATAAGTAAAATAATTTATTCTAGGAGCTGATGTTACAAGAAGTTCAAGAGCATATTAGTTTTATTTTTAAAAATACAATAAAAAAATTAAATAATGTATAAATGATAATAATAATGAAAACAATTTTATTTTTAACATCTTTTCTTCATAATTTTATTTAAAAAATGACGACTTGCCCTTTTATAATGTAATTTTTTATTTATATTACAATTATATTTTGAATTTATATTTTTGACTAAATTTGATCTCATAATACTTTTCTATTCATTCTAATAAATCATTTTACAATTTACTTTTTTTTATTATATACTTCATAACATGATCAATGGAATTTGGATTATTAAATAATTGTTTGAGTTCAATTAGCTCTTGCTTGTTTACTTCTATAAGTGGATTTTTATTCCATTGAGTAAGTAGTCGTTTTGTTATTATTAAACTCTGAAATGATAAATATGGATAATTTTTTAGTATTTATGTACTTCAAGATATATTTTTAATTAATTTTCATGGTCAATAAATTAATATGTAATAAATTACGACTAATTTTAGCTATTTTTTATAGTATTTACAATATTTAATTTAGTTACTTTTAAAAAATAATACCTCTTTAGAAAATGAAGAAATATTCTTTAAATATGTCCATATTTCATTTGCTGTGTTTGATTTGTAAATTTTAGAAACAAATCCAAATCGTAACGCTTCTTTTGCACTTAATTTTTCTCCAAAATACAATATTTCTCCTGCCTTTAAATTATAATTTTTTATTTGTTAAATATGTATAATAATTATTTAAAATTTATAATTATACATACCTTAGATGGTCCAAAAATTCTTGGGAATGTATATGTTGAGCAACCCTCTGGGGATAATCCTAATTTACAAAATGGAGTCATAAAATAAGCCTGTTAAAAAAGAATTATTCAATATATTTGGACATGTAATATCTACTTAAACGTTAATAAAACTTTATTTACTGTATTTGTTGCATACACAATATCAAAAAGTGCTAAAGTAGTAGCTGCAATTCCGATAGCTGGTCCATTAACAACAGCAATTAAAAGTTTTGGATACAATATAAGTGATTCAACAAATTGTCTTAAAAGTTAAATTAATATGTATTATAGTTATTTCAATAAATAGATACTTTGTTAAGGAAAAATTACATACTGGATTATATTTATTTCATTGTCTGCATTAATATTTTTATTTTTAGTATAGCTGAGAAAATCATTGCCGCTGCTATAAAAATCTCCATTACCTGTTATCACAACTGTAGTAACAGCATCATTGTTTGCAGATTCATTTAATATTTTTATGATATCTTTATACATCTTTATAATAATATAATTAATTTTAATTATATTATTTATATATCAATATTTAGTTTATAAAATTAATTACAGATTAATATAAACATTTTCATATAAATTATATATATTATTAATAATAAATGAGTTAAATTTTCTTACTTGACTTATGAAAGCATTTTTTTTTTCTGGCCTATTGAAAACAATTTGTTGCATTCCATTCTCAATATTTGTTATAATCAGTGATTTCTGTTTATTTACCATTATCTAAGTTTACTTCAATAATTACTTTGCAAATATTACAGTATAATTCAGGTTATGTGATGACGTGCAGCTTATCTTATGCTTGATGACTTAGCACAGCGACTGATTTAAATTGGGTATTATAATCTACATATTTGTATGATTGTGACTTTAGACAGCAAAATATAATGAATCGAAAGTTAATGTTAAATATTCATGATAATATTGGATTAAAAAAAAGATTTTTGTTGATGACTATTTTACTAAATCACCAAAATTGTGTCTAATTTAGATTTATCTTCCATGCATGTTCAATGTTTGATCTCTACGATGTTTGATATTTCTAACTATGTTGAATTCAAACTTCACGTAGTGGCACATAAATGGAAAGGAGATAAACATTTTAAGCATAGCTTTAAGATCGAACAACGCGGTCAAAGTAGTAGAAGTCGATAGATTTGCTCTTCGGATATTGGCAAAATATGTAAATGCAAGGGAAATTGAAAATCGTACATAAGGTCATGAAGGGTTGTGCTCATTTATCTGATATTTTTTAGTTAACGTTTCCGGGGCAGTCAAAGGCAATAAAATGATTTGAAGGGGCAATTGCTTGAATGATCGACTGATTAATTGATTGACCTAATTAGACTGAACCGGAGTCATTCTTAGTATTAGATTTGTATTATATTTACAAAAATTTACTTTAAAATAACAATTTAATTATATAAAATACGCTGTTAATGTTGGAAGAAAAGTAAAAATATTATTAATATTTAGAATTAGAAAAAAATGTTTATTATTCTGTTGTATATTACAAAATTTAAATGTATTTTCAGGTACTTCGATATAATGTTAAGTTCAATACGAATTGTATACAACAATAATTATTCAAATATATAGGTATTATAAAATCTTTAGACTATATTTTTTTTTAATGTTTAAACATTAGAATGGTTGTAAAAATCTGTAGTTTTGTAAAATTGTAATACCTGTACAGTCTGAATTTTCTAATTCAATTAATTTATAGTTTTTCATTAATTTCTAAAAATCAATTTAAATAGGTAGATAGGATTATTTCTAGTGAATTTTTATTTCTAATTTGATTTTAATGTACATTAAATATATACCGACTTTAGTCATACAGCATATGTTTGACTATACTCGATATTTATAAATGTTTGTTAATATAATGCTTATATTATTTTGCAAATGTAGTTGCCTTAATTTTTAAGAAAACAATCCTATATTAAATTATTGTATTTAATATTCATTATGCACATTTTTATAATTATGTTTTTCAGAATTATAATGAAATAGAATATACATAACAATAAAACAACACACTGGGTTGTAAAATAAAAAATGTTTAATAAGAGTTCAATCATATTAAAATCTTCAAAATTATAAAATGAAAGAAAGCCAGTACAATTAAAAGAATATTAATTATTATTTAAAATTTTTATACTTTTATTATTCAAAAATAAAAATACGTTTAACAGATAAAGTAATTTTATAAATTTTTTTTTTCTAAGCTAATTTTTAATTATGGTTATTTTTATATTATTAATTATTTTACGATTTTCATATTATTACAGTTTTATTATAAATAAATTATTAAGGATAATTGGATAATTTATATTAAAAAACAAATTAAATAATTTTGGTCAAAAGCAAAATTAATTTAGCATTATTTGATAACTAAGAATACTTAAAAATAGTTTAATTAAAAAAAAGTCGTCAAAGTTTCATTTAATGTTTTCTAAAAATTTCTAATTTGCATGATAAATAGTTTTCTCGAGCTTAAAGAAAAATTTCAGATAAAATAATATAAATAAATTAAAACGTTATTTGTAATTTTAAATAAAATACGATCGATAAATTATTTATGAAATAATTAAATTATACCATGTTTATTTTTTAAATTTCATGTATATTCAAAAGCACTTTATAATTGTAAAAATTATTTTAAAAAGTTTTGATTGAATAATTTACAAGATCTTTTTTATTATTTTCTTATTTCATATTATAATATCTTAAATAATATATAACAATAGTTCCTTTAGAATTTCCAAGTTATAATAAATAAATTACTATATGTTTAAGGTTTTAAAATAAACAATAAAAGTTATAAAATTATTAGTTATATTAAATTCAAAATCATATTAATTAATATACAATTAATATAACATACAATTGTAAATTTAAAAAAGATTTTAACTGTTGTGTTTTTATTTTACTTATTGTGTTTTAATTTAACTATAAAATGTGTTCATCACAAACAAGTTTTTAATAACGAACAATTTTAATTACTTTTATGAAATTCTCTTAGGACATAAACATATTAAAAAAAATCTATTTATAAAAATAAAGACTCTTTATTTGTTTTTAAATTAAACTTTGTTTAGAATAAAATTATGACCACCAGTTACCTGGTGGGAGAATAGTTTGGGCAAGTGGAAGGGGTAGCGCTTCAATTCAGTATTTAACACATCTGCTTTTCGTGCTTGCTATTTCGTTTATTTTACAACTACAATATAATTCTACATTGATGATAAGAATCGCTAGGATCTTGCCATTTCTTGGTTGTTGCCACGTGGTGTCAGCATGCACTACTTGTAGAGGTAGGAGGTCGTAAATCTCTGGATCCTCTTGATGCAGTGCACTTAGTGGTAAAAGACTATACTGAGAATCGTAGAGGTCGTAAATCTTTTGACACTTCTTCGTGCGATGTCACATAGTGGTAACTTTATTGCTAGTCTTCTCCAAGCTGTCTTGTGTCGTAGATGGGTGAGAAGGGCCTTAGAAGACTCTACTTCGTATGAAGCTGTTGAGTATATCTTCCGTAACCGCTTTGCTGAGAGTATGCGATTTCCCAAGTGACTCCTTCTTATATAACTAGCGTCTGTCTCGTAATGCGCTTGCCTTAAATATCTATGCGGCAGCTTTGTTAACTGACAATAAGGAGGCGATTGTGGTGCTTGAAACAATGGTTGCGATTATGCACTTGTTTTTCCGGACCTCGAATGACCCTTGGAAAATTTTACAGAAATTATAACCGTTGGGGTTTTCCCAAAAATGATAGCCTTTGGGATTTTCTCCCGAATTAATAGCATTCGGGAGATTCTCGAAATCTCGAACATTCTGCACGCCATTATTAATTCAATCGATTGGTCGAAGTTGTTTTTAGTATGACTACTCTGGTCAGCCCATCCATGCCAGGATGAATGTTGATTACTCGGGCGAGGGACCATTTGCTCGGAGGAAAGTGCTCGTTGTGATAAGTACCAACGAACCAATCTTGATGTCATTCTGTGGATATCGATTGTTGTCATTATGTACACTTGGGCACCGTACGTGGGGGGTTAGAGTCTGTTCTACGCTGATCTCTCCCTACTACCACTTCGTGCATTCGGGCAATATACGTGGGGGTCAGAGTCAGTCTTTATATGTGGAAGTGAATTCTGATCTCTTCCCGATACCACTTCGTGCATTCGGGCACCGTACGTGGGAGTCCAGTCAGTCCTTAGATGTGGAAGTAAATGCTGATCTCCCCCTACTACCACTTATACTCGGACACTATACGCGAGGATCAGAGTCGGTCGTTATACCTTGAAAGACGTGAAATGCTGCTGTCATCTCATTTGAATATTTCTCGAACTGAATTATACGTTATCACTACGCGATTGATTTCTTCTTCCAACACCTTTTCATTCCCAGTTACCTTGTTGAACAAGCACACGAAAATGAACGCATGCGTGAGGTTCTATGCTTAGAATTAACATGCAACCGTTGATACCATCTCATCAGTTGAAGAGTGGTGATAAACTACTACTTCTTTGAGTTGTTCTTGTTGTAATATCTTGTTCTTCCTGTAACAGCGTATGATGCCATTTGGTACACTTCATACAATTTTGTTTACTCCTGAACATCTGAGTGTAGTTAGTGGTGCTCCAAGCACTTGTAACACAGGTGTCGTTTCCTCGTGAAATCCCTTCTTTTCGAAATTAACAGTCCGTTGAACTTTGGGCATACAGTCACAAAATGTCCCTCTTGGTAGTAGTCGCACACCTTGTTATGCTTTGGACCTTCTTGTGGACCTTGCAATTCTGTTTTTACTGACGACTGGTAAACTCTCACCGTGCTATTCGTCGGTAGATGAGACTGGTCTGGGCGCCTAGAAGCCATAGCTTGTTTTATGTTTTCTAGAGCCCTCACTCAAGACAATAGGAACGTTTTGAGTTGCTCAAACTTGGAGTATGTATTGGGATCGCCTAATGAGCTTTCCCACTGCTCTCTGGTGGACGGTTATGCAACTGCATTTCTGTGAGTACCACACGCATCTAATACAAAAGTAATAAGACACTTAGACATCTAACAAAGGCCAACAAGGCCCTTATAGTAGTGCAACTAACACAAGACCAATACGATCCTAGAGTGCATCTATCAAAAGGTCAACAAAGCCCTGCTAATAGTACGCCCAGCACACGGTCAACTAGACCGTTCTTATAAGAGTGCGTCCAGCACAAAGCCAACAAAGCCTCTTCAGTGAGGACATCTCAACAAGTTACCATCACGTGGCACCACATGAAGAAGTACCAGAGATTTACGACCTCTTAATTCTCAGTGTAATAATTTACTATCGAGCACATTACGTCAAGAGGATCCGGAGTTTTCATACCTCTTACTTCGCAGTATAATAATTTACAACCAAGCACACTACGTCAAGAGGATTCAGAGATTTACGACCTCCTACCTCTGTATATAGTGCATGCTAACGCCAGGTGGCAACCACCACGGAACTGCAAGATCTCACCGATTGTCAGCACCATCTTAGAATCATTATTGTGTAGCTTGAAAAATAAAAGACAATAAACAGTACGAAAAACAAATGGGTTAAATATTGAATTAATGCGCTATTCCTTCCACTTTTTTCCCCCACCAGGCAACAGGTGGCCATAGTCTAATCCAGTCATCTTGGTCCTTTGACCGCCGCATGAATGAAATTCTAAACAATGGCACTTTAAAAAGTATTCTTTATAAATTATATATGTAAATTATTTTGACTATATTTTGATGATCAATCATTTTCATTCGACGGCCAATGATTTTTATCATTTGAAATAGAAAATTGTCTTACTACAATATTTGAACTCTAATCATAAACAGCTACATACAAATTTTGATTATTATAAATGCTTTTTTTTAAAAACACTAGGAATTATTTGTTTCATACAGTTTTTAATATTTAGAAATTGTTATTCCAAATATTCATGAAATATATTATTTATTTACATCAATAATGTTTGTGTTTATTATTAAGCATTCTGATTAATCATTCTGATTAATAAATATGTTTCAACTCATTATTTATACGAATTCTTAGGAATTAAATAAATGATAATAAATAAAAAACGTATTAATGCTTACTTAAACATTCCCATTATTATTATATTATAACATTCCCATTATATTTCATAATATACATTCTTCAAATATATGTAAATATAAAAAATAGATAAAGTAGAAGAAAAATAAAATATAAACACATTGGTTATTCACACGATTGATAAGTCAGTGTTTGTAAACAAGTGGTTTTACTTTTATGTAACATAACCATCAACACACCATATATCTTAATTTAATCATTTTTACGTTAACAACTTCTCAAGTAGCTACATCTAGACGTAGTCTTATCATAAATTTTTTTTTAAACATTAATAAATGATATTAGAATTATATAAAATTATATAATTATTATATAAAATATGTATCTTTTTAACTTATAAAAGAAACGATTGTTTACATTTCAATTTCATACATTTTTGATGTCATGAGTGAGTACCATTTACAAATTTCTTTAAAAATAAAGAATACCAATGTAGAAATGTAAATAAAAAAGTGACATAAGATTTGTAATTTGTTGTTTTGTAAAAAATATAATTAAATTAATCGATGAAGTTATTTGTATAAAATACTTATGCCTAAACTTAAAGTAATAAATATTTGTAAATCATTAAAGTCATTAAAGTACATTTTAGTTAAGAAACTAAGTTTAATCTTTCTTTACATATAATCTATTACTTAAATTGTATATTTCACTTTTTTATAAAATGATTTTAATGGAATACAAAAATATTAATTAATCATGAATAAATTAGCATAATTTTACTTAAGCCGCATTTACTCATTTTACTTATTTTCTTTTAAAATATATCTATACAAATATACATAAAAATATCGACGTTTTTACATATAGGGAGAGAGAGAGTTTGTTTACATGCATATTGAAACGCAGCTCAAAATCCAAGTAGAAAGGTTCCAAACCTTTTAAAAACTACCTGATGCATTTGATGTGCAAAAGTGTATTTTTTCATATGACTATACAATAGGTATACTCAATCTAATTAATTTTGTTACTGAAAATGTGTAATATGGATATATGATATTACTGTAATATTATAAACAGGTTTTGATTTAAAACTTATTAGATTTTTTTGATAATTTATAATCATTTTAAACAATACACTTTGCAACATAAATAATTTGAGATGTACTTAACCGTTTCAGCTCGTTTTATAGGAAAAAATGGAAAGAAAAATTTAGAATGACTCTTTTTTATTTTATAAAAATTTTTTATACAAATTTAATCTTAAAGAATGGTTATAAACGCAAGCTTTAATCGAATAATTAAAAGATATTGTTTTTGGGTTAAATAATTACATACGGGTACTTTATTTATCAAATGTTTAAACAATTATCATTAGTTAAACTATATATATTTTTCAATTTTTATAACTTTTGCATAGAATAAAATTTAATCTGAGATATTTTAAAAGTAATAAATAGTGAATAACAGTAACATCAATTAAATATAAAAAATCTACAAGTTAATTTAATGTTTTGGTCTGAACTCCTGACATATATGCACTCCTATGCATTAGAATAGGATGGGATCATTTTTTATGAATCAGTTGTGATTTCAGCAAGAATTTAGGATGTAGCACATTATAAAATATAGGCTAATTTAGGTACAGACAAATTTAAAAGGAATGAAAATAATGTTGTGTGTTTTAAAAACGTAAGTTTTTAAAAAAAATTTATAAATAATTATTAATAAATGAGAAACAAATTTTGCAGTTATTTTGTAATCTACTCAAAAAGCATCATTAAAATTTTAGTGGGTATATTTAATAATTGCTGTATGATTAAAATAAACTTATACAGTATGTTATTGTGATGTGCTATTTTATTTGGACATTAGTGCCTATGTACATCATTTTAGGAGGTAGAGGATAGGTAAAGGTAAAGTACTTAAGTCATACAAGATATCTCCTGATGCCAATATCGAGAATTTGGTATAATTTTTAGAAATATTATGCATGATACATTAATACTTTCGAAATAATAAATTAATTTTTTATAAAATAATATATTTTCTAATAAAGATAAACTAAAATATATACCGAAGCGAGTATATATTTTTTTCATGAATCATATACTATAAAAATATTTTATGTTTATTTTGATAGCTTTAGGTGATTATAATTTAACGTCGAAACTTGTTCATCAGACTTCTCTTTATGAAAAAAATCATAATTAATAAATTTATGTCGTGAATATTTTATATAAAGAAGAATACTTTTTTTATATAAGTGCTATATTTCGCCAATGATAAATATTTAATATACGACACTTTTTGAGAAAGGAAAAATAAGATTGATAAAAAATTACCTATAAACATAATATTAAGAGCAAGAGAGGATATATACGGTTTCACTGAACAAAAATAGGATAATCAATAAAAAATATCCATAAAATTTGTAAATATATATTTTAAATTTTCAAAAGATTTAAAAATATACTTTTTTTAATCATGATAACATGAATATATACGTATAAGCATTATCTGATAGGAGATTGTATTTAAAGGATAAGAGATTATTGCAAGGGTAAAGCTTAAAATCTTTTGAACTTTATTCAGTATTTGAAAATTGCAAATAATTAGCTAAAAAGAGATACTTTCTTCTTCTTATTATTATTGATATTGCGAACTCTATGTAGAAGAGACAATATCTATGGTAACTTTCATTATAATTGCTAAAAGAAAGTAATTATAATTGCTTTAGTTAATAAAAATTTGTGTTAAATTATGCATATCTGCAAATATAACAATAGACAATTAATTTCATAAAAACGAATATCTTTTTCTTGTTTAAATTTTTTAATGTGAAAAATCAATTAAGAGTTATGTTTTTATCCTATTATTATTTTATAAAATTATTATAAAATTTTATCTTTCACATTCATTGATCACAGTGTTACATGAGTATAATACCATGTAATTAACAGTCTATATATTAATATGTTTGAGATAAATACCAAAAATTATCCTAAACACATTTAAGTTTATTTTAAAAGATTCTAATTTTATAGATTTTTCAAACCAACCTTCGAATTTTATTTCATCCAATAATTATTTAAAATAACTTAAATCAAATTATCGTTTCGATTCGAGTTCAATTTTATCAGGTTTACGAATATACTCACTTTTTCAAAACATGTTTTATTTTTATAATATAGTTAAAAATATTCCAATAAAAATATTTTTAATTAATGACTATCATAAGTCAATACTAAATAAAAAATATTTCGATATATTCTAAGGTAACTAAAGAATATAAATATTTATGCAAAAATTACCATTATTAATAAAATTAAATGAAATATTAAAAACATGTAATTGTATGTTATAAGTTTTAAAAAATTGTAAACTATTTTTAAAAATACAAAAATCAAGAGTCGGTATATAAAAAATGTGTACTTAAATTATAAATCGATATAAAATAAATATTATTTTTTAAAGAATCACTCTAATAAAGTAACTTTTCACTTTTACTTTATTCGTTCAGATTTTGAAGTATTTTATATTTCTTCTAGATAAAAAAGTAATTTTCGAAAGAAAATTGTATTTCTCAATATTTTTCAAATATTGACCTATTCTATACTTAGAAGAGAACATAAATATCTATAGATTTATGGTTATAGAAAATTTTTGAAAAGTAATATTATTAAAAATAAATAAAAATTCAATTAATAATTTCAAAGTGAAAGGTCGTTAAATACGCGTTTGCACGTCGACATTATACGCCGCAACGAATCATTCAATTATAAAATTTCATGTCGTAAATCATCTATAATAAAGTAAAATGTCCATGCAAATTTCAAAGCTATACATTTTACTGTTTCAATAATTGATCGTCTTCTTACTTAATATTTCGAGACGAAACGGATAAAATGGTGGAGGATGACTCCGTTGAAATGTATAGAAGACAGATACCTGCAGATCTTGAAGATTATTATTCAGACTCAAATATAATTTTGGCTCGTTTTAGTATTCTATTGGACCAGTAGTTGCAGAAACAGGTCTAGAAGAGTGTGGCTGACCCTGAGCATGTTTGCCATCTTTTATGGCTTTGAACTTTATCCAGCAGTCTACGCCGTAAAGGCACATACCAACGAAACCACTGAACTGAAAAATACAACATATGTTTATATGTAATTTTTAAATATTATATTACAAGACTTACAATATTTCTCTCAATAATTAAATAACTATACATGGAATATCTTGATAGTTATATTTGATCAGTAAATAGGTTTATAATTTACAACAAAAGCAGAGTGTATCATATTTATTAGAATGTTAATTGCTGAACAAAAAACTAAAATTTATATCATTTAAGATAATTTAATAAATTTATAAATTATATTTAAAATTGCTCATGAATATTTCAGAAAGTAATTTTATTCTAAGATTATGTTTACAATTAGATAAAACTAACTTGTTTCTTAAAATTCCAAATAATTATTTATATATAGTATTGTATTGGTCCTCTATACATTCAAAGACTGTTCATTATAGGTATTTAAAATCAGAAAAAACAATAGCGTTTAATGTATTTGATGTACATTTGTTATACAAATATATTAAAAGTAAACAAATAAATAGAATAATTTAGAAAATAGAAATTAATTAACACTTACGGCGGCTACACCCAAGCTTTCACTTGAAGTTGCAAGTGCTGCGATTAATGACGCAGCCAAAAGATAACAAGCAGTCACAATGGCACAGTAAATAAATTCCTACGTATAACAAAGAATTTATTCGTTTTGAATGGTAACATTTAAATTTAGTTTATATATTATTATAACATTTCACTTATATATAAATATAAAAATATATAAAATATAAGAATATATAAAGATATAAAAATATAAATATTTTATGACATTTATTATTAATATATTAATTTATTAATAATAGCATACTTACTATCGTTACTTATTTAATCTAGAAAATTATTTTTAGATTTAATAATATATAAATCAGAATCGAGCATTCATTTCTAAGTTATTTACAAAATGAAATAATAATTCTTTATAAAATGATTTATCAGAATTTAATAAAAATATCTACATATAAAATGAAGAAGTTTTAAATTTATTTGTATTCCAAAATCAGGTTCATTTTTTTTTAAACATTAATATTATGTCTAAATATTTTAATTTCCTTATTATAAAGAAAACATTATTTTTATTACATACCAAATACAATATTAATACACAAAATTATGTTGTCTTTAACGGAAGTGATAAATAAGACGATTATCATGAATGAAAAAATGTACGTACGTAATATAATAATTCCTTGGATATATATGTGTATCGACTAACCTCAACTTTGAAATAATTTGAAGATATTGTTAATTTTTCAACGTTACAATTGTCATTATTTTTATTTTATGGCACATTTTTTAAAATTTCATGTTATTTACTTGGCTGCAACTAAAAAATAGTTGACATTTTGGCACCAACAAAAGAATAGTTGATTAAGTATTACAATAAAAAGTAATAGCCAGCATATTTTTTCTCTATTTATAGGAAAACTAAAATATATTCTTTTGATTTAAAAATTTTGGTTCGACAGAGAACTATCGATTGTTAAAAGCTCGTATTTTTTAACAGAAAATTATCATTAGCGTAATATAGAAACATAACAGCAATAATTTATATTTTTAATGTCATATAAATAGTAGTTTTTTTTGCATTTTTTCTGCATTTTTTATTTATTAATGTTAATTAATTAATTACATTGAAATACAAACTACATATCATTTAAACTGATCTGATGAAAATAGCATTGGATATACATTTTCTTCACTAAGCTGAAAGATGATTTATAACAAAACCTTTTAAAGATATTTTAATTTAAAATTTACTTAACTGAAAAGGTCGAATGATAAAATGACATTCTTGTTTATTAAAGAATAATGGAACGGGCAACAATAGAATTTGAATATTTGCGAACATATTTGTTATAAAAAAAAGAGTTCGTTTTATATATAGTTTATACAACTTTATAATTTATTCACTATTATTAAACTTGTGAATCCTCTTATTCTTGAATTTTTATTTTTTTTTGTTTATGAATGACATGTACAGCAGCGATGATTATTTTCAACTAATCAATTAGTGCTAATTTACTTATGTTTTCAAGAATTACAATATAAGTGTTTTCTACTTCTCAATACTAAGTTTAGAATACTTTAAATATGCCATTACATTGAAGTTTTACCCTTCACGGCTTATAAGCTATGCTATTATCCATAACATTATACTTACAATTTTCAGCCATGGTATTTTGTAAAACTTTTCGATGATATGAAACAGGTAAAAAGCTAGAAGTATACCAGTGGTCCAGAATCCAGCCATAGAAACAGTATTGAACCAACCACATCGGCTATGACTGCTAATGTCGGATGCGAGTACGGAGATGAAACCTAAAATATTCGCCATCTATTCCATTGAAGTGAAAAAGTATTATTAAAAGAAAACGTTCACAATTTTTTAATATTGACAGTTTATTTTGTTCTAAGGTATTATATTTTATATTTGAAAAATACGTAAATAAAACATCTATCTGAAACAGGAATCGTAAGAAAAACTAACAATAGTTCAATTCAATTGAATTTAACTTTTGCTTAAATCTCAAACTATTCGAAAAATATTGATAACTTGAAAATAATCATTGAGTGGTTATTATTAAAAATCAATTGTCAAAATGTTAGTATGTGCTTTAACATGTGTTGTATTATTTTAATATTTCAATATATAATAAAAATAGTTACCATTCTTGTTGGTAAAGACTTTTATATTCAGAATGTTCAATTCTGAATTCGTTAGAATTTTAAATATTCATTTAAAACAATACATATTTTATGTTCAATTACACTAGTATACTACAGCATAATTTATTTAAGTAATATGTTAGAAAAGAAAATAAACCGGTAAAATTCGACAAGAAAGAAATTTTGTTCATAAAGGCAACTCGCTCAAGTTCCACTTTAATATTATTATAATACAAATAAGAATATAAATTAAGTTCTTGGGTAATTAAGTCTATTCTATTGGAACTTACCATCTCAAGGATTTTCACCCTTCCTGATAGGGTTAGTATGTACGACGGATCGAATCGTATATTTGGAGGCGTTTGGGTTGATGCTGTTGTTGTCGTATTAACTTGACCTGGAAACGACTGCATGACTGCTGCAATATAAATGGTAAAAGGCAACGAGCGTTATTACGAGCATTTCATAATACTGATTCTGCTATGAGCAATAATCTCATTGTATACGGTATTATTTTTAAATTATTGTATATTACTTTATAATTTAATATTTGGTCCATTATTCAATAGTTTTTATTAATAAGCTTATGATTCTTTACACATATTAATTTGGTTAAGCTAATAAATTATAATTTATTTATATATTACTACTAATAATAATACTAAAAAACATTATTCGCCTTGAATTTGATATTGAAAAATAGATACTATAATATTAAAATACGCCTTTTGGTAGAAAACCAGTATAGTAATTTTAATATTAGTAATTGGATATTTTCATTTTAGACTATTCTTATTTAGTAAAACTGACACGAATTTTTTTTTAACTTATTTTGCAATAATAAAAATATGAAGGTTGCAAAAGTTTAGAACAGTTATTCTTAATTACGTTTTCTTAAATATATTTAAAACAAAGTATAATCAATAATAACGATAAACACTGGTATTCCATATAAGAAATTTTCTATTTATTTCGATAATAGTATTATTGCACGAGAATATAATATTTGGCTTAAAAGAGTATAACTACAAAAACTTTTGGATAACGCCAGCGAATGTTGAAATAGATATCAAATATCTTAAGAATAAATTTTTTTACTATTAGCCATTGTTATTAGCTTTTTGTTACTATCATTGTTAGGTATTGTTATTTTTTTCGCTGTTAATGCCAAAAAGGCAGCATATAACAGCTCCTTGTAACATTTCAGAGAAGTTAGGATATTATTACCGAAAAGTGAAAAATTTAGATAATCGGTATATGGATCTTTTAAAACACGAAAATTGCCTTCAAAATCTAAAAATCTGATTGAGAGTTTTATAAGTAGATAGCTTTTGATATTTATATATATATATATATATATATATAAAGAGAGAGAGAGAGATACTTATAAAACTCTCAATCAGATTTTTAGATTTTGAAGGCAATTTTCGTGTTTTAAAAGATCCATATACCGATTATCTAAATTTTTCACTTTTCGGTAATAATATCCTAACTTCTCTGAAATGTTACAAGGAGCTGTTATATGCTGCCTTTTTGGCATTAACAGCGAAAAAAATAACAATACCGTTCATTGCGATTAGTGGTGATTTGAAACTCTGTGTCAATTTATTATATTGTTAAAATTCTTATCTATTTTTTATCCATTTAATATTTTACCTTAAAAAATATTTCATACATCATAAAAATATCCTCTAAAAATTTACGATAGGGTTACTTTGCATTATAGGCACAATTATTAAGGTAATTATAATTTTATTATATAATTTTTTTTAAAAAACAATTACCATAAAATTTCTTCTGATAATTTAGTTTTTTTGTAAATTATAAAATATATTCAGAATAATATAAAATATATTCGCATATTATAAAATATATTAATTATATCGAGTAATTTCAATCATTAAAATATGTGTCCAAAAAAATATTTGATTATAAATTATTTTTCACTACAAATGGAACAAATTCACACTATTAATAAACGTATAGTATTGATGAATAAATCATTCTATTCCTAGAAATATTGAAGCATAAATATAGAAAAAAATCACTAATTTAATCGAATGTGTTTATTTGGTGTGACGACGTTTCATAAATAATGCATGAAAATAAAGTAAATGCCTTAACGCTTGTGATAATCTGCTTCTATGAAATTATATATATCACGATGAAAAAATATTAATTTGAGTTAAAATATGAACTCGCATTCCACACGCAAATTTGATAGCGGGACACGTTTGTGGTTTCTGAAAGAAACGGCGAGGGTAAAGACTGTCGGTAATTTGATATTGGGAGTACACTGTAGACAGATTAAATTCGGAGAACATAAGCGCGAGTACATTGTCGGAGCAAATCCAATACTAGTAACGCCTCATCGCAAATGCAATTCTAGATAATGTTTACGCATCGCACGTTGCTGTTTACAACTTCTTAAAATCGATCCTGAAAAAAGCGTAATTCAAGACAATCTTCTAAAACGTTAAGTTCCATCCTGAATGATTGATTGTTTCTGCGTCAAACTAGACAGGAAATTCGAATTTATTATTAATCAAAAAGTATAATCTATTTCAACCATCATTTATTATTTAATATCCTCTTACTACAAATGAGCGTAATGAAGGTGAAGAAATGCATATTTTTAGAAATAAATTTAATATTTAATATTTGTATGCATTTAATAAGAATTGTAAATTGTAATTTAATAAGAAAATTGAATAAAAATACGAAATATATATAAAAAAACTTTTGCTGCAATTAAAACAATATTTATTAAAATATTTATATTTTTTAAACTTTATAGTCAATCTATGATGTTAAAAAATGTATACATTTACATTTTAGATGCACTTATGTATATTTTATTTACAACAATAAACATCTAAATACTGATACAAATTTAAAAGTCTGTTTTAGTAACATTATTGGTTTATACATATAATTGCATCATTTTTAAGCACTTTTTGATCATAAATGTATAAAATAATTATACTAACTTTTTAATATTCTACATTAAAGATAATTTAATTTATAACTAATAGTTAACGTATAATGTATTTTTAGTTTTAATGCATTGCATTAAAATAATTTAAATATTTTGAAAGTGTAAAACTCTATTAGTAAAAATAATTTAATAGCACTAAAAATTAATATTATATTTTGATATGTAAGCATTATATCGTATTATTACCGTAACATATATTATACGTTAATTTCTGGCATTTCATCAGCACCATCGTCATCAGGATATCATTATACTGTCTTTTTTATTATTAAGGCAATAAAAATTAGGAAATACAAGCGTTGTTTAAAAAATCCATAAGTATTTTATTATTTTCTACTATTTGAACAATTGATGAATGTGAAATATTAGTTTTATACAAAATTGGCATTAAAAATAAAAATTAAAGTTGTATTATTAAATTGCATGAATATCGATTATTAAAATATAAATATTGCCAAATCAGGATATTATTGCATGGAAATAAATTATTTTATCATATTAATTCAACATAATTTACATAGCTTTAAAATTAGTTATATTATTAAGAATAATTTGTTATTTTACTATGACATTCAAGCTTTTTTTAAATGTTAGTCTTAATATTATTAAAAAATAATTTTAATTTTCATTCAATAATCTGTGTTTTATTAACTCACATTAACCTGCATTTTTTAACAAAAAAATTTATCATATTTTGTGTGGTAAATCATACTATAAAAATATATAATTAAACCAAAAATAATATTTAATTTTTATTTATTTATTAATACTTCAATTATTGCTTGAAAGTAATTCATTATAGAGAAAATATTTATTAAAAGTTAACTAAATAGCATCCATTTATATTTAGTAGCTAATAAAGAATAAGTTTAAGTAAATACGAATATCACAATATAAATTAAATATATAATTATATAGTATTTGTAAGTTAATAATTTAACAATTAATATTTACATTAAATACGGAAAAATTTAATACATTTTATATCGATCCTTTTTCATATTTAATATATAAAAATGAAATAAATTTTTTATTTTTATTTTTAAGTTACGTAAAAAACCACAGAAATGTGATAAATTATTGTAATATGTGATGTAATGAAGTTTATATGAAAAATGGCAAAAGATTCAATTTTTAATTTTTTTATTTGTTTATTAAGAATTCATGTATAAATCAATTAAATAATGAAGAGCTAATAAAAAATAGGAAATGTATTGTTTTTAATTAAATTAACAATATACAAATAATTTTAAATGTAATAATATAATCTATATGATTCAAGACGATATATTTACGATAGTATAATTTTTTCAGATTTAATAATACTTCTAATTAAATTAACATAACTAATATAAATAATATAAATGAGAATTATTTATTATAGAAAAATTTATGCTATAAAATATTATTATATTTTTATCATTATGATAATGATGATTTAAAAAACAATTTGTTTATAATAAAATAAAATAAAAACTTTTAGTATGAATACTTGATCTAGTAATAACTGAAAAAAATAGTAATTTTTAATAATAAGAATTAAAATAATGCCTAAAATGTTCATGCGCAATATTGAAAGTTTTTTAAATTTAAATTTCTGTTTAAACACAATAGAAAATATAAAAAATTCAATCACGAAAAAGTTACATTTTTTTATTCACACAGCAATACAAATAGTGCCTTATTAACTTATTAAAAATGATGTTTTACATTATTTTTTTTAAATTTTAACAAAATTCAGGAGAGTTCTTAATATCATGTGGGTTGTGTGTGAAATAAAAAAATTATGATAAGTAAAATAAATTTTTTTCATTTCATTAATTTTTTCATATCGTAAAGTGTAAATAATCATTGATTTTTTATATATTCTGATTTTTTATTTTTGAAAGTGTCTGTATTATCCAATTCCTTTGAGAAAAATTAAAAATTTTCGTTTATCCCAAATACTACATTATAAATAAATGACCATCTAGTTTTTTAAAGATTTATTTTAAGTTACTTTTCAAACAAATTAATACAATTGCAATAATTATTTATAAAAAATTTGATGTTATTTACAATATTTAAAAAAAATTCAAGTTAATAGTTTTGTAGATAATATAAAATATGATTGGTATTCAAAAGATAATTGTGTAATATAGTTTGCCATTATATTGTTATTTTCATTATGACGCATATTAATAATATTATTCTTTTATCATCTGATTACCGGTTGTATTACATTAATATTACATGATAACATGATATTCAAGCTGTCTGTACAGTTAAATAATAAGGATATTGTATTATATCGTTTGATAAATTATTTATCAGTATTACTTATAAAATATTAAATATGAGATTCATTAATATTTTCATAAAGTTGTTGAAAAAATTATTTAACAACATGAAATATTTAATAATTATAAACTTTGTATCATAATGATTATTAAAGGACATTAATGAATTAAAATATTTTAAATAATTTTCTTGATAATTTTCTCAGTAATTAAATAAACAATTAAATAACAAATATTAAATCAATGATCACGTATATAATACAATTAATAAAATCATATGTCAAATTATTTCAAACAGTAGTTGTATAATATAATGATATAATAATAGTAATAATGCAGTATTTATTTTTATACAAGGTCGTTATAATAGAATATATCAATTAATATTATTTCAAATATAAAATCTTATAAAACTTACATAATTTATTTAAATATAATATATTATTAAATGCCTATGTTGAAAAATTATTTTTTTAATAATTTTTTTATATATAACAAAAATTGAATATTATTTTGTGAACAATATTTGTAAAATATTTTGTTCAATTAGTTAAAGTAAAACTTTATAAAACAGCGTTATACTTGAAAATAAGAAAATGACATGAATTTGTTCGCTTTATAATAGGAGCGTTTATAAATTAAAATGTTAATGTACAATCATTAAACAAATTTTTTAAAATTTTCAAAAGAACAATATTTTTAAGTTTTTATTTATAAATAGTACGTAATATAAAATGACAAAAAATAATAGGTTTTGGTTAAGTGAAAAATGTAAGCATACAAATTTTATAAATATAAGTTCAAGATATATAATGATGAAGTAGGCATCTTATTTGAAACCACGGATAAAATTGTGTGATAATTACATATGGCTAACTTGTTATTTTATACATACTTTATTATTATACACATTAATGTAATTATAAATTTAATGAAAATAGTTTCGAATTCCAGTAAGATGGTAAACATCAATGGTTACTGTACATATAATTAACATGATGAAATGTTGATAAGAGATTAAAGTTTTAATATTAAAATTCTAATGCTGATTTACAGAGGCATATTAAGTATCAGAATAATTATGCTACCGCCTGATATGTAATACAGTAGATTTAATAAGACAAGGGTAGTACTGTAACGGCATTGATATAGTTTTTGATTTTCAATTTATAACATTAGTCGTTTCAGCATTTAAAAATTTTGACATAAAACATACGAGCGCGGGCTCATTTTTAATGAAAGAAGTCGATGTACCTTTTCGTAGATAAGTTGCCGAGAAGTAAATGTCATCGGAATTTTTTGAGGTGTTAATTGGAGCGATTGTCCTATCTGTAATCATGTATAATGGAGCAGATTTACGCAGGTGAAAAGGTCATTATTGCGGCCTAAGGGCTCTATAAAATTAATAAACCTCAAGCAGCGCTTTATGTTATGCGTACGTTTCTCGTGATATTTTTGTGTGGGGAACAGGAAAATTGGCTGGATCTCGACGAGAAGAGCGAAGATATTACGTCAAGCGCTAAATTTAGAGAAAACGAGCTGCAAGTCACTTGGCATAGTAGTATTCCAAGGGACAAGTATTAATTATTTTAAGGTCGGACTGCGTTTAGGAACGAGCCGATTTGAGCCACGGTCAATGTACAGTCATATCAAGAGAGTATCTGAACGGACGATCGACACGTGGGCGGTCGTGAGCGAGGGAATCGATTAGACTTTAACAGATTGGCTGGTGACGAAGCCCTCCTCCAGCCCCTATCGATCAATTGGGTGAGCGTTCGAATTTTCTATCTCGGCAATATGGCGGCCCGCCATGAAATAACGAAAAATGTCGCGAGGACGTACGAAAGAGGAAGCGGTTCGCGGGCCAACGAGCGCTTCCTCCATCTAGCTCACCTGTTGTCGTTCGTTGTTCGTTATCTAAGCGGACCCGTCGTCCCCGTTACCAGAATCGCGTCGGCGTTATGGCGCTCGAGCACCTCGATCGGGGCACACGTGCACGAATATGCGTCGCTTAAGCAGTTAAACAAGCGGACAGCAAGTGTTTGCCGAATCCCCGCAACCCGCGTACCAACCGTCGCCAACAATCGACTACCAACTGTCAACTGCTAACTGACAATTACGAACAAGAATCAACGCCGAATTGGAGTATGCGCGCGCAGCTACTTTTCCACTTCAACGGCAATGGACGACAGAAAATATTAAAGAGCCTGTATATGGGTAATTATCGTGGCACTTTCGCAAGTTCCAAGCCCTGCTGCAGGATTTTACTAGGCTATGCTATGTGACTCGAAGCACATCAATGTATTGACCACTTATAACTCGATTGGTCCGTCAGGTTAACTTTCTAATGGTTTGCTACATCTACCGGCAGCAACTAAAAGCTTACATAATCTCGATGAACGAGGTTACGTCAAGATTGCTTTGATCTATGGAAAAACGCTTTTTCGTCTGGCCATCCTCTTCCTTTCACTTAGGAGGTAAAACATGTGTATGCCCGAATCACCTATGCTTAGCATAGGCTTTACTATATATTTTTGTAAAAACTTTTTATAAACTTAATGCCGAAAATCTAATAATTAGCTATTTGCATATGGGATATATTATTCATCACGTTTGTTAATGGTAAATGCGACATTAATGACGTTGCCGGACACTGCGATAATAAATATTATTTATTTCATGATGTGACTAACTCTTGCTTTGTCAACAATTTAAAAAATCTGTTTCATTTTAATTGCATCAAATGTTTTATGCATCTTCTCTTTAAATCTTTCACTCGTTTAAATCTCTTTTGTAACTATATATTATATAGGAGTAGAAACCGAAAAACTTGATAGGGAGATACAAAAACGAAAATTCGATTGTAATTCGGATTGCTTCAATTAACGAAAGTAAAACGTTTATATGAAATTTGTCATTGATTCTTTAATAATGTTTAAGCAAATCTAGCATTAATGACTATCATAATAATTTGACAAGTAAAAAAAATTAATTTTTAGACAATGTTCATTATTCGTTGTGTTTTTAGATTTTTCACTTACGCACTTTTCATTTCCGTTTGAATAATTTCATTACGTAAAAATCAAATCATATATTATATGAATAATAATGCATGAATATAATGTAAATGAAAATTGTGATATGTTACCCGACTACTTGGCTATATTTACTATATTTAGTAATAAATCCACATTTCGAAAATATACTTAAATATGTATATACTTAAATATATCTTAAATATATACTTAAATTATTATAATTATTTTTTTTTGTACATTAGTTTATTTTAAGCTACTAGTTTTCATTAAATACACTCGAATTTCTAATTTATTGTATTAACAATATATTAATATTAACACGTCTATTTATTATTATTAATTAAAGATACTAATTATTCATAAAGAGGTTAGTATAAATAAATTTCAGAGACATAACGTATATTAATAATATTCAGTTATATCATAGTCATTAAATATAACTTATATTAATAATAATATTTATGCAAATTTGTTAAGAATTTAAATAGCGCAACTTTCTCTTTAATAAAATGTTGCCGTTTATATTAGACATCTATAGATGAGAATTAAAATAAAAAATATATATTCCAATGTATGACGAAAGAAATTATAAACTTTTTATATTTAACATCTCAGTTAAAATTCTATTTGTATTTTATGCAAATGTATTTTATTTGAATTTGTATTTTATTTAAATGTATTTTATTTGAATTTGTATTTTATTAAAATTTGAATTTTATTTAATTAATTCTGTTGTGTATTATGTTTTAAGTTTTCCATATAGTTTTTACATAAACTTTGTTCTTCTTTTTTATTTTGTTCTTTATACGCTGATTCTTAATATTTTAATAGTGTATTATACGTACGTTCTTCCATTTTTATTATCGTTCATTTCATTTCATTTATTAATTTTCATTCTTTTTTAATAATTATATACTTTATATTCATATGAACAGCTTGTTTATTAATCTTTGTATTTTTTTCTAGCTCTTATTTGAAGTATTTCATGTTTTGTATATACGTTTCCTCTTCTTAAAGTTTCAATTAATTTAAATAACTTTGTGCGCGTTGATTTTTGTTTAATACACAAATAATATCCTCTAATATCGTTAATATATTTTACAGTAGATTTTATATTCAGAAAATTTTGATTTCTTTTGCTCAGCATGCACTGAATATAATTGTAGGTTTCAATAATTTATAAATTGTATACACATATATTTAAAACAAATTATAAACTAACAATATTTAATTCTTTAATTTTTAACAATACATAGATAAACAAAAACTAAATTAGTTAAAAAATCCAATCATTAATTAAATTAATGAAAAAAAGATAAAAAATCTTTTGTTTTTTCAAATAATCCAATCAAGCTTTTGCACTACAATCAATTAAATTACGGAAAGTTATATAATTTAATGCAATCAATAAGTAATTGAAAATATATGTGATTTATATGTAAATACTCTTGTTGACATAAGAATATAGATTGAAGATTAAAGTATTTAATATTTTATTGTTCGGCAAATCGGCCACCTTACAAATATCTAATTATTTAATTTTTATGAATATTTGTAAATTTCAATTTCGTTCAATTTAGTCGAAGAGTTATTGTGGAAAATAATTAAAATCTAATTTTTAATAATTTCAGTAAGAATAATTATTCAACAATTAATTATATTTCTGATGTTAATAAAAATCAATAATTTCTAATAAAAAAATTAATGCTACATTTCTCCAATAATTCTCTCCTAAAATTGTTTTTGAGTAGTTAATAAATATCATAAGCACATTCATACTGTATTAACAGTATTATTATCAACGAAAACATATGTTGGAAACATTCTACTTATCAAGTTACAGCTATTATTAGAATACTATTTTTTAGATTTTATTAGATAAAAAATAATTAATGGAAAAAATGTTTTTGTTAAATAGATAAATACAATTTAATTATGACTTTATTAATATTGAAATGAAATATTTCGAATATTAGAATAAAAAATTGTGCAAAGAAATAAAAATAAAAAGATAACTATTTAATAGCATCATCATACATTATTTACAATTTCATATAAAAAATCATATAGCTTTCAGTATATGCTTCTGAATCCTCCTTAAGATGTCAATTAGACTATTTTTGATAATAAAAGGTTTTTAAAAAGTTGCTTCTGAAAAACTCGTTCTGTTTGCACTTTCCAACGCTTCCTGCAACAAATAAAATATGTGCACATAGGTATGTGTAATGTTGCATTCGGCTCATCGATGCTCATCTAGTCGCACAAAACTCTGCGGATGCGATCGGGACCGGATAGAATGGAGGCGGAATCAAAAAGATATATTTACGGGAACTAGGAGACTCGGGGAAATTGGTGGCAGATGTCCAGGCGGTGCGTGGCAAAAATAGTTCATTCCACCACTACGATAGCAGTAGCCGTTGTCGTAAGTCAGCGGTGACAAAGACGACGTCGAACCCCCAGTGCTTAGCGTGTACGCGTCCCAACATCAGGTAGTGGCCGTCGAGGCCCACAACGACGCATCCATGAGCGTGAGTATCGCCCCTCCTCATTGACTTCGGGGAGTGCGCGAAGTGCGGGTCAATGTTTATACCCTTAGCGAAGGTTACAATGTTGTAGTTACATTTTTAGTTTGGGACGTGGGAATAGACTAAGCCGGGGGTGATTCTTTCTTTTTGAAAAGTCCGTTAAGGATCTCGCTGACATGCATTCCTATAGTATATAATAGGAGCTTATTGTAATCAGAACTATCATAAAAAAATTGCGAGTTTATATTTGCACCAATAAGACGTCGCTCTTAGCCGCTTTATTACACTTGTAAGCCTCATTTTCCTAATGTTTAATATATAAAATGCACTTTGAACATTGTTTACGCGCCTTTATTTTTAGTAGTGATAAATCCATAATTTTGTTTTGCAAATTTATCAATATTAATCAAATCATATTCCATTAATACAGTTTCATATTTGCACCATAGCCAAAATTATTATTACAGAAATATATCACTTAAAAGTACCCTTTAAATTGGTCTATTACAGTATGTTTTATCCGCAATATTTTGATGAAATAATATTATAAGACTTAATTCAAATTCTGTCCAAATCGAGCATTATATGTGTATTATTTATAGTTTTTATATTACTTGACGTCGCTCTCTTTTATCGAATAAAAATTTAATACAAAAATGTTAAAGGTGATGTAAATGGTGTAAAATTAAAATAATTGTCGTAGTAAAAGACAAAGCTTATACAATTAATTTAACATCAACTTATAAGAAACATATCATTACCAATGTCAACTTAAGGTTCACATACTTATAATATGCAAGTTTTTTTTGTTAAAAATACCTACCTACTAAGCCAAATAAATAGACTGAATGACATACAGTTAAACTAATTTTCATTTGACAATGGCTGATACTTGACTTCATTTTAAGCGTTCTTCTAACGTTGGAAGGCTTATTATTTCATTGCACTTAAAATTTTAACTTTAATAATTACGAATTCTTCTACAAATCTCAATTATTTAATAGTAGATAGTAATTTAATGCAATACCTAAAGAAAACTAGTAAAAAATTTATTTTACTTTGTTACCTACTCTCAATTCAATAATTTACAAAATTATAAATAAATCTTATTGAAGCAATTCATTATTTATAATTTATATTGTAAGACTATGACGTATCTATAATCTAGTATAACAGATTCAAAGTATTATCTTAAAGAAGTTTATTTATATTTTCAATATTGTTTTTCATTTGCTTGCAAATTTTTTTCAAATTATAAATTTAATTATTGAAAAATTCAATATCATATTAAAATTTTAAATTAATTATAATAATAAAACATCATAAAAATAATCCCATTAATTTAATATTTTAATACCATATTTTAATGCGCATAAAATTATTAAATAGCTAAGTTTTTCAATGCCTCCAATTAATAATGAAATTAATTAAATTCGTGAGCAGTTATTAAAAATTTACATTCTTTCTTTAACGATGGTAAAATTCATTTAATGGCATTTGTTTATTTTTTATAAAATAATCGGTTTTAACAAGAAAAATATAGTATTTAAAAAGACTTGCTTCATAATAATAACATATAGTTATTATAATAATTTCATAGTTAGATAATAATAAGTTGGAATACGATGTAGGAAATTTGTTCTTGAACATGTTAGCAAAAATCGATTTTAATACGTTCCTAGCATCGTTTGTAGACCGCGACTGGGCTCTATCGCCGAGAATGAAGAAGGAACAGGAAGAGCAGACTCGTGTTCATCTATTTTTGGACACCACTACATACACTGAGTCTAAAAGTCGCGCTGTCATGAACGCTGAGCTTAGTGCGTATCTTCGAGTTCGATGCGCTTACGCAGGGTGAATATTCGGTAATTTGCCATTGCATGCCTGGCAATGTCAAAGGACCTTCTAAGCGAATACGTTTCTTTGAAAACCTTATTTTTACTTTAATAATTTAATTTCTATATTAGTACGTTCTATTTTCATTACATTATTACTTTTTTTACATTATTGTTTTTTTATTGATATTGTAGAGATTAATTATACGCCACGTATTTTGTAGATAATCGTTATTTACTTGTAATATACTTATTTTGTGGCAATATATTGAATTAATATTTCTATTGCTATATTATGTAGCTTTAAATATAATTAGAATTTTTATTAAAAATGTTTCATATATTATGCAAGCTAAAGAAATAGCTAGAGCAAATATGTTTTCTGAAGTAAAAAGGCCAATTGATTCAAAATTTTAATTAAATATAAAATTAAAATCAATGATAAAAATTCTTTTGCTTTCAGATTGACAATAATTTATGGGATGTAGTTAAAAATATTTATTTTAGTCCTCTCGTGATTATTATTTATTAATATAATTAAATAAAATGCTCAATTATCCCTTCAAAAGGAAACGAAAACAGTGTTCTAACAATAATAAATTTTCCGAAACGTATGTTTCGGCTGTTTATTACATAACGTATGTTTATGATTTTGTTTGTATGAATATTACGACACTTTACGAAGCAAAGTTCGTTCATATCACTACTTTCGTCCGAATGAATAGATATATTGTTATTCTTTTAAAATGAACGGTACTTGTTCAGTTATTTCTGTAATATATTATGAATGTGTGATGCAAATATGAATATGTACATATGATTATAAGAAATATATGAACATAGGATTTTATAAAAATAAAGTAACCTTAATGTGAAAGATTTGTTTGTACGGCTGTATTAAAAATATTTAAAAATATATTGATAATTAAAACCGAGATATTTGATTATTACTTTAAATTTTAATACTATTATTACAATTAAATTATCTGACAAAGTATATATCTGTATATTTTGTTATGTATCATTTTTATCATCAATTATTTAGCATTTCAGTTAGCGACTTTATATAAGTACATTTTATTTTAAGGATGTATTATTTTTACAAAAACTAATGTTCTTTAATACGTAAATTATATTAATGAACTCTATCAATATAATGATGATTTCCTTGTTATTTTACGATTAATAAATAATTATTTCTATTATTAACAAGAACCAATTTTAAGAACGATGTATTCATCTGTATAATAAAATAATAGAAGTAATAATTTAAACAAAAATTATAATTAAATAATGTACTTATATATTTAAAGAGATAAAAGAGATATAAAGTACTTAAATACTGATTATATTAATAAGAGTATTTTCAAGAGTATTGTTAAAAATTTTATTTTATATTGAGTAAGTTACAATATTAAGTTACAACTTAATGTGCTGATAATTATTGTTATCTCGTGTCAATTTTTATTTAGTGTTCTTGTGTTTTTTAATACTATAATTTATATTTATTAATATCAGGACTGAGAAAACATCAACAAGAACTAAAATATTTTCTAATTTAAAGTTTTATGAAAGTTAATCAGTACATAATAAAATAGTATTCTTTATGAGTATAATTAACAAAAATATAATAATGCTATTAAAAGTTCTATTATATTATTAACATATAATTATATTAAATTAACTGTTTGCAAAATAATATTTAAGGTTAATCCCTGAAGTCATTTACGTTATAATATAACAAATTGTACTTTATTACCTTAAAGATTTCTATATATATTCTATCTTATTTTTTTATATTTATCAAAATTTTAATCGGTTATAAAATAAAAAGTCGTTACTTTTTATTATCTGTTGTTTAGGGATACCGAGATCTGTTGTTTAGTAATTTAATAGGATTAATAAAAATGTCTTAAAATGCCTTAAAAATGTATATTAGATAATTAAAAATAGAGATTTATTGGGAAATTATAAATAGAAAAGAGGATTAATTATCGTCTATTCTTAATTATACTGAAAATATGTCTTAAATATAGATGATAACTAGAAGAATTGATTAATTTTTTTATATAAATGATTCTAAGTAAAGTGAAAAATGCAGAACGCATTTAATATTATTAAATAATCCAAGAAAATGTCTTTTTATCTGTTTGTAGAATTTAGGAGCAGACAAATGGCGGCCAATGGCCATTTCGAATCCGTCAACTCGTTTGCGAGTCGCCCGTTCCATGCCTCATTGGGTAATGGTAAGTTTTCCAATAATAGATAACTATTAATAAGGTGCGTCATTCTATGCTTGTTGTACTTTTCGCATGCATTTGTTTCTTAGAATTTATAGTTGACCATAATTTAAGTTATTAACAGGCGTGTTAGTTTTTGTTAATTATGTAACATACGCGTTTCAGAAACAAAATATTCATTTTATTATTTAAAAATGTTCTTAAGTAAATTAGAGATAATAAAAATTCTCATAAAAGTAAGACAGTTCAGTTTTTCGAGATAATAGTATCAATATAATATATACAATAATAAATACATATCCTTGTTATATTATCACAGAATAAAGAGATTATGTATATATAATGATTTCTTTTCTTAATTAGTAAAAGATAATTTATAACTATTAAATATAAAATTACTTATAATTTTACTAATACTTTTACACTTAAGTTTCAATTTTGCAGATTCAAAATTAGTTTTAAAAAATGTTGTAATTTAAATCATAGCTTAGTTAAGTTTTTAATATAATGAATTAAAAGATATGTATAAATATACATGAAAAAAAAAACAACAAAATAAATAAATAAATTATATATTCATGTGATAGAGTTAATCAACCAATAATAATAAGTAATTTAATGTAATAATTGGTATTCATTTCGATATGAAATCAAGTTTAAGACTTATCTTTAAAGTAAAATATTTTAATATCGAAAACGGGGAAAAGATTTAAAAATAAGCTTCATTATGAGCAGGTACAAAATCAGGTAGATCAGCAACTGATGAAATCCGGTTCGCGTCCACCGACACCGCCCAAAATTCCGCCGCCATCTTTAGCCGGGGATTGTGGAGATCCTGACTACGAAGTTATAGAGTTTCCGCCTCGCAGCTCTAACCAACCCCCTGCACCGGCTAGTAATAAGAATGTCAAAATCTCTGATAATAATCGAATAAAAAACTCATCAATTATTGCTAGTTAGTAATCCGTAAAATTATTTGAGTACAAACATTTCAGAGAATTCTCTGTATTATTGCTGCAAGCATCTCAGTACAATATTATGTGTTATTAAAGCTGATTTGTGTAAGAAATGAAGTGGGAAAATAATGCGCACGATATATATGTAAAAGGTTCAAAGGTTCAAGAAATGTTTGAATTATTTGTTAATAAATAATTCTTCATTTAAAAATTCGTCACAAAATGCTTGGTGCAAAATATTATTATACAATATTTTACATAACTTTCATTCTTTCGTAATATTTTTTGTATTTGTAGAAATATTTTTCAGTTTACAAATAAAAATGATTTCTTACAATAAAAATATTCAATATCTTCTAACAAAATAGTAATTTCTCTTGACGTTTATATAGAAACATTTTTCACTACATTTTTACAAAAAAAGATCTTTTATCATTTTATAAAAGAATATTGAATCACAACAATATAATATTTACTTTTGTATTATTATTTTTCGTTTGTATTGTTATTAATTATGTTATTAATTAATACACTAGATTATAATGTAATTAATAATAATTTAAAAGATTCTAATGAGATGTTCATAATCATAAAAACAGACTATTAATAATAAATTCCATTTATTTCTATTGTTTGAAAGTAATAATTTACATTCACAAATGTCTTTGTACTATATAGTATTTTGAGTTTGAAAAATTTCTTACTAATTTAAGGTATAATTTAAGAGTAACAATTTATAATACCTTCAATTATTATATATTAAAATCTACAATTGATTAGTAGTTATTTATGCATGTTTATGCAATTATGAATAAACCCTACTAGCCTGTACGTAACTTTTCTCTCTATTTGTTTGACGAGGAATGACGAACGGTCGGTCGGGGCACCCTAAGTGCTGTCTCTGTGGGATCGAGTGCGTTGTTGTGCGCTGTGATGGCTGTAGCGATATCTTTTGTGAGAGCTGCGACGAAGCAAATCACAGGCACCCAAAGCGCCGAGGTCATGCGCGTCACCGATTCCATGGGGAGGTGGGACTCCAGCAAGTAAAGCCTCCCTTACCGCCGAAGGGCGATCATGGGAATCCACCGCCGATACCGCCGCCACGCAGGAACCGCAGGTCCAATCAGGTAGGCTGTGACATCCTCTGATCCATGAGGACTTGTTTTTCCATCTTGTCTAGTTTCCTCATTCAGCGCTGGACTCTAGCTTCAGGTGCATTTCTGATTATTTTATTGAAAGTTGGCAATCGAAGGAATATACAGTTCATCGATTTGCAACACTATCTCAATATTTTACTCTTTTGTCTTCAAATACATCTTTACATTGTGTGTTTCTATCCAAACGTGAATTTGATTTATAATCTAATCTTCGGTTGTTAAAAATAATAGAAGTAAATCCTCTTTATTCGACCTCCATATACTTAGCTATTGAATACAGATATAAAAAATTCTCCATATATTTCGATCGCACTTTTCATTCAACTCTTCGAATTGCTTTTCGAAAATGGATAATTAAACTTATTACGGAAAATTTGTTTTCATAATTATGCAATATGTCAGTCTATATACAGTTAAGCAACTACACTCACTTACAATGTTTATATTCTAGAATGTTTTTAATTCTTCGAAGCAATTAAAAGAAAATAAAAAAAAGGACCAAATGCAAGATAATTATAATAGACTTTTATAAAAATAAGTAGTATTTACTTATTTTATACCTTATAAAATTGTAATGATTCTATATTTGAATTTAATAAATCAATAACATTTTTAATTACATATTATAATAAAAAATTATGGAAATAATTTATAGACAATCAAAGTTAAACCGTGAGTAAAATTGTACGTAATAAAGTAGTTATTCTAATGTTTTTTTATTTTATTAAATTTTTATTTTTATTAAGTTATTTGCTTTATGAAATACAGTTTTAGAATACTTGCAAATTTACAAATAATTATAATATCAAAAAACAATTTTTATCTATACAATGAAGTATAGTCATGTCTTTAAATAGTTTAAATTAAAATTATTTCTTGATTTTTATTTCATATTTCAGTTTAACTTTATATTCTTCACTAGCTTGTTTGTATATTTTTTAATTTTTTACACAATGCAAAATATTATCTTTTGATTTTGTTTATTTTTAATTAAATTGTACAAACGAAAGTAAATTGACTTTTAAGATTGGCCCGACAACAGATACATGTTGTTTAATTGTTTCATATTTCATTCTATTCTATTCAATTTGTATAATCAACAAAATATTATATTATTTCAATGATATTAATACTTTATTTTTCTATAGTTTTTATTGCTGCATGAAAGTAAAGCTGTGATAAGTCAGAAAATCGACAAATTGCATTTGTTACAAGTAACTGTGTAGAGTATTTTTGTGCTTATTTACTTAATGTACAATAAATATGGAATTTATGGAATTAGCTTATAAATAAAATTATCGAAGGCAATATTGAGCGGTGGAAAATGATAAAAAATGCTTATAAAGAGTATTAAGATTTATAAAGCTATTAGGATTTGCAATATTCCAGGAAAAAGAAATTTCACGTTTTTGTTAATAATTCATTAAAGATTAACTCAAACAAGTCATCGCAAGTGCAGCTCAAATAAGTACTCGAAATCTTATTTTTTCTTGCTTCTTTTTGTTACTATCTCCTTTTTGTTTCCTGGTTTTATATGTGCGAGATGCTGTTGCGGCTGGTAGTTCGAACATAAGATATATGTCAACACACACCAAAGCTACGAACGAATAAAACATACACTATATACGATTCGTTACCCTATCTATAGCATGAAGTTTCAGTCTCTATGTCATCATTAATTATTGTTAAGACTTTTATTTATTGTTATTCATGTAAATATATATATCGCATCTTGATTGTATATAATTGTTGTGAGTTTAATATATTATATTGTTATAAAAAAATCTACCGTATTCACTAAAAAAACCCAACACATTTTTCCTTGCTTTGTCAGAAACAAACTTTTAGATTATTCTTTATACATTCAAAGCTTTATACTTATATCGCTTTAAAAAGATTGTTATTTAATAAAAAATTAGTGAGTACGGCAGCAGATTTTATAGTACCTCGGTAATCTAAATTCTTGAATATTATTATTTACTATTATTTTAATTCTCTTGTAACGTTAAAAACAAAATTTGTAAATTATTAACTTATAATAATCTATAATATGCGCCTGCACTTTTTTAATCAATTTTTCCTAATTTGAAATGAGCCTCTATAGTTGCATTATCGAGTTGTTATATTATCGAAAGTGATACTACGATAACACTTTGCTACAACTGCCCATTTTAAATTGAAATAATTAAATCAATTTTTATCTTAAAAAAAGTTCTTTAGTGAATTGTACGTTATTTTAAATATCCTATTCTGAGGTTGCTGAGTTCTAATTACTTGATATCTTTAAAAATGAATTCCTTAACAAGCATAAGTAATGAAACATTCGATAAATTTTACTTTTATTATATATTTTATTTCTAAGAAGTACATAAAAGTGCATGGTATTTGAATAATTGTATTTAATTTACATGGAATAATAATACACTAATTGAATAAATAATCAAGTTTTTAGTTGAATGTTATGCACTCATATTGTACAATAACGTGTAGATTTTTTTCTAAAATAAGTTTGTAAAATTTAAAAATCATATTTTAAATGCTTAATGAAATAAAAATTTTAGCTCTTCATTTTTAAAAATATTTACAAAAATTATATACTTAACATCCGTGTACATTTAATATATTCATACAAATTATGTTTTAAATGTTGACAAAATTATTGACTAATAATTTTTATAATAAGTATATTATATAATAATAATATTGGACAATAATAATATATAATAAATGTATAATATATATAATATATATATATATATATATATATATAATATATAATAATTATATAATAAATAAAATATAATAATAATATATAATAAATAAAATAATTATAAACAATTTTATAATCATTTTTATAATAAACTAATAAAAAAATTTGAAAATATTGACAGAATATATTTAACATTGATTGTAAATGGTAATTTAGAATATACATATGTTTTGATATAGTTATAATTTTATTTGAATAATTAAAAGTTGTATTAATCCTCTTCTCTTCTCGTATCTGTATCTTTTTAAATTAATCAAAAAAAATATATCCAATAAAGCTAAATGATTATGCAAAATTTATTCGTAAATTAAATTTATTTAGTATTTTAGTACTTCCATAGTGTTTAAATTGTCATCTTAAGACTTACACGATTCTACTATTTCATCTTAATTGGCAAGTCTGATAATACAACTATCTTATTACTGATATAGCCTAATATTGTATTGTTCCTTTTAAAATAATTGATCACTTCGGAATGATACATCAGGAAATTGAGTTTCTCGACGATCGTCATTTATGGGGTAAAAAGAAAGAGCAAGAGAGAGAGAGGAAGAGAAAGTGATATGGAAAGAGAAAGCGCTATATATATATATATATATATATATAGAGAGAGAGAGAGAGAGAGAGAGAGAGAAAGCAGCTGTTCGGTAATAATAAATAAACAGTTTTTCGTTTGTAGGAGCATCTCTGTCAAAGCAAGGGTCCACTGGTTTTCCAGCTTTCGATGTCAATAAGTCATCAACTTTACGTCGTGGTATAGTTGGTTCGTCATCAATGCTTTTGAGACCATTGCCAGCACTGCCGTCACATTCTCTAGACGGGGTACCTGTACAGGAAAGTGCTGTAACTCCAACCGATAAGATGTCTACCTTACAGGCATGTTTTCATTATTGCTTTCATTCATTATTTAATTATTTACCTGTTATTTACACATTATTTACACATAAGCTTGCTTAGTATCCCAATTCTGTTGATTGAGAATACAAGCAATAGTAATTTTTAGATAAGGAAATCCATACAGCTTAAGCTTGAAAAATTGTCGGTGCATGCTAAGTTTTAATCATAAAATTGTATTTTATTAATAATAGATGTCAATGGATTTTTTTGTCATTCCCTTATTTCTTGCGTTATGTACAAATGTTTTTAAAAGTTATAATACTAAATCAGTAAATGCAATAGATTATTAAAATGAAAATAAATGCTTTTATTATTATCAATTAAAATTATTTTTACTTACATAGTAAATATCAAAAGAAAAAAATTCTTGTATTTTTTTGACACATTTTCCATTTTTTCAATTTTTTAAAATTTTTATATGTTTACTTTTCGTTCGGATATTTAATTATTTAACATATTTATGTATTTTTTCTTAAAATCCAAACTACATATTATATTTGAATTAATGAAAGTTTGTTACTTTAGCGTTGCAGAAATATATATTTATATAAAATAACTGCAATACAATTATGTTTTGTTAAACTGCGAGGTTGAATCACTATATAAGTTATTCTAATTACTTATCAGCCTATAATTTTTATTGTTTAAAATATAAATATATTGCATTGGACAATGTATTTATGCAAACCTTACACATTATCTTATTTTGCATGAAATTGGCAAAATAAAAGGAGAGGTACCGAAGATACCAGGAAGCTATGCGAGTTCAGGATGCGAATCGGCGCAGACAATTACCCATAGATTTGAATATGAATCGAGAAAGCTTCAGTCCTAGGCCAATGAGCATGAGTGGCTCACGGCAAGCGTCATCACCACAGCTCGGACGAGCCATGATGCAATCGGCGAGTGTTTGCGACTTGAGCACATCTAATATTTGGAATGCCGGATTGCAACAGGTGCATAATTTTGATCTACGAGTATATGTCCATAATAGATTAAATCAATTAAATCTGTATGTTTCATCTATTATGCAAGACGCATAAATTTGAAGTCTAAATTTACAATACGATTAACATAGCAAATAAATCTTATAATCAGTAACGTTTGATATATATTTCCTTTAGAAATTAACTTTTCTCATTTCGTATTACTTTTGTCTTTATCATTATAAAGGCAAAATAGATTAAATGGTCTTACTTAAAAACACGTTAATTTTTTGTGGAGAAATATTTCTAAACATTATATGTTTTATATAATTTAATTTACTCTTTTATAAATTTGCATATTTAAAGTTCGTTAATATTTTATGAAATTTGAAGTTTTTAGAAGTAAAACGACGCAAAGCATTCTTGAGGAGTCTATCATAGTCACAAAATCGTATAATATAGTTACAAATCTGTGGAAAAGCATGTTACAATTTTCTAATGTGACTAATGCAATATTATTTCTTTATTGGTAGACACAATCAGTAGCTCAGATTGGAAACCAGATGATGTGGTATCCTCCATCGAATACTTGGGACGGGCATAATCCATTGATGGGGGGTTCAAACCTGAATTTGAGTCAAGTGCCTATGTGGTCGAATCACCCCATGGGATACAGACTGCCAGGTTCACAACTCTTGCCAATTCCATACTCAAGTTCCCGTTGTCACAGCCCGGCACGTAGTCTCAAATCCGGGAGGCGCTCTAAAGTATCATCGCCCTCGCCAAGTCTTAAATCCCGTAAATCCACAGCCTCGACACTTTCGAGAAGGCGCCGTTCTCCAAATTCGCCGTCAGATGCCTCTTCTGAAAATTCAGACGAATCGGATTTTGACGACAGGATGTCCAGAAGCTCGCGGCAGCACATTAGCAGGAGAAATAGTGTGAGCAGTGTAAAAGGCTCTAGGTCCAGAGCTTACCATCAAGATGAACTTATCAGAAGTAGACGAAAGTGAGGCTTATTACTTTTTTCTTTTTTTTTTTACAGAACTATTTTTTTACGTATATACGGATTAATTTTCTTATATAAGGTAATGTATGGTTTCATTTTCGTTAAGATTCGACTTATTCTATATTTAAATAAGAGACTGAATATTTATATCAATGCACAATAATTCAAGCATTAGCTTTTATGTTCACATATAAATTGTAAATTGATTATCTATAAATTATTCGAACGTATTTGAACAATGTCTTGAATGGAATTCTTAGTTGGCGTTCAGAGGATAGGATAAGCAGTATGGAGGAACAGTGGATCGCAAATCATTTTTCAGTGAATGGCAATCACGGCTCCCGAAATTCCGTGATTGAAGACGACAAGCGCTCGTTGAGCTCTTCTCGTCGCGCCTGCGATGAAGATCAAAGTCCTCGATTTCACCGAATCGATAGTCTTCATGGACGCAGTGGACAGAGCACCGACGACTCTACTAACGGACATCACAGCTATCGCCAGCAGCAACAGGAGTTGAATAATAATAATCGGAGGCTTAAGGTAATGAGTTCATCAGATGACTACGTAGACAGAAAGCTACACGATCGACGTGGATCACTGCCGAGGTCGGCGTCTCGAGCATTAAGAGATCCCGATCTTGAAAAGATCGAACTGAGAAACGATAAGCGGAAGTGTGGTTTTAACAGTGCTGATAGATTCTCATCTTATGAGGACTCCAACGGGATTAATCAACGTACCGGAATTCCGAGGTAAGGCAAGCTTCTCAGATAAAAACGATCTATTTCATATGTTAATGTTTTATTTATTATTTGGTGAAATTCTGTATTTTTTGTCTATTATGCGTTAATTATGTTTTAATATATTATTATAGAAATGGTTTATTCAATCTATTTTTTTAATCAATATTTAACTAGTAACAACTAGCATAATTAAGGTTTATTCATTTTTATAAATTTGATTTGATAAAACAGATCTTTCTTTATCCTATCTTAAATCATGAAGCTTTATGAAGCTCAATCGTAATTACTTTTCTTTAAATATATTTTTATTATTTTGAAAGATTTATAAATATTTATTAAAAATGCTGATAAAATGATGAAGATTGCAAATAATACTATATTTACTTGTAGAATATAATATATTATGGTATTATAATATAGAATAATAAAATTATAATACAATGTTCTATAGTGTATATATCAACCTATTAGAATAGATTAATTGCTTATTTTGCACGGTTGAAAAACTTTATGATGCATACGCCTTCGTTGCATTATGATCTTTGCAGAATAATAGTAAGTATCAGGTATTGCAATAGTTTAAGAATTAATTGAATTAATCGTTTATTTTAAATAGTAGATTCTTCAATACTACTGTTATAAGATAATGTTAGTTTATTTCAAGTTATAAGTAAAAAATTTAAATAAAATTTAGTAGTTATTAAAAATAATTTTCAAGTATTAACTAAATTAATAATAATTGAATTAGATCAAAATAGTTTAATAAAAACGAATCGTTATAGTTTTTTAATTTATTAACATTTATAGACTTTATTATAATAAAATTTTTAAACGATAATATGTAAATGTGAGTTTACTTATGAAGGTTATTATAATCCTATCGGCATATCAAACTTTGTATGCAGATGCCAAGCTAGTGATAAGTATGAAAAGCAAGACACATCGTCACTATCACCGAGTTCTCGACGAGTTCCTGTATCTCTAACACTGGACACGCCTCGGATTGTAGATAAATCGTCACGATTGTCCCCAACACAGGAGATATGGTCTAAGATAGCTGATAATTTTTCACGTTCATCGACGCCCGACAGACGGTTGATAATCCAAGGAGAGCGGCAAATATCATTGATGAACGAGCAAAAATTGATCGATGAGAATACCAATCTCATTTTGAAGGTAATTCGTAAATTTATTATACACGTTCAGAATATGTTCACAAGAAGTATTTATTTAATTTGCCTTTCAGATCTAACTTAACTCAAAACTTGAATATTGCTTAATGAGAATGTTAGGTTGCAAATTATCTATCAATATATCAATTAAACGTTCATTTGTCTTTATTTTTTTTTGAAAATACATCATCTGTACTTTATAGAAATATTTATTTTTCATAAAAGCAAACAAATAGAAGGTCAAATTTAAAAAAATTATTAAATATTATTTTAAAGTATTTTGTAATAAAAGAAAACTTTTAAGATTTTGAATTAAACTAATCGTAAAAAAGCATACTGCAATTACAAAAAGGAATTTTTACATGAAAAAATATACTTTGTATAAACTTTTATATTGTTATATTCGATTGATCCTTAAAATTTATCTTAAAAAATTCATCAACAACTAAGTAAGCACATGCAATTAATAAAAAATTATCTCTGTAAATGCTAAATAGGTGATAAAGGATGAGTGGCCATGCGAGCATTGTACCTTTCTCAATGATCCACAGGACAAAATTTGCGCGGTGTGCTGTAAAACTAAGAGCAGTGAACTACCACCACCCCCAGAAGACCAGAAAGAAAACGAATCACTGAACAGTCTTGTTAGCTTACAAATCGGTGCCAATGGTGAAACTAGGGGTCATAAGACTCAAGGTAGAACTAGGCGAAATATCACCTTCTCATTTGGGACCAAGTTTACTAAATGATCTAAATAGTTGCGAATGAGAGAGAGAGAGAGAGAGAAAGAGAGAGCGACAAACAAAATTTTTTGCTCATTATGTGTTACAATTAACTACATAGCGGGCATAAAATTTTGTAGATTATGAGCTGCCTTATTAAAGTAATTTGTATTTCAATGAAAGAAGGATAATAGAATTTTTTATTTTTATTTTTAATAATTAAGTTAAAGTTAGAGGTAGAGTAAAGGTATAAGATGAAAAAATTGTTAATAAAATAAAGTATTTTCTTAAGCATTCTCTGCGAACACTAATATGAAAGTATATATATGGTTCAAGATTTTATTTTTATTATTATTATTGAATTTGCAAATTTATTTATTACACAATGAAATAAGCTATTTTGGTTATATTAAAATTATTTTTAATATATTTATTTGAATAATTGTAATTTGACAGTAAATATTATTAAATTCTTTTTTTAAATTGTAGATATTATTATAAAATATAAATACTATTGATATATAATATGTAATTAAAACAGTATTATAAAATAAAAATGTATTTTTAAGGAAAATGTAAAACTACGCAGATATAAAATATTACTCAAATATTGTTTTAAACTTAAGATTTTAATGTGTTTAAACAATTTATGTATTTTCAAATTAAATTTTAATAGTAAATTTTTATATGTGAATGTCGTATATGTGAACAATAAATAATAAAATTAAAATACGGTGAATCTATATTTAGAATACAATTACATAAATACAAATTTACTCGCAAGCTTTCTACAATACAACTATATATATATATATATATATATATATACTCATTTCATTCATTTTAATCTATATTCATTATTTATAATATTAAAAATACACTTGTTGATACTGTCATTACTAGATATATATATATATATATATATATATATATATATATATATATATATATATGATTACAAGAAGGAAAAGGTTTCTTTATAATATAAATATTAAATTGATCAGCAGAAAGAAGAGAGTAAATGTTGCACAAATGAATATCATCATTGGTTTGAGCAACGGTAGAAAAGTTGATAGTCATCTTTTGAAATATACTTAAATATATAAGACTTCATTCATAAGGAATAATTGACCCAAGTCTCTAATTAGAATACCTTACATTTCAATCGGAAGCAAGTTTTAAACTTATAATTTATTGTATTTATTATGAAATATTTGTCTCTTTACTACTGTCTGATGCAGCAAGGCTGCCCAGTTTTTTCGATTAGAATTTAGATTTTATACAACACAGTTTGATATTGGTCGGAAATTATAGTTTCTCTTAGGAAAATCCCAGTTAAAATTATATAAAGAACATCAAATATAAAGAGCATCAATTATAAGTAAGAGATTATTCAGCTTGACCTACGTCTGTAATAGTTATGAATTTTCTCGAGAGACTACTTTGAGCTTTAGAGATCAAGTTCAGAAAGTGCATACATTTTTGTTTTGTAGATAAAAGAGAGAAGGGGTTAGTGATATATATATATATATATATATATATATATTTTAATGTGATATAATATTGTAATATACTATAATGTGATATACTATTGAATAAAAATACTTTTTAATAATCGAATTCTTCATTAGTGATATTATATCAATCGAATACCGATACCTGTTACATGTATAAAATCGTGGAAATCTTTCAACTTGTAACACTTTTTTCATATAAAAGTACCAAAAAGTTTATTCATATAATTCTAAGATGTGTATTTTTTCAAATTAATTAAACATTGAAAATTTAAAGGAAATTAAATTTTTAATAAAAAAAAAATTAATTAATTGTTTAATATTTAAAAGTTCCTGATAATTTTGCTTTACAATTCATTCATCTATTCATTCATCTAATTTGTTATTAATTAATATTAATGATACATTATATATATATATATATGGAGAGAGAGAGAGAGACAGAGTGAGAGATAGACAAATATTAAAAAAAAAAATCATTGAAATTATATTGAACTAATAGTTTTCATCTACCACTTTTACACTTACAGATTGTCTCTTGGTAATTACCCTGATACTTTTCTAGATAAACATTTTTATAATAATAGTAGAGAAATGTATTTTTGTAATTTATTTTTAAATATAGTTATAGCGACAATGAGATATTATATTACATTATTTTTCATAATTTTTTTATTCTAATATAATAAATAAATTATAACTAAATTGATATTAAAAATATACAATTTTTTATAGATCTCGTTTAAGCAACAGGTTATTGACAACTTATGTTATTATTAGTATATTTTAATTAAATAATTATGTTGTATAAATCCTATTGATGTAATTTAATTTTAGTGCTTTGATTCTATATTAATAAAAATATAGATAATATAGATAACAATTTTAATTATTTTGTTCCAATGAGTAATGTAAACTTTAAAATATCACACTTAATAATGTTGTAAAATTTTATTAAATAATTATTTAAACGAAAATTTATAACAAATAATAAATATTATAAATACACAGATTATTTATAATGATAATTACTTTGAAGCAATTAAAAAATATGTACCATGATTATAAAAAACGATAAAACTATTTGTATTTTACAACATAAAAAGGAATTTAAGTACACACGAAAGTATTATAGTACTTAAATACTTTAAGCTCCTCAAGTGTAGTTGAAATAATTTTCTAAAAAATTATTAAAAACAGTGTACATCAAATATATCGACCTCTAATACCTTTACTCTATCTTAATTAATTTTTTTTTATTTGAATTATTTTTATTTACATAAAATAAATGTAACTTCTATTAAAAAATTTATAAAAAATTATATGAATCTATGCAGAAGTTTTTATTTTTTGTAATATTGCGATAAATATTAATTTATTTTAAAAGATTATTTCCATAAAATAATGTTAGCTGTATGTTCTTGAATGAATAAGAAAACTTCTTGTAACATAATAATTAATATAAAATCTTTTTAATAAATATAATGAATATATTATACGTTATTTATTGAAATTATATTATTCATTCAAGTTGAAACATTCGAGAGTAAACTTGAAATTTGGCGTTTTTTCTTTGAATTTATCAAATTCTCTCATTTACCTTTCTTTATAAATTTTTCCTATACGTTTTTTTATCCATAAATAATTTGAAATTAAATAAATATTCAATTTATCATTTATAGTTCTTAATGTATATTGAAATTGAAGTTGGTATCAGCTGCATATTGTAATGAGCTGCATAATTTTGTAACATAATTTTGTATAAATTAGTAATTCATTTTATCGATCAATTAATATTGATGTATTAGATTCTAAATAATATAATATAATTTACAAATATAATTGTTATGAATAATTATAAAATGAACTAATTTTATCTACATATTTTCGAGAAAAATATTTAGTGTATCATCCATTTAAATTGTAATAAATTTAATATAAAATTAATATTAAATTCTTTTTTAAACTGTAATCAAATCTTTAATTTTAAAAGCTTATACGTTTTTATTAAAGAATGAATAATACAACAAAATTTATTACAACAAAATATATAGAATTTTTTAATTTATTTTAATTTAATCTTGAATTTATAAGTTTTTACACTATTCAGATATTTATCTTTAAAAGCATTTCGTTTAAAACAAAATTAGTGTTGATGAAATTTGAAAATATAAATTTAATATAATTAACTTATATATATTTATAAAATTAAAAAACAATAAAATTATTTATGAAAATATAATTCGATATATTATATAAATGTCATAATCAAATATTATTTGATTTCAGAAAATCAGGAAAAACAGTCTAAAGTCTTAGAGATGATAAATAATGCTCAGCAGCTAAGTAATTCAAAAAATATTGAAATTGATTTAAAAGTTTTCACCGACAATGAATTAAAAATACAGAATACTTCAAAAAGAATATCTGATGCAAAAAATTTTATACAAGATAATAAGATTTTAAAATTAAATAAATTTCAGTCCAAACCTTCGATTATGATGAATGAAACCCCTGTGGAAATTAACGAAGTTGGACTTATGCAAGATTTAGTTTCAGGAAATCAAAATATAAGTGTACCGAATGAAAATAAAGTTTTCAATTTTATTCAAGAGGTAAAGAACACAACCGTTTCTACGGGTACCTCACCGCCTCCACAAACCATTTCAACACAAGTGAGTATAATGACTAATTTCCAATCAAATAATTAATATTATTTAAATATCTTTGTATATGATTAAAAAGAACATTATTCTAGTTTTGATACTTATTTAAGATTACAATACAGCCTTTTTTACGGAACATATTTAATTTGCACTGTCTTATTTTAATAAATTTTATAATATGTATTTATACAAAGGAAAGAAAACTGAATTGTTAGATTAAATTATATATATATATATATATATATATATATATATGTGTGTGTGTGTGTGTGTGTGTGTGTGTGTGTTTACGTATGAACTTATATATGCGAATGCTTTTTTGTAGATTTATTTTTTAAATGTTATATATTTTATATATAAAAATATAAAATGTAGATTTATATAAAACAAGTTTAAAATATCTATAAGGCTAATAGTCATTGTGATAATTTAAAATATTGACTGTATCGTTTTAACTTTATTATACCTTTCAGGGATTTCAAGTTATTTAATGTAAATTTACTAAATTTAAGTTTATTATTTGTGTATTTTATTCTATATTAGATACTTTAAATGTAAATATTAATATTTCCTTAAGTATTTTATAATAATATATTTTATACAATTAGCATAGAAAAATTATATCCTTATACATTCAATTATGTTAAAATCATACCATTGATGAATTATTTAAATATTTAATTATATAAGTATTTTTTATTATTATAGAAATGTATTGTAGAGTACATAAATGCAAGCGCGCACGGATATATACACGCACTGTATATATTTTGCGTTAAACGTTTTATGATTTAATTCGTTAAATATCACTCAATCTAATAATTTTTATAAAATGTCTAATTTTATATCTTAGAAGAAAAGTATAATGGACATGTTCAAATAAATGTTTTATTAAAAAATTAAATATTTTGCAGACTTACGAAGATGCCAATATTATAAAAGAAAGAGCTGGATCTTTAGCTCCGTCGAAATGCTTAATAAGATACGACGATAACGATTCAGAAGTATGTTAGTTAATAATAACAATCAAATGTTTTACAAAGCGAAATTACTCATTCCTTGTTATATGATTCGAAACATTTTGAAAATGTATAACTAATAGTGTGTTCATAAATAAATCTAATATAAACAATTCGATAGACAAGCACATTATCCTGTTGACTTACAAATTATCGTTTTTTGTAGACTAAAGCATCGCATGCGCATTTTTCGCGGATGAATATTAACATTATTGTAGATAAACTTTATTAAATTTATACTTGATCACTAGGATATTAGTTTTTACACTTTTGCATGTTAATTACGAAATGTATTTTAAATTTTTCGAATGAACCATTTACTTTAAGTTGTATATTTAAAATATAAAATAGTACAACTGAATCGATTAGGTGATGAATATTCATTTTCTAGCATTAACTTCGTGTATTTTTAAGTAGTTTTAAGATATCGTGTATCACCTTGCTGAATTGGAATGAGCATATATTTTAGTATGGTAGTTTTTTAATCCATCCAGAGATGTGCATCGGTCATCAGCGTGGAAACCACTGCCAGTATTTATTTCAAGTATTAGAAAGAACAAGAATAAATTCTGTTACATCATCCTTAAAATATTATCGTTCCAGGGTAAACAAGTCTGCAGTTGGCCGGATTTCCAATTCAAGCTTTTGAATATATCGCTCGTATCATAATTAATTTTTATTTGCCTTAATCGCAAGTCTACCTATGATTGGTGTTTTATTTTAATTTAATGGTCTTTGCAATAACATAACCACCCCATTTTAAGGTAAAACAGTTTTAATGGAATTTCATGCTGAATAATGCTTTTTCATTTTTAATAGCTTTGGTGTGTATCTTAAATTGTTAAAATTTTTATTTATATTATATTGTTATTTATCTTATATATTATATGTAATAACCTTTTCTTTCTTCTAATTGGTATTTTTTATAAAAATTATAAAATTCAAATATTTTAATACGTGGAAATGTGTAATTGTATCCCTGTTTAACATATTTAACTATATGTATCATTCTTATTTTAATAGTAAAGTTTTATAAAGTTATTTTCAATTTTTCTCAGTATATACCACATATTAATCACATATTAATCACATATCTTGTTAATCATATTCACGACTGTATATTTTATAAGAATATTAAATTTATATTAAAATTGTAAAAAAATAAAATATATCTTATAAAATATTCGGATTATACTTAAAAAGTTTTATTATTCTAAATTAAGTGTATATCTAATATATATTTATATATATATAATATACAGAAATAATATTTTAAAATACAAATATATCGAAATATTATAATTTTTAAATACAATTTTATAGAAAAATAATAAATATTTCAATAAATAAAATCAATTTAAAAATTGTATATTTTTTAAAATTCTAAAAATATTATAAAATTGTGAATAATTTATAATAATATAGTACATACATACTTTTATTATTACTATAAATACAAATTTTTTGCTTTTAGCTTGATAATATACAATAAATAAGGTATTTATTAATGTAATATCCATTTTGTACAGTCAAAAGCATATAATAACTTGAATTATTTAATAGTTTTACTAAAAAGTATATAATATGAAAAGTATATATTAGCATTAAAATTATACAAGTATGACAGTTTTAAGTATTACAATAGTATTTATTTCATTAAAATATAGTTTTATTTTTTAATTTTAAAGTTTTCTTTTAATGCATGTTCACTAAAAAAAAATGACCAATGTTATATATATATTTTTCATCTTAAAGCAAGTAATAACGAGTAAGTACAAATAAAGTTAAATTTAAAACTTATCTCATTGTAAAACAGAAGTCTTAAAAGAAATAATGTATAGTTGTGTTAAAACTATTAAACTGTGAATATTTTTAGAAAAATTAGAACAAGCATAAAATAGATTTATTTATTTCTTCTTAATATAACAAAGTTTATAAATTCAATGTGGAAGAGAACTTATATATATCTTTAATTAGAAGTTAAAATTTTTTGTTGCTATTAAAAAAAAATCTGTGGTGCATGAAATACTGCACATGAAACAAAATTGCTGTCGTACCATTTATTATATTATTACAAAATTTTTGTTATCACACATGAATTAGATATGCTTGCAATTGGATAATATAGAAGGCTTGAATCGTATAATATTGAGCAAGTGCTTATACCACAAAGAAGTTCGGAACGTGAAAACCCGATGACGAGGTTGCTCCTCTCGAAAATTACAGGAGCCGAGTCAATCCCATTACATTGAAACCGGCGGAAATTCTATCCTTCAAAGTCTAACCCGCCAGGGTCTCGAGCTTGTGGAAATGTTACGGGAAGCCGAGCACCGAGGCTTCTCCGCTGATGACATCCAGGTGGCTTTGGCACATGACCCAAGCAATCCTCTAAACTGGCTTCGCAGTGAATGGTCTCACCTTGTAGAGACTGTACAACTGCTAACGATGTCGCGGGGTAAGGATTTAGCCGAGGTCGACAACATCGGAGCAATTAGTGTTCAGGAGGCCAAGGAGGCTCTCAGGAATTCTATGGGTGATGTATGGACCGCCGTTTCCTGCGCTATTCAGATACGGCAGAAGAAGGTTCGGTTACAATTTACTTTCACTGTAAATTCTCTTTTATATTAAATGCTATTTTAATAATAATTCTATAAAATTAGATTTGATGACTGAATTATTTACTTTTTGATTTATTGATTATGAAATGAAAAATACAACAATTATTATTGTAATGTTTAAATTCTTTATAAAGGAAGTTTCATTTATGTTTAAAAATGTTTCGGTTAGTCTCACTTATGATTACCGAACTTTTAATATATTAAATAACTTCACAAATAATTTTTCTATTACACATTTCTACAATTGAATTTATATTATAATTATTACTATACAATTATACTATATAACTATATAGTTATATATATATATATATATATATATATAATACATATATAAATAATATATATACTATATAACTAGTATAATTATTATATAATTATACTAAAAAAAAATTTATTGAAATCTTGTAAAATTGTTTGCTCTTCAGAAAATGCATATAATGTAAATAATACCCAAAAATTGATCTATTCATTATTCTGCTATATATTCTAAATTCTTAATTAATATTTTTACATATTAAAGTACAATTGTAATTAAAAAAATAATTATAATCATTATGATTGCTGTATAATAACGATACTTATTAAAAGTAAAAATAAAAATATGTTTGTTACAGTGTCAAAGTATAATGACTAAAGGAATTTTTACTTTAAATAGCGTTGTTACTGCCCTCGATAATAATTTTGGTAATGAAGAAGCAGCATTACTAGAATTACAGAAGAATCAATTGAAACCATTTTTAATGAGAATTTGGGGACCTCCATCAGGGATAGAAAATGAGGAGGCTGCACCACTTGAAGGTTTTTTTAATAAAAATATTATATTCATTATAAATTAACTTTTATATTTGTTTAACTTTATCTACATATGAATTGAACTTATATATTTTATTTATAAGAATAGTTTTCTGTAGCATAAAAATATTAAATATGTAATTAATTCATATATTTTTTCGATTATGAATTAAGAATACCAAACAAAATATAAATTTATGTATTTTTCTCACAGCCTTTAACATTTTATCATAATAAAGAATATTCATAAATTTATCATTAAAATATTAAAAATAAACAGTATATTAAGCGTTGAAGCGCGCCATTAAAAATTTACGCTCAAGCACATAATATATTGAAAAAATAATTGAAAATCTATATATTTTTCAGCAGAAACGATAATGAACGATATCGCAGTTGCCGACACTACACAACAACAGGATCAAAGCATTAATAATCATTTAGAAATGGAGGCAAAGAAACAGGTAATTTATACAGTTATTCATGATGACATGCATCTAGATTTTCAACGACAAATATCAGCTCTACGCGAGTTGACCGCGAAGTGGAAATGCGATGATGAATTACATTTAACCGGTAAAATCACTCGAGATGAGGCCCTGGCATGTCAAATAAATATAACACCTGAATATAGTGATGAGATGGAAAATCTAAAAGGGGCTTCAGAACAACTTAAGAAAGAATTGTTGAAGCTTACTGGTGAAGAATTTACACGATATAATGAAGTTGTGAAGAGCAGTCAGTCTAATCAATTTGATCAATGCCTTACAAAATTGAAAAGTAACGAAAAGAATCATCTTTCAAATACAAAATCTGACGATAAACTCAGAAATTCTGAGATGTGTGCTGATGAATATATGTCAATTGCGAAAGATGTAATTAAGTATTTGACTAGAGATTATGAAAACGTTGAAATGAAGAATATTCATGAGATTCCAAAGAATCTAGAGGAGTCAGTAGGTAATCCATTAATATTAGAAAATTGTTTTAAAAATAAAGTACAAAATACAATCGTTCGCAATAATAATGACGAAATCAATAATAATGAAATATGCATGAAACAACCGTTAGGTTCTAGTCAGATTATAACAGACTTGGAATCGTTGTTTCAAAAAGGATTAAGAAAAAGTACACTTAATAATATTAATAATAATAATAATAATATATATAATCATTTTCAAACTGAATTGGTTTCTAATACATTTGAAAATATAGAAATAAATAATATTTTAGAAATGGCAACTCCTTCAGCTATAGTTCCTACAGATTTAGAGAATAATTTTACGTCGTATGGGGTAGAAAATAAAAGTACTTTTATAACCAAAAATCAGAATTTGATTAATAATGAAAATAATAGCGACATAATTTTGAAGTTAATTATTAAACAAGAGGAAATAGATACAAATAAAATAGAAAAATATGACAATAAAGAAAATAAATTAAATTTACTTGTTTTTAATGACGTTCTGATAACTGAATATCCTCAAGTATCAACAGATGAAACGAAAATTGTTATTAAAAATAAAGAAAATAACGAAAATAATCAAACTAATATTCAAATTGAATCAGAAAATCTAGAATACAAAGAATCAGAAAATAATTTTGTTAAATCTAGTTTATTAATAAAAGAAGAAAATGTTATGTCTAGTGAGCTAAGTAATGAGATTAATAACGAAATTTCTTATTTTTCAAATTATTGTATTTTAAAACATCAATGTCCAAATGATCAACCCGTAAAAGTTAGCAGTAACAATATAAGTTTAAATGAAGACAAAGAATATAAAATAAATCAAGATGGATCTTCAATATTGTCTAATTCAAATTCACATCAATTAACTCATTTTCAGTGTACTGGTGTTGAAATGTCAAATCCTAACCAATTAAAAATAGAAAAAAAACACAATATTCTAATAGATAATATTGAATTAGTTTCTCTAGAAACAAATAATCAGGCATTACAAAATACTATAGCATGTTCTTCGATAAAACAGGAAATAAAATCTAATGAAGTATCCAAAAGCAAGGGAATCGTTGCGATATCTAGTTTTAATAACTCTTCAATACCAGTAATAAAAGAAAATTTGCAAGAACATGAAAGTATAGCATTTGTTTCTTCTGATATCTTAAAAATTTCAGAAATTGACAAAATAAATGATACTGTAGAAGGTAGCAATAGTTCTAATAGTAAGTTAAAACAATCATTCGAATATATTTTATATGATAATTTAAATGATAACTCATCATCATCTGATGAATTTTATACGGTTTACGAGGATAATTTTTATGATTATTTAAAAACACAAAAATTTGAAGAAATAAATAGCAATAATGATAAATTGGTAAAACCGTTGTTAGATATCAATAGAACAATAATTAGTGAGGATATGTCATCATATAGTAAAACATTGAATTCATACAATTCATCTGAAGAAATTGTAACTACCAATCGGGTATTAATACTCTCACCATTAAAGCAATTATCAAATGAAAACATATATATTTCATCTAAAGTCATTACATTAAATCTCAAAAGTAATCAATGTATAAACAATAATACTAAAATGAATATTAAAAATTCTTTAGAGCAAGTAGATTCAAATAAAGAAAATAATAATAGTAGCATGAATAAAGAAGTAGAAGATATGAAAAATTGTAATAAACTAAATGATTCTGGCGAAATTATCGATTTAATTGAAAAAGAAAAGAAACAGCCTTTTCTTTTAACAATTCATACACATGAAACAAATTCAAATAAACAGCCGAATAATCAATTCTTTTCAGAACCAAGCTCATTAAAAAGGTCTTTTTCTGTGAATCTTATAGAAAAAGAAAATAAAAGCGAATTTGATACAAAACCTATTAAAGATATAAATCATCAAATTGCACATGGTCAAGATCATAAAAACAAATGTAATTACACTATTCCACAATATTCTAAAAGAATAAACAAACTTTTTAAATCGGAAGCTTATTTTGAACCAATTAATTCAAAAATAGAGAAAATTAAGTTATCTGAAAATCAATCGATTGATATATTGAAAACGAAAATGTCTAAATTATCAACAACGATAGATAATGAAAATATTCCATTAATTATAAATACATCAACAATGAATTGTCCAGAAATGAATAAGAATTATCAATTAAAACCTTTAGTGCGTACAGTACCAAACATTAGTAACCATTTGAAATCAACATCAAAATTAAAACAAAATAAATTAAATACGAAAATATACGAAAAACAGATAAATAAAAGTAGGTCCAGATCGCCGATTAAGAAAATTGTAATTGGAAGACGATCCCCAATAAAAAATTTAAGAAAAGCTCAAAATATTCCAAAAAATTATACGAAAAAAACAAAAAATATTCCTAAAATTTTAAATACACAGAACAAGTCAATTTCTAAATTATCTCCAGAAAAAGATATACTTAACCAGAATAAAGTCTTTACTAAAATTCCAACAAATCGACATTACAATTTAGAAAAAGACTCTAAATCAAGAGTTTTTTCTCTTGGACATAGTAAATGTGAAATCAATCAAAAGATCAATTTAAATCAGGTTAAATTTTTTCAACCCTTAGCAAAAGCCTCAAAGAAGACATTCACGATGATATTAAGTGATGGATCAGAAAATAAACTAGACAGATTAAATAAGAAAAAATCTGAAGTACATTTAAGTTCGAAAATACCAGTCTTCAAGGATATAAAACGAATTCCTGCTCTGGCAGTTCCAATAAATTTTCAGAGGCAATTAAATGTTAATATTATTAAACCAACAGATACTGGTAGAATTTGCGAGGCTGGTTTGTTAAAAAAGAATCATGAAAAGAGACAAACAGTTATCTCAAGTGAAAATCATGTTTTATTTGGGAAGAAAGAAATTTTCAAAAAATCAAATGAAAATGATAAAATTATTGAACTAAAAAAAGAAAAAAAAGAAGAAAAAAACAAATGTTCCTGTAGAGTAAAAGACGTATTTAAAAAAGAACATGTTTGCAGTGAAAAATTAATGTGCTACAATAAAATGAAAGTTATGAAAATAGAAGATGCAAGAAAGCAAGAAACAGTTTCAAATAAAAATATAAATACCGAAATTCGAAGTAATATAGCTAACTATAGTGTTCTAGAAATGCAAAAAGCGAATGGTGATATTATAGAAGCACACGACATGTCGAGATTGCGAGAAGGATCCCAAAAATTACACAAAAAAAGAGGGACAAACATTAATGAATTAGTAAAATGTACAGTTAATAATATAGAAATGGAATCATGCAATCACAGCGAAATAGAATCAGAAATAAAAAATAATAAAAAATATGAAGAAGATAGCTCAAGTGAAACTGAAAATAGCGCGTCATTTATTGAAAGAATAGTAAATATAGAATCAGAGGGAATAGAAGAGTATATAAATAGAGAAGAATATTCATTAGAAGACGAGTTGGAAGAAATAAAAGATGAATCAGATCAAGTGGATGAGAAACTGGCGAAACTAAAACGGTTTCATAAAATAAAAGATTTTAATAGCGTAGAACTTCCAGAAGAAGTAAAAGAAGTAGAAGTACAGGAATCAGATGAAGAAGAAGAAATAATAGAAATATTTGAAGCAAATGAATATAGTCAAGAATCTGAGGAATCAAGTGAAAATAATAATGAAATTAATAAGAATATTGAAAATAAGGTTTGCAATACCGATTCAGATGAAGCTACTACCGAGTCGACAAGGTCAAATAGCTTATTAAACGTTGAGAAAATGTTAGAGAAGACCTTAAATCGTATTAAAGCCGAACTGTCGGATTACAAAACCTCCGATGACGAATCAAGTAAAAGAACCCTTACAAAAAACAAGCGAAGAATGAAAATATTACCAAAAATGAAAACAAGATCAGTAAGAAAATATTTGAAAGAAAAAGATTTGAAAAAAACAGATGTAATTACAAATATTAAAAATTGTGTTGTAAATAATGCTGAAAGTTCCAGTAGTAATAAAAAAAAACTCGACAATGAATTGATAGCAAAAAATATGAAACCGAAAAAACAATTTTCGATTATAGATAATTATAATGAAAAATTTGAGAACAATAAGAAGCCTGTGTATAGAAAACAAGTTAAAAAGGAAGAAAAAAATGAAGAACCGAAAATAAAGAAGGAAGCTGTTCTCGTGTGTGAACGGGAGGTCAGTAGACTAAGAATTAGATGACACTGTCAAGTCAAATGTTGACAGACCAATGTCTACAAAGAGCTCAGTTGCGATAATAACCATAGCATCTTTTAATTGAAAAATTTACTAGTAACATGTTATGTACGTAATGAAGTGAAAAAAAAGTAAAGTTCTTTTTGAAAATATACGGTGTGTCGACAAAATGAAATCAAAGATCTGTTCCGTATAGTTTTACCCGTGCGTGTTGGTAAATAATAATTAAATAATGGTTTGTCATTTGAATAATTTTGTTCATAATTATAAATGTAATATTTATTAATGTTAGAAGGTGAGTATATTTTTTGTTCAACTAACATATTAATTTATATCTTTTATGTACATAATTAATGTAATGGTGTGTAATTAAAATATATTGCGAAAATGATTTTAATAAAAAAAATTAAAATTATTTTAAAATGTTGAAATTAGTGTTAACTTCCGATTATGAAACATTTTAGTTCAATTTAAGCAACGTATTATAATTTATAGACATTATTAAATAGTTTATTTAATATTTGAATAGTTTAGTTAAGCCCATAAGTGAATTTATATATATAAAAAAATTGTATCAAATGTTTTTTTTTGATAAATAGAAAATGGCAATATAATGATATCGATATTTGGATACATTTAGCAATAAATATTGACGATATTAAATAGATTACCATGAAGCTTAAATTTAAATTGAATTTAAAAAGTAATAAAATATTTTTTAATCATAGTTGAATGATGACATTAATATTCTTTCCATAAATTTTTTCAAAAATTTATTTATTATTTAATTTAATTAATAGTTCCATAACATATTTTATAACTTTATAATTTTATAAGAAAATATATTTATAATTACATTTATATTGATCAATACATTGATATACAATTATATTTTCGTTTAACATCACTAAATTACAAAGGAATGAAATAAGTGTTATTAAAATAAAAATCATTTTCGTTGAACGTTCAAACAAGAACAATGATATAAATATTTTATTTAATGATTAATTAATACATAATATGCGAAGAGCTCAATTCTAGACGTTGGTACACATTATTTTCTCTTTTGTATTCATTATAATTTTTTTGTTCGCATGATTCGTATTCTTATATCAATAATTAATATCATATTTTTATTTATTGTTTACCTCATTAATAATATACATTGATGCTTTAAATCTATGATATCCACATTATTATTTTAAATATATATTTGAACAATAATAATTACAGAAAGATAAAAATAAACTTAATAAATGTTTTAGAAATCATGTATTTTAAATATTAAAACGATCAAGTGTTATTGATATTATCCATCCGACATTTTTATAAAATAGAACTTATTATTTTTTTAAATATTTAGTTGGTCAGCGTGAAAAGAACTTTAAGCTGTATTTGATAATGAAAATTGATCGGGTTTAAGCTTCTACCAGAGTGATTTAGGAAAAGTACTTTTTATAAGTTTTTGACCTGCGATATAAATGGTCTTGTGGAATACGTAGTAACATTGTCCAGCACTGGATTCCTTGTGAGCGATTAAGATGTTGATCGTTAAGTTTGTATTAATGAAACAAAAATCGTTGCATGCGATTGTCATTACAGAGGGTCGCTCGACGATTGCTGATCGAGGGCAAAGTTTCAAATTACGGGGAAGCCGAAATAGCGACGAGTCTACTTGGACTTAAGTTTAGCATCACAGACGCGCTTGATGCGGCAAAACAGTGCGCAAACGTCGAGGCTGCGTTGGTCTTTCTTCAACAGGAATGTGAACTGTGCACTGGCCGATATCCCATGAATCAAGTAAGTCTAAGCTGACGTAGGCCTTTTCTAGACATCGGTGAAGAAGAGGAAGTTATATTCCATTCAGATTATTCGGCTATACAAAATTAAAGCAAGTAATTAATGCTGAATGTATCATTTTTAGCCTGCCACAAAAATTATTATTAAGCGTTTCACGTAAATAAGCGTTGCATGTCAATGTATATAAAAATAATTCGATTAAGGGCGGCTTTAATATATCATACATTTAAAACATTATCGTGCAACGTTTTGAAAACGCAAATACAATGTTTCAAGGAGTTTATCGAGTCTGTTAAGCAAATGATGTCTTAAAAAAAATTGATTGTGGTCGATTCCTTCTGCTCCGTAAGTAAGCAATTAGTTGAACGATTCATTAAAATAATTGGTAATAATATTTGTACAATTTCATATATATATATAGTCATACAGATAAAGCTTTACGAAGTGATATTTAGCTTTTAAAATACTTAATAATAATAACTGAATTCATATTTGCTAGATGATGTCAATGTTGAGATGTGTGCATCGGTGCTGTAATGACTGCGCCAAAAGTTATTTTACAATTCAAATAAGTGACCGAAATATCACCGATGCGGTCTGTCCATTCTGCAAGGAACCAAATTTAGGCGAAGCGACCGAGGACGAAGTCCTAGAGTACTTTAGTAACCTTGATATACAGCTGAAGTCATTGCTACATCCGCCGATACATGAGTTATTCCAACGTAAACTTAGGGATCGTACTCTCATGCAAGACCCAAACTTCAAGTGGTGTATTCAGGTGAAAATAAAAACGAAACTCTAAACACAAAACACTGAGTATTGATTATATTTATATAATTATTAAAATTACAGTATCTTAGCCAATACCTTTTAATTTAATTTTTAATAAAATTTTTGAGTTTCAGAGAATAAATAAATTAATAATTGTTTTTTTTTTCAAATTTTTCATAAAAAATTGTTTTCATAAATTAATTTAAAAAAAGTAAAAAATTTATTAAAAAAGAAATATTTTTATATATAGTATATCTTACTATAAAAATTTATATTAAAAAACTTAAAATGAATTTAGTGTTCAAGTGGATTTTATGCAGAACCTAATCATATAAGACTAATTTGTCCAGACTGTGGATCAGTTACATGTGCTTTTTGCCGAAAATCGGTACGTATATCAAATTAGAATAATTACACCTTAAATGTGTTGAGTTATATATGTGATATTGTGTTATTATATATCTTAATATAATGAATGAATTTAATATATGATCAAGTGGGAGAAACAACACGAGGGTATTAGTTGCGAGCAATTTGCTGTATGGAAGGTCGAGAATGATCCAGATAACCAGGCTAAGGGATTAGCGCAGCATTTAGCGGATAATGGAATCGATTGTCCAAAATGTAAATTCAAATATTCTTTATCTCGCGGAGGTAAGTCTTCAAATTGTGTATATTATGATTTTGTACCAAAATCGTTGTAGATGTGTATGAAAATATTTTCTAAATAATCATATCTTCATGACATTTATTATTATTCTTACTTCGTATTTTACATTTCGCTTTAATACTGTATTTTATGTTAAATTGTATTAATTAATAATTGATATTCGTGAATAAATTTAAGATAAATGATGTCATTTATAATTGTTGTGAAATTTCAATGATTATTATATCTATAATACAATCATATTAATGTGTTATATTCAAACTTAAATTTAAAAAAATTAGTTCATTATTATAAATCATTCTGATATATAATTTTTTAGGCGTTAAAACTCTATTAAATTCAATACAATGTTATGCAATATATTTGAGGAATCTCTACTTGAAATGAATTATTATTTATTATTGTAAAATTTATAATTACAATAGAAATGCTATTAAGCGATATTTACTTTTGTACGAAGATATCATAAACTTCTGAAAATAGTAGTCAGTGTTATCCTAATAAGTCATTAAATAGCTTTGCTTCAAAAATGTTACGAACGTACGAATTAGTGGGAAAAAATCATTGTCTGCAACTCAAAATCATGAAAGGTGATCGATTGATCAATCGATTCGTTAATGTTTGTATGTGCGTTAATAAAAAATCTGTTGAAATTGAAACATAGGTTGCATGCACTTCACGTGCAGCCAGTGCAAGTACGAATTTTGTTGTGGCTGTGGCATGAGATTCGTAATGGGAATCAAATGTGGTGTGAGCAGCTATTGCGCTAAACTAGGGCTTCACGCTCACCATCCCCGAAATTGTCTCTTCTATCTACGTGATAAGGAGCCAGTCCAGCTCCAGCAATTGCTCCAGAACAATGGTGTTGACTATGACAGCTGCGATCCAGTTGGTCAGCGGCGTTGTGCTATGCAGTTGCAGAAGGAGACGCCTGCAGGTGTTGTCGATACCATCTGTAACGCCGACGTTATTGAGGGACATGCTGGATTGTGCAGGTATTTTATAAAAAAACTTATGGAAGATTTAGAGCTCTGAAGTTCAAGATATCCACTATGAATTTACTGCATATTATATAATTGGTAATGGCTACTGAAGACGTTGTTTAATTTAATTTACTGATTATGAATTATTATTTAGTAATCTCATTTAAAAACTCTTTTTTCTCTTACATATTGTTTAAAAATTTTAAAAACAATAAGTGAATAATAATTCTTAATTAATAAGCATGCAAAATCTAGAGTTTGAAATTAAATAGCCTCTGTTTTATGCCAATTATTTTCTAGATAAAATTCAAATTATGTTATTTTTAGTGTGTCCGTATTTATAATTTCCTAATGTTCTGATTAGTTACTTTTCATTTAAAAATATTTTTACATACACTTGGAAAATTCGCGCAAATAATTTTTCAATTTAGGTAAGCATTTATTAAACTTGATTGTAATAAGCAATAACTTTTGATATAGTATATAAATAATCGATGGATAATCTGTTGATATTTATATTTATCCGACGATAATTATTTGTAAAATAAATAATTACTTTTCTGTCATTTTTTCTATAAAAACTAGTATTATATAAAGAATAAAATATTTTGAAAAATGAAAAAATCGTTTAAAACTATGCAAAATAATTAAAAATAATTATACATTTAATGTAGAAGCTTAATCAAATAAGGCTTGGTTTCATAAAAAATATAATTTTACGTATATTCACACATCATGCATATACAAAATTATTTATTTCTTAGAATATATTTTTATTGAAAGCTGATTATTTATCTTATATATTTAATATATAAGATATAAAAAATTAAATATTTCGAATTTTCATATAACAAAAGCAAAATAAAATAGTCTTATAATTTAATACTTTTTAATTATATAATAATAATTTAAAAAATTATAACTTAACCAGTGAGTTGTTACATATAAAAGAAGCTTTTTCTATATGTGTGTGTGTGTGTGTGTGCGCGCGCGCGTGTGTAGATTTTAATTCAGAAAAATAATATTTGATTTTCAATTATAAAAAAGAAAGTTTGGAGTTTGTTAACAAAAGTAATGTGACCCTTGTTGAAATTCCCGACGAAATAGTAATTTTTATTTAAAAAAATTTTAGAAAATATTTTTGAGCATATGTTTATAGAAAAATTAATTAATGGAAACTTGAAATAAAAGAAGTTATTAAAATTGATTGAAATTTATTATAATATATACATATGTACATGCAATATTTTAAGTAAAAAATTCATCTTTTGGACTTTCGCTACTTATCAATGAATAAAATACGTATAGACGACGATTCGGTATTTGATGCATAAAACGGAGAATGTGTAAACTAGATCTTCTGAAGTCAAAAATAGCTGTTAGATTAACCTAAATAAAATATGAATCTGTGAATTGACGCATATTGTCGAAACGCGACCGATGTTATCATACGGCAGGAGTCATTACATCGAGTACCTCGTGCGCGTGGTGCGGAAGATGCGACTGGAGCCGTTGCCTCTCCTGAATATCGACGACCTCGAGACATGTGTCCTGCGTGCAGGTCTGAAGCTGCCGGCCAATTGGTATGGCCGCGACCCAGTGGATTACCGGCAGGACCTCCTCGAGGTAAAACATTTTCTCACGAGGACGCTTGAGTCGCATTAAGAGTAGGGTACTTTTCCCCGCAGGCAGCACTACATTGAGTACCTGGCGGGTCTGGTGCTCAAGAAAAGGCTGGATCCTGTGGCGATCTTCGATTTGAACGACGCCAAGCAGGAGTTGCGCCGTCGGGGAAAAGTGCCACCTGCTAAGAGCCCGGAAATGTCCGAGCAAGATTACCTCGATGCCTGCATTCAGGTGACTGCTAAGCCCAACACCCTATATCTTTTCCTGAGTTTTTCCTTTTTCACATTGTTTTACGCGAATAAAAGGGCTCAGTCATGTCGATTGCTTGTGGCTGAAATAATTGATGCAATTATTTCATAACACAATGGTTCGAGCTTAATTTTATTCTATAGTTTTATGGAAATATTTACATTGTCACGAACAAATATAAACTGAAGAATGTTTTAAATACCTAGTAATTTCATTAAATGTGATTAAAAATAATTTCTAACTCAGTAAAATTTTTTACTGAGCTCTGAACATATTCATTTTATATAATTTAAATTATATAGTCAACTTTTTATTTTTAATATATGTAATTATGCATTTATTATTAAATAATTCTGAAGATATAATTGATATTATATATAAAATTTTCATTATGTACAATTATGCTTACTAAGTTACTAATAAAGATTTTATATTTTTTGCTTTCATTATGCTGTTATTTTTATTTTAAGGTTCATGAACTTATTAAAACATGAAACAAATTTATTTCAAACAAAGCATATCTTTTAAAATTTTAATACAATATCGTACCTATTTATAAATATTAATTTATAAACTAAGTTTTTGAATAAAAGAATGAAGATAAATAATACACAAAAATGAACGAATATAATTTTCAATTCTAATAAAAGTTTATAATTATATAAGGTCGAAACAAATATAAACGATATATTATTTTACTATGAAAATAAAATATATTTTGTTATAAAGTTTAATATATTTTTTAGATTGTACAGAAGGAAATACCATTGGAATAGTAAAACAAAAATTCAAGAATAATTTGTAATACCATGAAACTAATGTGGGTTTGTAGTTGTGTAATAAGCCACCAAGCTTGTCTTTATTTATTTTATTTATAATGTGAAATATTGTTACAATTCATACCACAATTGTTTGTAGATGAAACATTACAATAACTTTAGCTTAGTCAATAAAGTTCTTGAAGAAAATTACTGAGATTATTTTTTGATTTCTTAACCTTTCTAACACTCAATAATGATTTTAATTGGGTCAGATTAATTTTTCTAACCTTTTCAATAGAACTCAATTCTTTTCCTTTTGAGGTATTTACATTTAATGCTATAGGTGTTGAATGTATCGATACTATTTCTATGTTTTTATTTTTATTTGATAATTTAGTATTAGGTAAATTTAAACCAGCAGTTTTATCATTTTCTTTCCTCTTCTTTTTATATTGTGAAAATAAAACATTGATTTTCTTTTCTTCTTGTTTACAGAATTTTGGTCCATTTAATTTATTACAACAAATTTCTGTATTTTGTGAGCAAACCAAGCATTTAATTAAAATTTTGTTCATTTTATTTTTAATACTTTTTTTCATTAATGTTGTTTGAAACTTTGATATTTCATTATTTTTAGAATAAGATTTAATTATATGCTTTACTGATTTTGAGGGACTTTTTCCAGGAATAATTCTAATATGAGATTTATTTTTGAACCAAAGGGAACCACATTCTGAACACATAACTGAAGGCCCAAAATGTTGTTTTGGTAATTGTAAGTTAGATAGAAGTTCTTTACAACATAACCTATAAATCATAATTTGCATAAATTTATTATTAAAAACATCATCATATATTATTTAAATATTCAATAATTAAAATATGAAGGTAAATTTTGTTAATGTATACATATATAACCTACACAAAGTACATTCTTAACACATTTGCCTCGTCACCATTTAATGTTGTTAAATATTTTAAAGAATTCCACAAATGTTCTATTCTTTCCATTATAATTTATTAGCACTTATCTTTATTAAAACTTAATGAGCCTTATTATTAGTAAATTTGTTTATACAAATCTCTACTTCTAAAATTTGAAATATTTCAAATTTAAATATTTGCCGATACTTTATAAACGTTATTAATAGAATTGACATTTATTATTTCCTATTTATATGGTTTATATATTTTATTTTAATTAATGTAATTATTATGTCAATCTAATGACAAATTTACTAATATAAATATAACAAATTTAGCGCGTGTGATTCACATCGTAAATAGTAAAATAGAATTGGAACAGTAAACAGCCGCATGCGCAATAAAATATTTAAGTTGATTGGGTCTTATTCTTATGGGTAATAAGTTTTTGTTAGAAGTGTTTCTTTAGAAATAAACTGAATTTAGTTATTCATATGTGATACTAAAGTAAAGTAATTAAATTAAAAATTTTCTAATATATTCAGTGCTTTCTAATATGTGATTACTTTTTCAAATTACAATGTATCAATAAATTGTTCTAGTTTCGTACTGTATTATACAATTTAAATGTGTAGGTTTAGTCGTTTATTAGAAAAAAATAATAGCAAGTTACTGTTTAAAATAAACTTCAGATATACAAAATATCGGTACAAAATAAAATTTCGGTGATAAAATAAAACTGTATTTAATGTGTCGTAATTAAAACAATACCCATTTTTTTATTAAGAAAAATCAAGAACATGGAAATAAGACAAATAAAAACTAGAGGAGCGTATAATATACAAAATAGAGAAAATAAATAATATACAATCTTTATATTCCTACTCTCAAATGTATAAAAAATAATAAAAAATTTTTTCGTGTATTTCTATTTTTATTTATTGAAAAACATTAATTTTGTTTATTATATACATAGAGTAGATATATTATTGTAATAAATATTGCTGTATAGTATACAATAATTTAATATTTATAATTTTAAACAGTTGAAAGTTTTATTTTTATTTATTTATTTGTTTTTGAAGAAATAATTAATATTTAGTAGTTCCGATTTATTAAGTCCAAGATGCTTGCATAGCATATGTTGAATACAGCTAACTGCTTAAAAATTAATTTTTTGTTAATGGAATGTAAATTCTTTCAATTATAACAATGTATATATAATGTAAATTAATTAAATGATAAATTGAAATAACAAGTAGTTGAAACAAATGAACTTTTATTTCCTTCTTTATAAATATATTTTAATAATTAAAGATTTAAAATGTTTGGATTTTTAACATAAATATTTAGTATTATATAATAAATCCTATATGCTGATACATATCAAGTTCTGGTTGGTGGTCCCTTTTTTCATTGTCTTGATCGATTTTTGTTAGTAGATATGAAGCTTTACATCTGTAGTTTTATACATGAAAAATCATACAAGAAGCTAAAACTATTGAATAATTTAACTAAATATATACTCTTGATATTTTTCAAAACACATATTATGTCATTTAAACAAAAAAGGTACGAACAGCATATTACCCATATTGCATGTACTTGAATATACCTTCGTTTCCGCTATGGATTCTAATTTTTCTATTAAGCTATCGTGTCTTATATTACTGGAGTGGTGTATAACTATACGCATAAAAGCAGATATATTTTTTGGAAATATTTAAGTTTGATTAAGCGAACCAGACTAACAGTTAAAAAGTAAATATTCAAACGTTAATAATACAATGCCATTTGTCCTATGTTTTTTTTTCATATATAAATTTTCAACAGCCACTAAGTTAGTCTAATGAGAGTATCAAAGTGAAAAATTATACGTAGGTTTGGAAGCAGCTATCCGATTTAATTTTAGCAGTCATAAAATAGTATACGTCAGTCCTATAAAAATTATATCTACATTTGAGGTAAATATACTATTAAATATAAAATAAAACAAAAAAGTATAATAATTTGTAATGCAGACAAATGATAAACAAAATTATTAGTAATTAAATTGCTCACATAAAGATGCTATATATAATTGTTGCTGTAAAGCATCAAATTATATGTAATGTATATTTTCGAACAATGAAAAAATTAAAGAAAACGGAAGAAGGATAGAATCAATAAAAAAATCCGTATTGGCATAAAGTACGTTAATATTTTAAGTTCTTTCAGCCCATGTATTCGCTACGTTTGAACCGCAAGCATCATCTATCTTTAAACAGGCTAGCGCTTAAAAATTGGAAGGATAATATATTGATTACCTTCGATTTGACTTTTCCGTATTCATACATAGCATTTTTTTTATTTTAATAAATAGTTAAATGAAATATTTAAAATTACACATAACAATAAACTATATTATGATATTCATTTTAAGTAGAAGTCTTAGAGAAGTATATAGATATATCCATATACAAAATATAGCACGTAAAGCATAAAATATTAGAATTTTAAGAAATATATGAACGAAAGGATTCTCAAATATATTCTCAAAAATTCTATGGATATAAGACTAATAATGAAAAATAATGATAACGCTAAGTATTGGTTTTATTGTTATATCAAAAAAATACTTTAATGAATAACTTTGATTTTCACGTACCTCCGAACCCGTTAGTTAATAGCAAGCATTTTTACATAAGCTACATTCAACAATTTGTCAAAAATATAAAATGGTTTCTAAGTTCTGTAATTGTTTGATATTTCTTTATTTGCATTGAAGTGATAAAAAAGTAAATAATTTATATTTGATGAATTTAAAATAAAAAAGTAATTACCTTTCTAAAATTATTTTTGATTCCACAAATATGGATGAGATATTTATTAGATACGATAAACGATATAACCATACATTGTACTTTAATATTTTCTTTAGATATTTAAAAAATAATATCTTAAATATTATATTATAATATTAATTATTATTAATTGATAAAAATATGAATTGCTTATTTAAATTAAATTTATATATTTTATTTTTCAAATATATAATTTTATCATTTAGAATCACTATCAAATTTAATTAATTTGATATTAATAATACTTAAATTATCTCGAGAATTGAACAATGAGACTTTATTTTCGTTTTTTCTTTTCGTTCTTATTATTTTTTATTTTATGGTAATGATATTGTATTTGTTATTTTTATTGATATATTAATATATGTGATAAATTTAAATAGGTCCCAATGTAAGTATAACGGTACAATTTATTCGCATTATTTGCATTACGTAGGTATTTAGTTGTTCATTTATATTTATATATCTAGAACTTATGTATAAGATTTATATTTGGTAGAAGTTTATGCATTCAATTTATATATATATATATATATATATATAGATGGCTTATATTTATAATGCTTTAACTGTGTAAAAATGTACATTTTTCATTTATAAAATTATTTATTTTAAGTTTTTGAATGAGTGACCCTAGGTGTTATAGACTTAGTATATACAAATAATTAAGAAAAACATAATTTAAATATAATATACATTAGTTATTTAAAAATTGTATCTTAGTCCTACTATATCGGTCCGAATTATCTTTTTTTTTGACAAATAGAAGCAAAAATATTTTATATAATTTTATATAATTTAAAAATTTTACTTTTTCTGATCTCTATAAAAATGATCGGCATTAATATTGTTATATTTTATTGAATGAAATAGTTTATTAATATATCCACGAGAAATTCTTTACATGTAAATGTTGAGATATAAACAAATAGACATAAAATTATGTTTAACTACAGCATTAGCAAATTTTTCTTTTCCTGTTATACTAATATCTTAATTTGATTTTACATTATTAATATCAACTATGCTGTTAATTCTAATCATATAAAAGTTAATTTTTAATCATATAAAGGTTCAAAATTTCATATTACAAATTTTAATCATAGTCTCAATATATTTAGTATCGAATTATCTTGTAATTATTAATAATTATGTAGAATTACGATTATCAATGATTTTATTTACTTGATTGTATATTAATAATACATTAAATATTTATATTTATAAAAACTATATATATGTGCTTTAACGTAATTTTTAGTATTTGTATTATATTTTTTTCTAAATAAATAAAAATAAAATTCTAGTTCAAAAACTATATTTATATTACATATCAAATCTTATTTAGTCCCTGATCACGTATGTATTTATGCTAAAAAGTAATATATATTAAATGCAAGTATAAGTTATTTAAATATATAATATATGCAAGTAAAAATAACTGCCAAATTTTTATTACAAAATATTCAATAACTTAACAATTATTTGATCTCAGCTGATATTAATCTTAAGTAAATACTGAAAAAGTATTTAATGAACATATTTATTTAATGATATGCATAATTTGTATATCAAAACTCGAACATTATTCATTTATAGTATCATCAGAAATTAATATATAATTATATAAATTTAATTATTTAATCTATTGTAATATGCATTCGTAAATATTACTGGAATTTTTACCTTTATATATTTAAATAACATTGATGAAAATGTATGAATAAACGATCATTTTATACCTATATAAGACACATTGGTCATTTACATTCTTTTAATCTCAATAGGTTTAATATACGATTTAATTGAAAGCTAAAAAATATAAAAAAAAACATTTTTATTATATTTAGCAAAGTAATAGGTTAAATATAAAATAATTCATTACAAGCCATTTTCATAAAAATTTTTAATAAAGAATTAAAATTTTTTATCAATTAAAAGTAAAAATTTTAATATATATGAAAATGTTTTTCATTTTATATAGTTAAGCAACATTTAATCATTGTATTATTTAATATATTTAATAATTCAAATATATTTTAATTTGTGTATTGATAACGAAAATGGATTACATGTTATTCAATATTCTTGACCAGTTTTATATATTTTTTTTCAATGCATGTTTTGATTCAACTATCTATCTAGATTACAATACATTAAAATTTACCATTTTTATTTGTACAGTTACACATAACCACGATAAAATGATACCAAGTTTGTCACAAAATAATTTGTATTTCAAACTTTAAAATCTTTGTACATATTTCAGTATATTATATATATATATATATTTTTAAGTTTATTGTATAAAAACATAAAATAAAATATAATACTCTGATATCAATTTTCATCTGTTCCTATTACACGATTACAAATTTCAGGCTTTATTGTAAATTTATCTGAAGAATTTACATATAATTTGTATCAAATCAATTATTATAATTGATATTTTAAGTAAATAAAAATTTGTTTTCATAATATTATTAAATGATTAATTCAAGTAATACATTATATCCTACATCTAAAAATTAATTTTGTTTTTATTTTAGATGTTTTGATATCAAGGTTAACTTCATAAACAAAAATAAAAATAAAAGTATATAAAAAATAGGTAAATAATAATTCTTTCTTAATAATCTACAATAATAAATATATCTAATTGCATCAAATGCAAGTACAATACTTTAATTAAATATTAATCTTTTAAACTTTGACGATTTATACATTCTACAGTACACGCTTCATCTGAATCATTATCACTTAGTTGTGAAGGTGATACCCTACATTTCTTTGTTAAATAGGCTTTTAATTTTCCCACGCTAGCCAAAATTAATCCTAGAAATGGTGGTGAAGGCTTAAGTGGCCTTGATAAATATTCAGGATGATATTGAGTTGCAACATAGTAATTATGTCCTTCTAATTCAACTATTTCCATTCGAATATGATGTTCATCATGTCCTACGAATTTCAAACCAAAAGCCTCCATTCTTGCTACATATTTTGGATTCACTTCGTATCTATGCCTATGCCTTTCTTTTATAATTTCTGGATTTCCATATAGTTGTCGTACTATAGAAGTAGGACTAACAAAACGAGTAGATCGTTTTCCCAACCTCATGGTCCCACCCATGTTACCATTGTTATGTTCAGGCATATTTACTATTACAGGATTTTTACAATCCTGATCAAATTCGGTACTGTTAGCATTTTCAAGTTGAAGTACATTTCTGGCAAATTCAATTACTATTGTTTGTAAACCTAAGCAAATTCCAAGCAATGGCTTATTTTGTACTCTACACCATTTACAAGTTTCAATCATTCCAGTAATTCCTCTTTGACCAAAACCACCAGGAACTATTACACCATCAGCACTACAAAGTTGTTGCCATGCTTTGTGATATAATATTGGGCTTGTTTCTTTTGTTTGAGATTCTAAATTAACAGCATCAATAAATGTTAAATTTAACTTATAACCTGATTTAACTGCTGCATGTTGGAGTGCTTTAACAACCGACGCATATGCATCTTCAAGTCTAGTGTATTTACCAACTAATGCAATGTTTACCACTGTAACAAACAATAAAATTTAATAAAAATATTTTTTAATATCTGAATGAAGCACTTTTAAATATATATTGAAGTACATAGTATATTTATATAAAAGAAAAATACTAAGTTATTAAAATATGTAAGAAAAATATACATATCAAATTATATTTTCAACATACAATTTCTTAATTGATCTACATGCTCTGCAAGATTTCGCCATGTTTCCATAAATGTTACTTGTAAAGGCATTTGTATATTTAATTGAAGTCTTTCGTTTAAGTACTCAATGATTCCTTGATCTTTCATTAATAAAGGAACTCGATAAATGGATGAAAGATCATGAATTGTTATAACTTGTTCAGGTGAAACATGGCAAAAATTTGATATTTTATTTTTAATATTATTTCCAATTGGCTCTTCTGATCTACAAATAATTAAATCTGGGGATAATCCAAATCCACGTAATTCCCTAACACTTGACTGTGTTGGTTTTGTTTTTGGTTCTCCTGCTGATTTAGGACATGGCACAAGTGAAACATGCGCACAACAAAAATTTTCTTTCTTAACTCTAAATTGAAATTGACGAAATGCTTCTACAAATGGCATTCCCTCAATATCACCAATAGTTCCACCTAATTCCACTATACAGACTTCTGGTTTTTGGCCATCATTCATAACTGGTTGATTTGCTACTCTTTCAACCCATTCTTGAATAGCATCTGTAATATGTGGCACTACTTGGACTGTTTTTCCCAAGTAATCGCCTTTTCTTTCTTTTTTAATGACATGCTCATAGATTTTACCTATAAAATAATATCTATATCAAATAAATTTAATTATATGTAACAAGATTAAAATATATTCATCTTATATGAATTAATATTTATATACACAATGTTTTAATTATATTTTATAACTTATTAAATCTTATTGAATACATATTTTATATGAATTTGTATATATAAGTTAAAATTATAATACATTTATTAATGATCCTTGTATATTATATTATAAATAAATTTGATTAATATAGTATTCCTATTTCAATAATTAATATTTTGATATTCAACAATGATAATAATAATATACTATTTCATACTATTTAACAATAGATTATATCTTATATCTTTATTTTACTTATAAACATTCATTTATTGTAATTTAAATTTTTACATGAATATACTTTTGCATTAAACTTTCATTTTAATAACATGTTTTAATTTTATAATATGGTGAACTTTACAAAAATAAAAATTATGTAATATTAATTATAAAGTTATAGACATGTATTGTATTATTATTGTCACCTTTTTTAATTGAAATATAGAACTATTCTATATCATTGAGTATTATTTCATGCATTTTAATAAAATATAAAAAAATTTTAATATAAAAATTTGAAAATTGTTCTTTTTAATGACACACATTAAACTTGAAAACTTGTAAAAGCTAATGACAATGTCTTTCTATTTATATTTATAATTTATAACAAAGATATAAAAAAATGTTTAATTGTCATAATACAAAAGGCTTTTATTTAATATTAATTAGAAATAAATGTATAAAAAACAATACTAAATCATATGGTATAGCATAATATTATATAGTATACATGGATAATTTAAAAAATTTTTTAAATAATGTTAGTAATGATTTTTTACATTAGATTAAAATAAGTAGTTACATAAAATATATTAAATTGTTAATGAATTGTTAATGTATGTAATTGTTATGCGAATAATTCAGTAACAACCTTTTGCAATTTCAAATAAACAACTAATGTAAGTAAAAATAAATCTAACAAGTAATTTAATTTAAGAGATTGTATTATTTATTTTAAATTTACTAAATTCAGAAAAATGGAGTAGAAATTAATTATCAGGAAACTGACTATGCAAATATATATTATATTAGTATAAGCGAAACAATTATTCACTTTACTGTAAAATATAACTTATTGCAGTTTCAAAATTTCAAATAAAGGAATGGCATGAAATTATTGGGCCTAAGCCATTCAAAGCAGAAGCAGAAGGAAAAAAGAGTATGCATTGGCGGAGATAACGAGAGAGAGAGAGAGAGAGAGAGAGAGAGAGAGAGATTGGGAAAGGGAAAAGAAATAGGGGTGAAAGTTGACTGCCTATTTAAAAATATATAGTTTACCAGTAGTGATATTGTTATCCTTGTGAAGTATGACGTCGAGGAACCTTTCATAATTTCCAAGATCAAGGTCAACCTCGCCGCCGTCATCTAATACATAAACTTCGCCGTGCTCATAAGGCGAGAATGTACCAGCGTCAATGTTGATGTAAGGATCGATCTTTATTGAGGTGACGTGTATGCCACAGGATTTGAGGATTGCTCCGAAGCTGCTGGCGATAACGCCCTTGCCTACACCACTTATCACACCGCCGGTCACTAGAACGTACTTCATCCCGTATTCGTCCACTATTTGCTATCCGTAAGCTTGTGTTCTTTTCGTCTTCGATGTGTTAGCGATTTTGAGCCGTTTAGCTATAATCGAGATCCTTCAGCCTAGTATTCATCAACGCGCACGTGGTTTGTGTAGCCGTTACCCGGATACCGAGTTAGTGTGCACCGCGAGGAGTAGTACAACGTCCGACTGAGCCAACCGTAACGGAGCGCGTAAATGTCGTAGCCAACGTAAGTGCGAGAAAAAGCGCCTGATTTCGCGCGCAAACGCCTTTCCTTAATAACTTATTTCCGGATAGCTAAGTTAAAACCTCCCGTTCCATCTGCGCGGGCGGCTCATGATTACGGGTCATCTGCTTTTGCATGGCTTTGTTAGCTGAGCTTGCGGTGAATGTTAATTACGCGAAGCGCTTTTTTAGCTTTTTGACTCACCAATCTGTAAATTGAGGCTGAAGAGTGTGTAGGCTTTTAAATTCTTAGGTTGCCTTTCTACGATCTTCAACTGGATTTGAAAATATTATATCATTGGTATATGAATGGATGATGCTCGAATTTTGCTTATTCCATTATTGATATAGAACGCATGCGTGAACTTTGAAACCGCGACTCTGAACATTGATCGCCGCATTTATGTTATTTATTCTTAACTTGATTAAATTTCTTCTCACTTTGTGTGTATACAAATGTACATATTCTCGCGATCGATATAAAATAATTTTCAAAAGATAGAGAAAATCTGAGCCAATTTATGTAAACCAATACTTCTGAATGTTGATTTTTATACGATCGTGTTACGAGCGATCGAATTTATTATCATACGCTCTCCTTTGCAAACATGCATTTCGTATGCGTGCACACGTATATAGATGTATATTTAAAGTTTGGTATATTTATTGTATAACCGAAAATTAAAAGAACTAATATCATTATAACACCATTTCTATAAAATATTCTTTATAGATTTATCTTTATAACTCCATCACTATAAAACCATTATCTTTATAACTCAATGTATTATAATAAATCGAGTAAATGTCCAACTTGCAGGCAATTTAATTTATAAAAATAATAGCGTTTGTTGAGAAATATAATAAATAGATAATGCGGAGAACAACATTACTATATTATAATTATTTTTATTTAAATTCATATAATTAAAAATGCCATGTGAACATCTGCACGTGAATTATTTATTTAATTACTCATTATTCCAGATAAAAAACTTTTTTATAATTATATTATTTTGTTTAACAATTTATAACAAATTATTAACGCTGAAAAATATAAATAATCAATTAAAACATGGAGTTTCAATAAGTCGACAATTAATAGTTCTTCAATAAATATAATATAATATAATGCAATAATTATAATATGTTGTAATATTTCAAAAAATTTTACTATATTTAATGTTGTTACTGTAAATATAATTGTATTTATCGTATATTCATAAAATATTGGAGTTATTCATTGGCTTAAGTTATATGATAGGCATCGATAAAGAATAAAATTATATCAAAATATGCGATAATATCTACAGATTGTTGATTTACAAAAGTTATATTAGACTTTCTTTTTCATTCACATATATAAAAATGATAATATAAATAATTATTTTAATATTTAAATGAAATAGATTACTGAAACGTATCAAGATTATTCTTTATAACTTATAAAAGAGATACTACTTATATTTAGGGTCTATAATAGTTTATTGTTAATGTTTGAAGACGTAATTATTACAGAAATCAAACTCATAGTTTAAAAATTGATTAAAGTTTTCATTAATATATTAAAAAATATTAAAATAATTATGTGTAGTTAATATTTGAAATAGTGATGATACACTATTCAATAATGAAAATATTTAACGTAGTCTATGAAACAGCAATAAGAAATACTAATCAAATACTTTAAAATGTTTCACAAAAGAAATTTATATATATAATTTATAATTTTTTATATATACAACAAAATGAATTAGTTGTATTGCGTCGATTATTGATTTATTAAGTACCGTATTATTAATATGAAAAATATAATAATATTGTTTAATATCATTATACAATGTACAAAAAGATATTTAAATCATAAAATATTTAACGGTTGCTTTCGAATTGAATATTATTAATATTAAATTATTATTATTAAATATTAAATATATTATTATATTATTAAATATATTTAAATAATTTTTAAATATATCCATTAAACAGCTAATTTTATAAATATCAATACATTAGAATTTAATAGTAATTAATTTAGAAAAAGTATTTTTAATGAATATTCTAGGTATATAAAGAAGTTTTAATTAAAAATATATATTATTGGATTACACAATATAATTAGTTTATACATAATTACATTTTACACTATAACTGAATATTACATTTTAAATTACAACTATTGATAGATTATACATTATAATAAATTATACATTTGAATTTATAATTTTATAATACTTACAAACAAAAAACAATACTTACAAACTTGAAAAAACTAATATAGAACGCTATAAAAATACTTAATATACTGATTGAAGTTATAACAAAATAAACAGTTAATCAATAATACCAAATAATTAACAAACTACTTACTTAAAAAGAGATGGGTATTTATCGAGTATGTTTTTGTTTTTTCACGAACGTGTATTCAATGAGATTGTACGATTGAAATTAATTGAACATTCATCTTAAAAAACCTAATATGCTTTTATTTAAATAGTATTATTAGTACATTTTCATATTTTCCTGAAATCTAATTTAAACAAATTTGACGCATGAAATAATATGATTATCAACAAATTAAATAATAGGAAAAAATTATACAATAATTGCTTATATTTTGTAGAAAATATATATATATCAGTTAAATTCTAATTTATTCAACATTTTTTTTATACAAAGAATGAAAATTAATATAATATAAAAAATGTTTTGTTAATATAAATTTAATTTCAAATTTAATGAAAAATCAATTTATTAGAAATTTATTGTCTCTCTCTTAATTTTATTTAAAATTTTTACTATTTATATTTCTTAATATAAATAGCAATAAGTATTATATTTTTATACAATATTTTTGAAAATCTATTGCTTTATTGACATTATTCAGTAACAATGTTTGACTTGATCATTCTTATATCATCACGTTTGAAATTAGTGTTAATAAAATCATAATTTATTTAGCTTAATACAAATAATTAAATATATCTGCACACGAATAAATATTTATATTATAGTTAATAAATATACCTAAATGGCAATTTAAAAATTATTTAATTATCTTATTTCATAAAATGACACTAATTATTATTTCATTATTATTTCAAATCATTATGACTAACAGTAACATACTACTTTACTTTTAAACATAATTAATTTTTTCATTTCATAATTTTAAATTTAAATAGAGTTTTTATTCTTACAATAATATTACAGAATATATATAATAATCATAAAGACATTCATTTGAAATACTTTACTGTATTAGAAATACAAATTCCAAATGTACTTTCAACATACTTTTGATTTTTATTTTATGATGTATGAAATATGTCAATTATGCTTTATATTTTTGTTTTAATATAATTATATAAAATGTATGGACTTTAAATAGATGTCGTCATTTATATAATTATTTCAGGCTTAAATACAATATAATTTAGAGGAGTAATTCATTTATATTAAAACATTTTTCAATTAATATTTAGTAAAAAGAAAAAGTATTATGTTAATTGGTAATTTAAATTTTAAAAATTTTTAAAATGAAATAATTTTTTTGACTAGTTTCTATATATTTTGAAGTCTTTTACTATAAATATAATTCAAATATATACAGTTGATGTATAACTCAGATAGGTTATAGAATAATAACGAATTTTATAGCATGAGAAAAATAATGCAGAATTTCGCGGAAGCGTTCTTTAAACAGAAATGAAAACTCTTAAACATTTGAAATAATTTTTAATACAATGAATTATAAGTTTAATTAATATTAATTTTACAATATGTTAGTGAACCAAATTTTAAAAGATAAATTAGTTAATTAACATATAATATACAATAAAAGAAAAATTTTGTAACGTCGAAATAATAATCTATGAATTTCAATATAATGGAGCGATAATTCAGTTTTGAGTTAATGTCTAATATACTAGTAAAATAAATAAATTACTTATTTTTTTGTAAATATGGCATGAAGTCGTGTTATTTTAAATAATATATTGATTTCAAAAGACAGAAGTCAATAAAATCTAATAAAAAGTTACGGTACACAACACATACTTTAATTAACATCCAGATAAAACTGATAATTATTTGTATATTTTTCTTGTATCATTCATTAAAAATACCTAAATAGTAAAATGTAGAACAATTCTAGGAATTAAAAAAAATTTACATATATTAAATGAATATATAGTTAATTTAAACAGGAAAAAGTATTTATAATTAAAGTGAGATGTATAATATTCTTTAAAGCCGAATTAATTTATAAAAAACTGTAATAGATAGAATACATTATAAAAACAAAGAAAATATTTATAAATATATAAGATTAAAATTGTTTAAATCAATAACGTAAAAGTATCAATGCCTTAAGAAGATTAATACATGTATATAAAAATTGGCTAGACATTACTTATATTTTATTATATGCTTGTTTTCTTAAAAGAAAAGTAAATTAATTTAGTACTAATAATTAATTGATGAAGCTGAAGAATATACCACTCGTCATATATGTATATATATACATATACACATATAATTATTTAGACAATTTTCACGTGCGTCAATTATGTAGATATTAGAGATTTAATATATTTTATAAGCAGAAAAATAAATATTACACACAGCAACTTATTTATTTGATGAAAAAAAATTGTGTAAAAAAGAAGTTACTAGACTTCCTACAAATGTCAAGTATAATGAGTATTGAGTAGACAATGTATATTGTCTATCTCTTTTATAAAAATAGTATAAATAATTTAATACTAGATTTGATTTAAAATAAAACATACATTATTATATTAAAAATTCTAATTCTATTATAGTTAAGTAATGCCTTCTCATGCGACAATATTATAGTTGATTCATTTAAATGCTAAATTGTATACTGAATTTGTTTCATATCATTGTGCTAGCGCCACCTAAAAGGAAAAATTAAAAATTATTTATCAGTAAAAATAAACGCGGATCATATAAAGTTGAAAATTTCCGTAACAATCTGTCTATATAATTATCTTTTAGTTCATAAAATTATGAAATTTCTATAATCTTGTATTCATTGTAATTATTTTTCATAAAGCTTTTTTAATAATAGTAAATTAATTTTTTAGTATCAATCAACAAATCATATCATGTAAATTATGTTTTATATGTATGAAAGCAATATAAAATTGAAAATAGAAAAATATCAGTAAGTGCAAAATATATGTTTATTAATAATTATAAGAGTCTAAAAAATGTATTAATATTATATATAACGTTTTTATGAAAATTCCATTATTGTATAAATATATTCCATAATGTATTCCATATTACATAAATAAAAAATAAAGGTATACAA